CAGCAGAGTTAACTCATTTTGTTATGGGCATCAAATACGCATTAGTGAGTACTGAAGTGTGACGCCACTTTGAACCAGGAAATGCAGTGTAAATGAATGGAGTACATGAGCATGTTCCTTCATGCACTGGTTCTCTGACTACGGCCTTTCACACACATAACTGTGGAGGTAACGCATTTCCTTCGGTACTTCATACACTAGTCCATCAACCAGGATGAAACTCTATCGCTGTGACGGCACTACACTCACACGCCGGCGGTAAGCCGGTGTGATCTTCCTCTTAGACCAATATGGCAGCGTGACCTGCCAAAACAGGCACTTTGCTCAAGTTTAAGAACGCGTGCATGAATGTACTTGTCACTGCCGAAATGACATCTCAAATCAGTCTGTGGGCCTCGAGCGGGACCAAGAGAGGGTGCAATTTTCCTGGCGACGGAGGCTCCTTTGGTGGGAAATGCAATTCGCTGGCTCACAAACCACTACAGAATGTACGCACTGCGGCCGTGTTGCTACCAACAAAATGAACATTCCCCACCGACCTGGTTATTTTCAAACAACGAGGGGGTGCTTCTGCTCAAGCAGACTGCACTAGCAGCAGAAGGTGCATGGAGTGTTACCTGATGCTGTATGAGGGACTCTGCTGGTATAGGCTGCAGGCAGAATTCACATGGTAATGTAAGGTCACCCAGAGCTAAATGGAAGTGAGAGGAAGAAAGTCAGCGTAAAATATCAGATCGTTTTCTGGACAAGAAGGAATTCGGTCCATGCCTGATTCTCCAGAGAGGAGGTCTCACTATGGAAACAGCATCATGCATGGGCTATTTTTGATTTTTTATTTACCTTTATTTTTAAGCCCCTAACTAGGTCCTACAGAATGGAAATAGATCTCGTTTTGCTCTCACTGACAGAAGTTGCCTGCTGACCGGGTACCCCTGAAATAATCATGGATGTGGCTCTTTTAGAGTCTGACAAATAACTTGGTTGATCAAAGTAAGCCACACTGAACAAGCCCCTAGAGCCACCCAGAGCTACGACTGTCTACTGTCAGAATGTATCCATGTATTTGTACCCAACAAAACCTAAGACCTTGCTCTAGCCACAAGATTTGGACAAAGTCTTCACGACTAGAAGGGGTTTTGATCTTTTACCCTCTGGACTTCATCTCTGGTTATGTCTACAAACTCAGCTTTCTAATCCCATGTTGGTGGTCTCCGAAGTCGATGATGTCTTCGTGAAATTCGACGTGGGAGGCACAAGGCACTAATTCAAGCAAGACCTGGAATCGCTTTGGTTTGACGCACCTGAGCTCTGCTCTTGGAAAGTGTTGATGTTTGGAACACCATACGAATTTTTTATCAAGTCCTGAATGGCGAGGTCGTCTTGGTAGTCGTCGTAAGGTGGAGCGAGGCTACTGTTTGTGGAGAGATCAGTGCCAAAGCTGGCATCGTAGGGAAGGTCTTGGGCTAGGTGCTGAGCCAAGAGCCGGTCTGCATCCACTTGGTGGGTGGCTGACTGAAGTAGGGCTCTCTCCTCTGATAAAGTACAAGTCATTGGATTTGATGGTATCAAGTGAAAAATTTTGCTGAGTAACACCTGCCGCAGAATAATTATGTATGTGATATTCATTGCACCAATTTGTATTCTCTGACAGGCCACTAACTACACAATGCCAATGTCAGAGTGCTTGGGAGCATGTACCATTATAATGGTTAATGCATTCACTGCCATGTGAATATGTTAATAAATAATGGAATAAAAACACGATGAAGCAGGTTCAAAAACAGTTCATTTGAAAGCACACAGGGGCCTGGCAAGGGCCAAATGCAAGGGCAGGCTTCGGTAAATGAAGATCCCCATTTCCACTGACCTGACTTCCCTTGATACTTTGCTGGGGAACTTCTAGATCCTCAAAAATCCTTAACTGCACATCAAATTGATGGCACGTTCTTTGCACTCTAAAAATGAAGTGCGCATTAAGCCCAATGTAAAGAGTACGCTTGTCTCAACCTTTCCACCTCTCCTGAGCCTCTTTGCACATTCAAGATCAGGATTAGTTTGAGACAGACTGTCGCGATAGACAGCTTACCATTTTTCTCCCTACTTTTGGCTGGGTTCCTCAGCATTACGTTCTGGACTCTGTCTTGGTTCTTCCGATGTTTTCTGTCCCCTGCTGGCCCGTCGGACACATTCCTCAGGACTTCTCTGGAGTCCGGCCAGCTCCGATCTCCCCCTACTTCTTGCCGAGGGAGGAACGGGGGGCCGGAAAGCTGCTCCCGCAGGCCCAGCGGCATCCTGTAGGGCTTGGCCGGTTGGAACAAGAGCTGGTTGTGGTGCCACAGGTCCCTGGTTGCCGTAGCGGATGGCCCGGGCTTGTTAGCCGGCTTGGCCTCGGGGTACTTGCAGTCGGTGGCCTCGTGTCGGGCCTTGTCGCGGAAGTAGACGTAGCGGGCACACTTGGGGCAAGGCTCAGTTCGGCTGCCGCAGAAGTCCTTGTGCTCAGCAAGGTTCTTGAAGTCCATCCCCATCTCGCAGTACTCACAAGTCACCTGCCGTTGGGGGCAATGCTCCGCCTAGAAAAAAGGAACAGTAGAATACTTACATGTACATAAGGCCCAGCAAGAGAACATCCCTCATGAATCTTTACACCTAACAAGCCAAGTAAATCAAGTGAATTCTACACTCGAGCCTTACAAAATGAAAAAACGTGAAACAACTGAAGTCACTCTGGGTTTACAAATTCCTAGATAAATTTACCCTCATTTCATTGGCACTGTGGTATGTTGCTATTTCATTTTGCTTTTTATAATCTGTTAAGACACAATGTTTTGCCGGAACAAGTTATTAACTTCTGAAGTCAAACCTTTCCTGTTTCAGTCATAAAACATATTCCTTAGTCAAGTTCTTTTTTTCAATAATCATGTTCTGAAAACACTCAGCCCAAAAAGCCTAGATGTTAATTTTGTTTTCATTTTTCTTGTTCACAATCTGAGCCTGGCTTCGTTGGACTTCGCAATCTCCGTCACATAAGGTACAAATGACCTTACTTGTGCAAGGATCCCACTAAATATTAAAAACACATTCACTGTGCTCACATCATGTTCTTCTTGTTTCCATTTCTCAACTGCCTCGCCACATTTACAAGTCACCTGGGACAAAAACCAAACAGAAAGGTTACGTATGGCATGTCAACGTTGAAATGAAGGCATGAATAGATGTTGTCAGGAACTTACATTTTGTTTTGGGTAGAACAGTCATTACCTTTGCTTTGTTCGTGCTCTTTTCCCAAGAATTTACAGGGACACATAAATAGGTAGATGACCCGATCCCACACAGTGGGTTTAACAGTCACGTTTTCAGCAATTATGGTTTGATACCCATTAGAATGAGGAAGAAGAGCTTTAATTTTGACGGATCAGTCCAATTTTGTGTTCAGATAAAAATTTGGACGCAGAGAACGTGGGTGAAAAATAGTGAGGGTTCCTTCTGATTTTTGTCAGGTAGTGTTCTTTTTAAGGCCTTTAAATTCAGAAATCGCTGTGGCAACTTATACCTCGTTTGTGAGTCCGGATCGCATACAAAGACACCTCTGGTATCTAAACACGTACTTGTCAACATTCCCGGTTTTTTTTTCATTTACCTGGAAGCCATGTATTTCTGAACACATCACGCCAAAGACTTCGTCTTGATCAGATATTGTGTAGCTATATGTGCATGTATCTCTAATACTTTGGGCACGTTTCAAGGAATTTTACTCGATTTGTCAAAGTCTGAGAGTGTAACCTAGAGGCACTTTCTTGTTCACTTACATTTGAAACATCAAGTCTCATACAAAGTTATTACGGCTTTGGAGTAAGAGAACACAATTCCTTGACAATTCTTCTATCTTAAACAGGATTTTAGCCAGCATTTGAAAACGTTGTGTCCACTTTTGGCTTTGAGAAAAGCACAGAGCATCCAAATTGGTATAGAGGTTTACTATTTACATGTATTTGCATAACAACACAAGGAGTCTAAAATGGCTTACAGGAAGTCCAAAAGACACCTGAATACCCCTCTGGCTAAAACTTTGTCCTTAACCCTCTCAGATGAGTGAAAAAAATGTAGTAATATTGGAAGATTTAGGACTATCAGGACTCAAAACTTGAAGAAACAAGGTATCATGTTTTGATTTAATTTGGAGAACTTAAGGTGCATGCTGTAACAACTCTGATTAGTCCTGAATCTTTAAAAACCTTACAAAATCCTTAAATCATTTTTAAACACACTCTTTTTTACATGTATTTATCCCTGGTCCCACCCACCTCAATGTGATATTCTTCATTGTGTTCACTCATTTCAGAGCGGGGAACCGGCTCTTCACATTTGCTGCATAGCACTATGTTACGGCTGCAGTGGTTCTGATGCATCAAGTAGTTCATCGATGGAATGTCCCGTTTGCTAACAGAGAAGGAAATCAGGATCGTAACACATAAAAAACAGACAAGACAGATGTGTGAATGACCCACATAGGACGATATCGTGTACACGTGCCATTTGCCAACACAAACAAAGCCACCATGACTTGTTTTTTGGGGGGTCTCCAAAGATGGCCGCAACGTCCTTGAGTGAAGCACAGTGCGCTATAACTTTTCATACTTTTTGAGCAGCCTCAGGCCATAACTACATCATTCATGGGTTTCATGGGAAAAAGGCACAAGAAATGATTACTTTATTTCAGGCTACCTGTATAAAACTCAATAGTCAGACTCTCAAGATTCCCTGAGATTCCAACATCCCAAGATTCCTGATAGGATTTCACCATGCACGTGAGCTAATTTGGGGCTTTCCAAGATGGCACGCAGTGACTTCAGTGCCATAATCTCAATGTGCTATCCAGTCTGTATACAGAGATCAGCAGTGTGAGCTCATGTGGGTGGCATAGAGTGTACTTGTGTGGCATACTCATGCAAACTATGGAAAGACAGGGTTCTAGACGTTGGTTGCCATGGCAGCCAAACGGCAAGTACATTACAAACTTTCACCATAATCCTGAGGAAGTATTTACAACTGCACAGAAAAGGAAAATGGCCAAAAACGTATGAAATTCACCGATGCCTTGGCTGTTATTTAAAATCTGGTTAGCTTAAGTGCAAATGGTGAAGAGCATTTGCACAGCCAATTTTCAACATTATGTGCACAACCCCAAACTGAATCTGTACAAATTATGCACCAACCTGTTATGTCCTTCTGTGAAAGGATTACAATTGATCTTATAGGCAAATGTACAGACTGGTGGGAAATTTTTTCCCAAAGGCAGACCGTAATGTTTTCCACATATCTCAAAAAACTGTTAGATGTGTTTATCAACAAAATAATTCAATCCAATGTGGTCTCTATGAATGAACATGCACGTCACTGTTCTGAAGCTATTCAAAGGAAATATCCAATATATCTATTGTACAGCCTCGGACCACACCCTGTAGGCCTATTAGTAAGTACATGTATGATGCAATCAGGCAGACAACAATGTGGACATCAATAGGGAATTCCCACTGAGTGAAGCCACTAGACCTCACATAAGGTTATCAATGTCATCAACATGTGTAATATAACTAGAGTCGGGGTCAACCCCCACATTAGTTTTGGTCCTCCCACAAAAGGAGAAGTCACAGTCCTGCATTTTAGTTTCCACACCTTCACATACTCTTTCTCATGCCGTTGGCAAAACGGTGACTGTCACTGGCATTACGTAAAAAGAGGGAATGGCATCATGTAGAACCTCATGATATTTTGACCACAAAGTGCAAACACCTTGAAAGCTTTTAAACTTCAATACTTACTTCGCTAGGCCTAACTCAAAAGAAGGAAACAACTGGGTAAGAACCACTGCACACAGGGGAAAAATTGCAAGAGAAGGTGTTGATGTTTTCTTAACACTGCTGAAACTTTTTACCACTAGACTTGAATAAACTAGGCCTAATTCAATTACCGTTGGTACTCACCAATTGCTACACAACTTGGTAGCAGGAGGATCTTGGTCATCGTGTTCGTTGTCCTTTGCCATCATGAACAAACTTTGATATTGAATGGCCTTTTCTGTCCTCCTTTTCTGCTATTAATTCTGTGAAAATCCACACAATCCAAGTTGCAACTATTCATAAAATCATTTAGCGGTGAAAGCACAGTGTTGGAGTGAACCTTGTTCATTGCATGTCTTTGTTGTGAGAACTGTACCAAGTTCAAACTCGTCGCCTGCTTGCCAACATTCTCAAAAAATGCTCATAGGGCTATAGTAAAACTACACATAGGTCTACTACAGTGTATAAAATGTATCATGCAGCCGAGAGCTTAGTCATGCTAACGCAAGTACACATTCCACTCTGGATTATGAAACTTGGAAGCTACCGTTCCAAGTAGCTTATTTCATCGCTGGGGAATTCCCGTGCCGTGCAATTTTTTGACAACGCGGCATTTGCATTCCCGGCGGCTGTCTGAGCCCGCTATTTTTTACAACATAGCACGAGCAATGGCTAGCGCTTCCACCGCAGGAAATTCCCGATAAACCATAACCAATCTAGCAGGAAAAATGTAGATTTATCGCGTAGACAGGAAACGGTGACAGGAAGATGATTTGTTTTCTTACATAAAACCGAAAGTTTGCTTCATGGGTTCGCCCGTGTACTACCTCGACGATTATCGTAACAGAAAATGCGAAGTCGAGTTTACAGTACAGGCGCAGGCCTGACACTTCTGGTTCCAGGTCTTCTGTTTACAATTGGTATAGGAAAGTCAACGAATACAACTCACACAGTCCAGGTACCAGATGTAATATTTACCGGAATAAATTAGCTGAGGGCGCTGTTTAATGACAACAGCGGGATTTCGCTTTTGTGCGAAACAACTGCCTTCGCCAGTGATGCAGATTTTGAAGAGGAAACTAGAGCGCGACCGAGTGGCCAGTCACATTTCCGGATTTTTAGATGTATCGCACGCGAGTAGGATGTACACTTGGTCATCGAATTAAAAAAAATGTATTCAATGAAAGCTACAAAATTACTAGAGCACAGGTCAACAGCGCCCTTGAATAGGCGCGTCATCAGCCGCTCCACCGTTTGTATAACGGATTAGCACGGCACGGTATCCTTTAAAGGACATTAAAAAATTAATGCATGCATTAACGGAGTGCACTGGTATAGAATCGTGTTCATTCTCTTGTAAGAGTCAACTTATGCCACAAGTCCTGCCCAAAATGAACGAGAGGCGTTTTGCTTCGTCCAGTACGATACAGACTGTATTCAAACTGTAAATGAGGTTATTCGTAAAGTGAATGACTATGTTACATTTTAAAGATGGGAAACCAACAGCCTACAATCTAATTAAATCCAACCATGCATCTTCTAAAAATGTACTGTGCCAAAAATGTTTACTGTTGCATGTATGATTTCATCACAGCAGTGTCTTCCGTTGAAACATTTGTGCAGATTAAAATTCCGTCGAACAAAATATTATTTGACGTAAGTGCCATGGATCAGAGATGTTACGAAAGAAATAAACTTTATTATGCTTCTCGGAGATGCCAGGGAATGAATCGCTGTTAGCCGATGCAGGGCTCGATCACCAAACTTTAGATGGTGCGCCTTGAGTGGAAAGTTTTCATGTTAAAGTCTATATGCAGGGTATAGGCTGCTTAGCCTCATGATGTGTGTCCAACAATTTGTTCACCTCGAACCAACCCTCCTCCAATCCCGCAAAATGAGAACCATGGAGTTAACAAGGGAAGCCCTTCTGTCGTTCAGATCCTCAGAGTTAAAAGACACACATACACTCAAAACTGGAATAAAAAGTAACAATCTCCAACGAAACTAAATAGAAAATTATTTTATCGCGTTAAGATTAGTTTATTCAGTTTGTTAAAAAAAATCAGCCAAATCTGCAAATGCACAAAAAGCTAAGTCATGTCAAAAACTTAAAATACGAAGTTTTCATTGCACATTAGTTAATGTAAAAAGTCATCTGTATAAAACTCGTAGTTAGTTTTGTCCAGCTTGTCGCAGCAGTGGTGGCTTATACTTGTACTCTTGGGCATTGTGACTGAGGGCAGGCCCCCCCCCCCAAAAAAGGAAAAAATGAGGGAAATGAAAGAAAAGGAAGAAAGGGAATGAAAATTGTAAAATGCTTCAAAATGCCATCGGTGGTTTGTCTGTGAGATGCAAATAAGTGCTTTTGCCCCTCCCCGCAAAAAAAAAATTCCGACGATGCACATGCTTGTACTCGCCCCCCCCTCTACACTTGGGGGAAACCTATTCAGTGACTGCATTACATAAGAGTGCAGCCATTCTTTTGCTTTCGTGTAGTTTAGAAAATTCGTAAATGCTGCAGTTTCGTTCATGATTCTTTACACTGTTCCTCTTGGTTTTGCCACCAATAACCTAAACTCTTTAACTGCATCTAAAATGCTTTTCAGAGAGAGGGGAAAACTTTGTATGTAAGGTTGACGTATGGTACTCGACCTCGACTACATACTCGGTCAGGTGTAACACTCATATACTCGTTCTCAGTTTCTTTACATCAATTCTGGTGTTCATGGAGATGTCTTTGCCTAAAGCGTTTTCGGGTCTGCAGAAAGGCGGAAGTTACGTGGTAGAATCTTATAAGCACGACGCAGGACAAAATCCAACCCCCAAATTGGCCCAACTCCCATTTCGACGGAAAAACGCACTCTTGGCCCGCGCTTGACGGATCGGGTGGGGGTTGTGAGCTACACTTGCAAGTCCCCTCGCTAATCGTATTAAAGTGACTTCGTCACAAAGGCGGACGAGTCACGATTTGCAGGCTCCCATTGGACAATCGCTGAAGTTGCGCGTTAACTTCCGGTTCCACGGTTCCATGTAAACGGCGATCAATGCATGTAACACTGTGTACTGTGCATGTGCAGTGGGTGTGGTTTAAAATGAAGTGACGTCACACTTACGAACCAGATACAGACGACTTCTATCTGAAACACAGATTAGGCATTCCCGGTCGATCAACTACACGGCAGAAAAAGGAAGATCGAAACCTTTCACAACCACAACCTGTACACTGACGGCTTGTATCGGGTTCGTTGCAGCCTCGGCTAGGTGAGAACTTGTATATAGAAAACAAACAGTTTCTGTGACATTTCCATACCTCTTAATCCACCCGCTTGCTTTAATCCCATACACATCTACTCTCATCCACAGTACTAAGTATTCTAACCATTTTCTGCCCTACCAACCTACCCCCGCGGCCCATCTAGCTTGGGGGTGGTGGTATTTTTTAGTTTAGAAACGAAGGTCCAAACTAATTCTTTTTTTCGTGAAAGAAATTCACCCAAGAATGCGGTAGTAGGCCTACCGTTATGAAAGTGTAAGTGCTTTCAATTCCTAAACTGGCCACATATCTCAAGGGCCATGCAGCACCCCGCTGAATATGCTTACACAAATACGTATTCACATGATAATAATCCACGGTACAATAGATTTAAATCATAACAGTGCCAGTTTTTGTTTACATGTGCGCTTTCCTACGGGGGCTTGGTGAATCTAGTCCCATTACTCTGCCATAGGAAGGCGCACATGTAAACAAAGAGTGACGTCATTATGCTGTAGTTCTATTCTATTTGTCGATACATCGAGCCTCTATCTGGATAATCCCCCCGGCAATAAACGAATAAAGCTAGAATACGAATACAGCAAGGCACTGATTGATCAGTCTCCTCAGCCTAGTTCAGCTTCACAACAGCGCCCGATTGAAAATGATCTTAGTTTGCAGTGTCCCCGATTCTAAACGAATCGTCGTGGCTTTGACAAACTAGGGCCTATAGCATGTACTTACATCTCCATCCCAAGTGAATTCGGGCGATTCACTGTAGTGCGCCTCCTAGAGTTTGCAACGCGTTGACCAATCACAATGCGTGAAATCTGTCCAACCTTTCCAAACGCGCATTCGGTCGACAGATTTCGCGCACCTTGATTGGTCAACGCGTTGCAAACTCTCGTGGGCGCACTATTGTGAAACGCCTGTATTGCAAACGGTACGAGGGTCGCCCTATATATCTGCACAATACATGTACAACCAAAACTGTTTATGGCGTCACTATGTTCACTTTTTCCACATTGCATCGACTGTCGAGAACCTTATGTTTTCACGATCTCGTGATTTGATCAATCTGTCGATAAAAGAACACGGCTTTAAAGTCTGCACAGAAGACGTTGCCCGGCAACTCTTTACCTGCAGGATGTTCCTTGTGGTAGCAACAAGCGCGGAATCCACTCAGAATTAAACATCCGCTGCAGAAGGTCTTCCATGGAAGACTCATGTACACACATAATACAGAGACCTTGTCAATGTGTTACTGGCATTTTGGAACAGCTATTCAACATCAGTTTTGATCTCTCGAATTGTACAAAATAATTATGACGATCTCGCATCGTCGGAATACAAAACTTAATTACTGGTTATTATAAAGCTTTATTTCTACTACATAGCACCAAATATCAACAGATGGAAACACGTGCATCTTTCCATTTGATCGACTGAGAATTCCACTCTATTCAACACAATGTATGTTTACAGGAATACAGACACACCTTGTGAAAGGACATTTCAACGAGTTTAACGTGCGATTTCCGTCATGCTTTTCGGTTTTTTTTCTCATAGGAAAATCGGGAAATCTTTGGAAAGCCCTCCATTGTTCAGTCTGTTAAAAAATCTGGTCTTTCGAAAAAGTACTGACGAATATTGATAATGGTAGCCATATTTACAATTTGCAAAGTAAAAAATGGCAAAACATTATAGAAAAGTAATACTCAATGGTATAGGCAGAGTACAAGGAGATTTACCTTTGGGCAGTTTCTTTTTTTCACGAAGATTAACGTCATGCCTTAACATCGGTTAATCTTCGGCTTAGTCGAGAAACCTTGGCGGGTCGACGGAAGGCAAAATGAGCGGGGGCGTTTCCCCGCCTATTTACGTGGAAATAAGATATGCGACATTTAGAAAATAGACACTGTTTGAAAAGTTAATACCATGCCTCTTTATGCCTCCCGTTCTCCCGTTACAAAGCCTTCCACGCTCCAAAAGCGCATTGCAAATTTTATGAGGTAAAATCCTGCAGTTTACTTGAGCGCCTTCAATAATGCTACATGTAGTTTCGCTGGTCCCCACAGCCTAACGGGCTGCTGTGATGGAATGGGATGATTGCTTTCATCAAATTCTGTAGAGAAGTACGGGCATTGCAAAGCATCTTGTATTCTTAGCAGCACGTAGGCCTACACATTAAATTATTTTCTTCAGTACACGGAAGTGTCGACTCGTGGTTTTGTTCAAACACAGTTCTGTACAATGCGGGCACAAAGAAATGACATCACCCATCCTGAAAAAATCAGTCCTTAGCTGTGTCCGAATAGGCCTATGTACAGATGACGTAAATCTTTATTTACGTGCGCACTTTTCTATGGAGCAAGTGGGGTACCTGGTCCACTGTGCTCCATAGGAAAGTACACAAGCACGTAAACGAAGTGTGGCGTCATCAGCACAGAGGCCGGCTTGCACGCGCGTAGTGGCCGTAACTCCCGTAGAGCGGTGTACATTTTCAAGCCTCAGACAAGCGACTCCGACACGGCCTATCACAGAGCTCTGTTGCAGGATGACGGGGAGGAGCGAATAGTGCAAAACGTGCATTAGATAGAGTATATGGCACATGGCTTGCCCATGCAAGCACAGCCATGACACTTTGACTTGTATCATTTTTCCCATGCTTAGCTATCTATCCATGATAAAGGCCTCGTCACTCTTGTTATTATTGTCCCTTCTGATGAAGTCGTTGTAGACCACTCGTCGAAACAGCACGACATTGACGGTGACAATCGCCACGTTGCACATCGGTGTGGCGATGGCCAAGATGGTGGCCATGTCGTAGGCCACGGAACAGTAGCCCGAGTACACCATCGGGATCAGACGGAAGACGACAAAGGTGGCCAGGTTGACGATCTTGACGACGCGGAAGAGGAGCGACTGCCTGGCGACTCCATGCATCAGGAGAAGCTGGCGGAGGTGTAAGAACACCGCATTGACCTCGCAGAAAAGCGCGAAGAGCACCACGCCCATGCCTTGCTGATATCGCTGTACTAACGTCAGCAGAAACGAGCCCTGAAAATTGATGGAGAAACTAACGGATTATAGAAATCTCTACTCATCAGGCTTGTCGAATGCATCTTAAAAAAACAGTACTTATGGGCATCACGGACTGACTGAACGGATGAACTGAGCTTGATTAATTCTCCCCATAATTATATTGTTTAAAATGGTGTTTCGGCTCTGTGGCAAAAGGAACTCCGGGCAAAGTTTAAATTTTGGACAACAAAATCTGTAGCTCTGAAGACTTTAATTACTGAGATCGGTATCTGTTGAAGTGATCCACTGATCCATGCCACTGGCTAGTATTCTTTCACTGTAATCAAAATTTGGCAAAAATATCTTCACAATAGGGGCGTTTCACAATAGTGCGCCTACAACAGTTTGCAACTCGTGGTCCAATCACAATGCGCGAAATCTGTCGACCCAATGCGCGTTTGGAAGCGGTCGACAAATTTCGCGCGTTGTGATTGGCCAATGCGTTTTAAACTCTTGGAGGGGCACCACTGTGAATGGCCCGTATTGATTTTCAACAAATGAGCTATACGATATCAATCATGTCATCAAGATTATCCTTTGATGGTCCACCGACGGTATCGACGACCGTTCTATGGTTACCAAAAGGCAACTACGGCTAAAATTGTGGGTTTCACCAACAACTTAGCTATACGTTTCTTACCGTGAGATGGTGTCCTAATAACGGCCATATTGCAGAGAATTTGTTGTAGGAAACCAGGTCGTGTAAGTCATACATGTAGTAACCTGTGGGGAGCAACGAAGGCAAGAGGTTACACATGGAGATATTAGAAGAGTCGTCGGGTATTAGTTGCATGAAGTATGTAATTCTTTCCAGCCTTAATGTCTATTACCACAGCTGTCGGTGTCTTTCTCCACGCTGCATCCTTCCCATTCCTAACATGCCGCACTACATGTACATGGCTATAAGTGCCGCCATGGCGCCACGGTTGGTGAGCACGGCAGAATTGTCGTTCCATTTTGGACGCTCCAATGCGTTTGCCACAGATGATACATGTAATGGTCTCAGTGAATGACACGTGATATTTTCCCCAATCAACATAATCACTGTAGTGAACTTTCCACAAAAGGTTCCCCGTTTCATGCGCATGTTTTTGAATATGAAGAAATTCATTTAATTTAGGTTCGATTTTTTTTAAAATGATCACTACTACGACTGGTTATTAAGATTCTCAAATTGCACAAATTTTCCGTTGGTCATTTTGACATGGTGATGAACAGCCCTCTCGTTTCTTACCCACGAGGACAGCGAACGTAATTTCGTTGAGACGCGTGCAGTAATACACCATGTTACTCCAAAGCTCCGGGTACCAGTAAAAACTGAAGACAAATGAAAACAAATCGTAATAGATATCAAAGGTGTGGTCAGCACAAAGGCACAACTGTGCAAGCATGCAACTTCACTGACATAATTTGCACAGCCGGTGAGATGTGTTGTTCACGTGTATACGCTTGTCTATGCTTGGAACTATAATTCTTAACAACAAAACAACTTTCTTTGCATATCGAGGGCTTAACAAATACGAGCTGGATAAGTTATACATTATAATAACACGTTTTTTCTTCGAACAAAACAAGTGTGTCTGCTGTGATTCTTGATGTGCAAAGCGAACTATAACCACACAATTGTTAACATTTTTGTGGTAAAAGCGGAAAACAATTCGGCTGCAGTAATTAGGTTATTCAACAAAATGAACGTCCTACATGCACAAACAATGCATGTACATGTACATCTAGGTTGGACATTTACTCATTGTCGAACATCACACGGATGGTGCAACCTGTGACGTTACATGCAGGCCAACAGCCACGGACTATTCCACATTCGTCCACTAAACCTGTCGTATACGGGAAATGACATATTGACACCAACCACCTTCTTTTCCCGACATGTAACATACACATTTGATGATTACAATAAAATTCTTAGCGGGAAGGTGGTTTTTCTTTTGCCCTGTGGATCTGGTCCATGGAACAGAAAGCCACGTGACCGGAAAACGCTCATTTTTGGTAAACATAGATTTTATTTCCAAGGGCCATAAATACGTGTTACTTCAGTACACTATTTTTACGACGATTCAGTCTACAAATCATGACAGAGTAACATATACCTCGTGTATAGATAACCGTGTCATCTACAGATGGTAATAAAATAGACTACTAAAGTTACTGTATGAAAGTTTGGAATGATTCATTGTTCGTTTTATCTTCTGGAACTAGTACACTGTGTAATTTTATCTGCTTGTGACGTAAGATCCCGTGATTTTACGGTACATTAGCATTTTTCGGGGGCTGCAAGCTAGGTACAATATCTTCTATAAAAGTTCCCTTTTATTCAAAACGTTCAGCCAAGAGAATGTTTCGGATTATTCGTGAACCAGGTGAAGCCAAACATTAGACGAAGCCGAGACTAGGGGTAAAAAGGCTACAACACGAGCAAAGTTCTTAACCCGTGTCCTGATATGGCCTTGCGTTATGGACCTGTTGATCAGTGTTCCATTATATGCAAAGCGCAATGAGCCGTTACACATATGGGTCGATAGAAAAGAGGATGATGGACAACAGTTGCTTATTGCTAACAATGTCTTTGTGCGGAGTGGGCCCATCGCGATCTTTCACCTTTATTTAGTAGTACAATTGATCTGTTTGCGTTCAGCATTGTTAGGGCTGGCCATTATCACTTAATAGCCAGACCAGCACCTTCACCCGCGTCTGGTGGTTATAGAAACAGGATAAATTCTTGGATGTCGGGTAGATTTAACCGTATCTCGTCAGGTTTGTGATCATACAACCGGTCATGGGTTTGCAAACACCCCCATAGACGCAGTGCAAAGGGATATTTTTCGTTCACATGAACTACCTCATGTTTTGACTGAGCAAACACGTCTTTGGCCCGAATGACCTTAGTCAATCTGCATCCATGGAGCATGAATGCAGTCGACCGAAGACAACCAAAACATTTCATTCACAATCCTGTTCCCATGGACACTGATGCCGTGGATCAACACTCCTAAAGTATAGGAGGTCCACAATACATAGTTCTATTGTTTGTTATGTATCACCAGTCATGGGCTATATGCAACCATCATGAGTGGATCGTGGACGAGAGATGTCACACAACAAAATGTAGCCTCACCCCTCAGATAGGCCAAAATGAGCGTCACACGAACAATTCCTCTTGTTTATGACCCCCAAAACAGCCCCCAGAATATTGGGTTTAGTTTCGCCCTTGTGTGCAACACGAGGTACTTGGGTGAAGAAAGTTAGCGCTGAAGTGTATGCGGTGTCCAATATTCCCTGATGAAGAAATTCTACATAAGATTTGACCATAGAAGGCTAGATAGAGCCAGAAAGACTCGCGCCCCGAACCGTCACATGATGACATTGGCAGGGATTTATGTGTTTGTAAAAACCCTTCCTCCACGGTAAAACAAGTAACGCAAACAAGTTTACAAACTTTATAAAGTTATTTTCGTATTGTCTGTTGAAGTCCCCCCCTTATGAGTTTATTATTAGTGCAGTGGACCGTTTCTGTCTATACGTTAACACAAATAAACGTAGAATCAGCACTCGATTGGCATAAATTATATATAGATCGGCAGAAATAAATTATATATAGATCGGCAGAAATGTGTGCATATCATTAGGCGTCCCCAGCCTCAGGCGAAAGAATGAAAGAAGATACACAGTTTGTCATGATGACTCATGTACTTCACGTAACCCTTACACTGCAATAAATCGTGCACATGAACAACATATAAATGTAGACCTATGATCATATGGACGATCAGTATGGCAGCAGAATTAGAACTACGGCCGATCTACGAGGTTGTAAGTTAGCGTATAGCCTACTTAGGTACACGCCTTGCTTAGTTTGCGTGTAAGCATGGTACCACTCGGAGCACTACTCACTACTCGTTTGACTCCATGTACCTGACTTTCGCTTGATACATTTAAGGTAGGATTGAATAACAGGGTTACGCATTATGTCTAGTTTCGGGGTGGGGGGGGGCTATAGTCCGTCACATCCTCCATCATGCACCTGCAACAAAACATCCCACAGAAGAGCTTGTTTGCAGTATTCGAAAGAAGCAACATGGAGCAGTGATTGATGGTAATATCGGCAATGAGTTTGTTAAAAGGGGGCTCAAAGCAGAGTCAAACATAAAAGATTTGAGAATTTCAAAACAATAATTAAAAACCAAAGAAAAAGCCCCAAGAGGGAATTTGTGATATTTATTAACACGTCAATGGCAAAGTTTGCAAGATTTAGCTGCACACGGTGTTTGGCCTAGACAAATGGAGGAAGGAATATAGAGGGCGGGCGGTGGCCTACATTTTAACATGAGAAAAGGAACTGGTAAATGATAGAGCAAGGAAAAGATACCCATGCAAGGAAGGTAAATGGAACTAAACTAATATTTTGATGGTTCCACCATGGAGCAAGCAGACATCCACTGAGCATGCACTGTACTGAGGCAGCGTGTGCAATCGGACGCAGCCAAGACAACGCGCTTACCAGCTGGAGACGAGGACAGACAAAACGAACGAATTCAACAGCGACGTGGCCGCGTTTCTCCATTTGTGCTTGTCCGTTGCCGAGTATTTCCCGCATGGCCCGTACCGCATGGGCAGCCGGTCGAGCAGCCGGTTGAAGGACTGGAACGCCAGGGCTGAGCCGGCGACAATGGAGAGCAACAGGAGTGTCATGTCCTGCTCCTGGAGTCGAGTACGTGCGGACCCACCACATGTAATACGTACGTGCACGTGATGAACGGGGAAGACGCCGTCTCCCCGAAACTGAACAAGTTGACGGGATCGACTAGCAGCACTGCGGAAACAGGGTCTGTTTGCGTCCTTCCTCCATGGCCTGAGTCAGAACTGTGGCCGCCCCTGTTTCAAATATCACACTGTCAATGATCTGAAGAATAGAAGTTTCCAGGATGGTCACGACACACTGCGACGGGAGATTCCTAAAATCTGTAACAATTCAACTTGCAGTACCAAGTACTGTAGGCAATTATGCACGTACATCAGGCACCGCGTGCTCCACTAGTCTTGGTTACAAGACGTCGGTAGTCCAGGGATAAGACAATACGAACTTGCTTTTTTGAGTTCACTGTGCGAAACATAAGGCCAGGCACACTGCATAAAAGGCATTGCCTGCGCTTGACGAGGTCGCTACAAAATGGCCACCAAGGTTGCTACCGATGGTGCGCACTTGACGTCCATTCACCCAAACGGATTGTATTTTTTATGTCTCCCTGCGTGAACCAAGTAATTAGTAACGTCTTGTAAGTGAGACTACGTGCCCGCTTGTGTTGACTCACGTCTTCTTTGGTTACTCTCAGAGGTTGACTTGCTCAGCCACACATTTGAGCATTGAGGTATAAATGTCTACGGCCAGCAAACAACTTGGTCTGCGCCAAACAGCTAGTCGCTAACCGGTGGCTTCTAGAGAAGTCCACGTATTATAATCAGCAGTAGCCAAGTCAGTCGGACACGGTCACTCAGGGATCAAATGATCGACATCAAACCTACGATAAAATAATGTCAATAGCCGTGGGCATCAGCGTCAAGTGATTTATGCTGGTCGCGAGGCGCGGCCGCGCCGGGGGTTAGGTAGCCTAATATGGACTGTAGAGAATACTAAACTTGTACCAGTCGTCAACTACAAAGGGCATTGGTGCCGGAATGCACATTCACCTACAAACCTGGAACTTTGATTTGCTTTTATCAGTATCATCAATTACATGTTGGCTATTCGATCCAAACAAATTTAGATTGCAGTCTTATCGTTTTGGATTAAATGCAAAACTTTCTCGACAAATTATTTCACATTAAAGGCGCCCTTCCATATGCCAGTCAACACTTACGCCAAGCGTTGCGTATAAAATATATACACGCACATGTATCATCCGTCTAATCGTTCCCAGGGCGATTTTGATGGCCGAAGGCAACGCACACATAATTTCATGTTATGTTAATGGTCACTGTCTGTGTCCGTGAAAGTGAAACGCACTGACGGAACGCATCGTGTACGCAACGCACCCCCAAAACGTACACAATTATGGAGAGGTGCTTAAACACGTTCATGGCGTTGCACTTGTCTAGACCATTTTATGGAAACTTATTCCCAAATACAAACCAGAAAGCATTCGGGTTCTGTCGAAAGCAGTTGGCAGTTTCAAAAGCAACGATCGAAAGTGAAGAATACAGGTGTCTCCCCGTTCAGCCATTTTGGCCAGCGGTAAGATTCATAAGTCACGTACAGAGCGAGTTTTGTGAAGTTTTATAAAAAATAATCAGTTGTGAATTAAAGGACGCGACATTTGGGGCTATGACGGTAAGTTATTGTCGTTTCGCAACCGTGAGACAAGAATTGTAAAATGGAGAAATCGGAACCTCTCAAATTAACAAGCTCAGTTTATTTGACATTCTCTCAATTCCAGAGCCGGCTGAGTGTAATAAAATGTTCAACCCATGCAACCCATGGCTGGTCTACGAGCAAGCTTCTAATAATTCCAAATGACTTTCAGTTGATATTCAGATTAGTTATAGTGCCCGTATATATTTATGAATATCAATAATTTTGTGGTTCGATTTACAATATTATGTTCTTGACCTTAAATACGGATTCTCCTGGTAAGCTGATAAATTTCCGGAAAGCCATCTTGAACTATAACATAAAGATAGCTCTCCGGAAAGTTATTAGTAAGTCTGTGTATCATATTTATGCTAATACGTGGATTCATTCTACGGTGATGGGAGAGCGCGGGACTTTCGTGGAGATGTGCCACATATAGAACAGGTAGCGGGAAGACCTGTCCAGCTTACCATTATTATGGGCGTCACCAGGTTCCTTTTTGGGGGGGGCAAGCACTCATCACCGTTGACGATCGAACCGTGGAAGCCGGTCATTCGCAAGGCTTTTTGGGATTTTACCCCCCTCGGTTCTGTCGCTTTTTCTTTCTTTTCGTTCCTTTTTATTTTTAATATTTTTCCGTTGAGGTGGAAGCTTCGGGAACGCCCATTGCTCCACGCCCATGGACCCAACCACACCTCAACCCATCTAGGCGACATTTCGCTGCCATTGGGAGACCTGGGCCCGTTTCAAACGTCCTGTTTCTGCCGTGTTGAATACAGTTCAACTTGATTTTGTTATTGGGCATGGCATAAGCACGACGTTTGAAAGCAATACGGGCGATTCACAATAGTGCGCCTCCAAGAGTTTGCAACGCGTTGGCCAATGCACAATACGTGAAATCTGTCGATCCTTTCCAAACGCGCATTGGGTCGACAGATTTCGTTCATCGTGTTTGGCCAACACGTTGCAAACCTAGTGGAGGCGCTCTATTAGTTTAGTTTAGTTTAGTTTTGTTTTTATTTCTCACTCTTGTGGCCAGAGGCCAAATTACGGTGAAAAACACACACGATTTGAAGTAAAATTACAACATTACTAATCATTACAAAAACAAAATTCATCGACAAAAGTAACCATTATGATAATAATCATACTGCAATACGTGAACAACCGAGCTATTAAAACCGAGGAATTATGAGAACTGCTCTATTGTGAAACGCTCGTTCTTGGTTCAGCAATTATAAATTTCGGAACGGCAGAGGAGATTGGCTTGATTTAGTACGGCAGAACACGGTGTGGTTTCAAACGTCGTGCTAATGCCGTGTCGAATACAATTTCTATTCGAAGTTGGTCCTAAACTTCGTTGATATTATTAGGAATGCGCATGCTCACAACGTGCAGTGGAGTTGAGGAATAATCATCGACAACGCATCAACAAATAATGGCGAGTAAAATGGAAATTTCTCGAAATGCAAGGGGCAGGCACGGTGCTCGGGGAAGAATGGGGTTTAGTTCTGCAGTTTCTCTTTCAAATTCCTGCTTGATGTGAGATAAGATGAACTCAATGTGACCTTTGAACTAAAAATCATCTCCGAACGTCGGAACAAGACTCCCAAGTTCACCTGGGAGATATTTCATTGAGATTTCACTGTAAGATCACCGGGAACCATAACATCGAGCCTTGAAAATAAAAAGGCCTCGATATTTGTCGAGAAATAGAGTACCAGTAGTGCTCGCCAAAGCTAAATACGTCTTCCAACTCAGGCCGAAAGATAGCAAAATCACGTTTCATGTTGTGCTGATCCGCCATGTTGGATTTATTTAAATTCGACTGGGCTTTATGAATTAAGTTCGACGTTTAAAACCACTGCCGTGCTTATGCCATGCTAGCGTCGCGCTCAATTCAATTGAATTCGATATGGCAAAAGCACGACGTTTGAAACTTTATTTGAAAGTTTAAAAATAATCACCGACACCTTGAGGCCATAGGATGTCCATGGTAAACTTTGAGTATCACAAGTTAGTTACTGAACATTTTACGGACAACTTTCCGTCGTTTCAGCGGCCAATCTGCGAGATGCACATCACCGTTGTAGCTTGCTGTCTCACGTACACGTGTAATTAAAACAAAAAAGTTAGTTTCAGCTCCGTGGGATGAAATATCAGCATCACTACCAATTTCTCCCGCAAACACTGACACAACAAACCCTCATCCAATTTGGACATGATAGTTGTTTCTGATTACCAGAGTTGGATTCCAACCCAATTTCCTCTTATTTATTGAATGTCCTGTAAAGGACACCGTACTCACGTCAGAATAAAGGACGGCTGGTTTACAACTAACTACATGTAGGCCTACAATTTTGTACAAACTTATTCAACGCGCGCCGCGCCGGTCCCGGATTGCGGAAGTCAAAGAGATTTTGTTAACTAGCTAGCAACACGTAGTGCTAGTGTGCCGTTGATCGGTCTTCAAATTATGGGGAAATAGATGATCTCCCGAAGGTTGAACAAAATAGCTCCTTTTGTACGTTTGGACCTCATGAAGTAGCACCAACAGGTCTGACATGGCGTTGATCACGGAAAAAGTGAGGCTAAAGGAGTCGGACGATCGTGTGCGACACTGGAAGCGATGGGGACCGTACCTCTCGGAGCGGCAGTGGGGGACCGTCAGGGAGGACTACTCGGCTGACGGAAGCTGGTTGGTAACAAGTGTCATTTGTGTTTAAAATGTTGGGTACGATCAGTCGGTCTTGATTTTCGCTACCAACCAAATTTCCGGCTGTGGGAGATTCTTCTTAAAGGAAAGTCGAAGTTTTTTATGCAGGGTTGTCAGCCCTCGGTATGTACCAACGTCATTTTGTCTATACCACGATTTTGGAAACTAGTTTTTTTTGTCAGGTGTTTGTGATGATGGGTGAATCAGACGTGTGCTTTATCATAAAACCCCCAGAATTGTGGGGTCCGACGTCCCCCCCCCCCCGCTCTGAGCGGGACAGACGTCGGACCCCACAGTTCTGAGGGTGTGCCTCATAAATTTGGAGGTCAAGAAATTTATCCAAATGGAAATGTATGACTCAGTAGTTGGACTGTTTCCACCTCTTATTAAAAAAAACAACCAAGATCATTTGCGCAGTACTGTGTAAGAAAACGCTTGGCAAGTGCTGAGTCAGCATGAATTGGCATTATTTTAAGAGAGCACCCACCAAGCCCTTCTGTCATGCTAGTATTTGTTTCGGTCAGTCCTGAAGTTGCATGGACTTTAGTCTTCTTTTATTTTTTTATCAGAAATGTTAATAATTAAAAGTGACAAACATGTAGACAGTTTCTGAGCCATTAAAAAAGTGAACAACTCTAAATGTGTCAGGATTGTGTTACAAAGAAAGACTAAAGGAGACAGGGTAAAATTGGGTTGGTGTGGGTACAGGCTTGGGTTGTGGTGGGTGGGCACGAGGGCTCAGAGGTCAGGGGTCAGAGGATGACCCCTGAGGAAAGCTTTTGATGAATATTAAAGTTTGCAGAGCAGGTTTGTTTCCTGAGTGTGAATGCATGTACTGCTCTTAAACTGTAATTTTGGAGGAGGCAAAGTTCAGTGACGTACTGTGTTCATAATTGTAAGTGTAGGTTTTGTTCCCAGTTGGAGTGACATTTATGTATATTGTAAAGTAATCAAAAAGAAGGGTGTTCCACAAGGGCTTTCGCAAATCAGCCCACTTTGCTAAAATTGTATGCCATACTGCTAAAATTTGTACATTACTTGCTTCCAATAACAACTTCCCAGCTGTTTGCTCAAGATAGATCGTATGGGTAAAGAAATCTACNTCGGGTATGAAAGTGGCACTATTTGAGCAATTTTGCCGAGGGAGGGTTTTTCAAAATGGCTACTTTTCTGGACAGGGACATTTTCTGCATTTACGGGGTGGTCTGCTTGTGGTGAAAATTCTCAAAAATTTATTGGTCAACCCCCCGAAAATTGAAAGGAAAATGAAAGAGGACATGTGGAACATCATTTTTCTATGCAGCCTAAACACCTGTGAGAGTTGTGAGTATTTTAAAAATATTTGTGAAGTATGGGGATTTATCACTGCTGTCTATGGGAATTTATTTGTAGTGGTGCACCCCCAAGTTCACCTGGGAGATATTTCATTGAGACGTCACTGTAATATCACCGGGAACCGTAACATCGAGCCTTGAAAATAAAAAGGCCTCGATGTTTGTCGAGAAATAGAGTACCAGTAGTGCTCGCCGAGGCTAGATACGTCTTCCGACTCAGGCCGAAAGATAGCAAAATCACGTTTCATGTTGTGCTGATCCGCCATGTTGGATTTATTTGAATTCGACTGGGCTTTATGAATTAAGTTCGACGTTTAAAACCACTGCCGTGCTTATGCCATGCTGACGTCACGCTCAATTCAATTGAATTCGACATGGCGCGCATAAGCACGACGTCTGAAACTTTATTTGAAAGTTTAAAAATTATCACCGGCACCTTGAGGTCATAGGATGTCCATGGTAAACTTGAGTATCACTATGACCTCAAGGTGCCGGTGATAATCTTTAAACTTTCCAATTTTACGGACAACTTTCCATCGTTTCAGCGGCCAATCTGTGAGATGCAGATCACCGTTGTAGCTTGCTGTCTCACACGTGTAATTAAAACAAAAAAAGTTAGTTTAAGCTCCGTGGGATGAAATATCAGCATCACTGCCAATTTCTCCCACAAACACTGACACAACAAACCCTCATCCAATTTGGACATGATAGTTGTTTCCGATTACCAGAGTTGGATTCCAACCCAATTTCCTCTTATTTATTGAATGTCCTGTAAAGGACACCGTACTCAAGTCAGAATAAAGGACGGCTGGTTTACAACTAACTACATGTAGGCCTACAATTTTGTACAAATTTATTCAACGCGCGCCGCGCCGGTCCCGGATTGCGGAAGTCAAAGAGATTTTGTTAACCAGCTAGCAACACGCAGTGCTAGTGTGCCGTTGATCGGTCTTCAAATTATGGGGAAATAGATGATCTCCCGAAGGTTGAGCAAAATAGCTCCTTTTCTACGTTTGGACCTCATGAAGTAGCACCAACAGGTCTGACATGGCGTTGATCACGGAAAAAGTGAGGCTAAAGGAGTCGGACGATCGTGTGCGACACTGGAAGCGATGGGGACCGTACCTCTCGGAGCGGCAGTGGGGGACCGTCAGGGAGGACTACTCGGCTGACGGAAGCTGGTTGGTAACAAGTGTCGTTTGTGTTTAAAATGTTGGGTACGATCAGTCGGTCTTGATTTTCGCTACCAACCAAATTTCCGGCTGTGGAAGATTCTTTTTAAAGGAAAGTCGAAGTTTTTTATGCAGGGTTGTGAGCCCTCGGTATGTACCAACGTCATTTTGTCTATACCAGAAACTCCTGATTGTGGAAACTAGTTTTTATTTGTCAGGTGTTTGTGTCATGGACATGAAGGGTGAATCAGATGTGTGCTTCATCATAAAACCCTTAGAACTGTGGGGTCCGACGTCTGCCCCGCTGAGAGCGGGGAAATGTATGACTCAGTAGTTGGACTGTTTCCACCTCCATGTTCACTGTGTCAGAGCATGTTCTTTGTGCATTTTACAGATCTGAGTTGCAGATGAATTCGAGAATTTGTTGTACATACTTTATGTGGATCTGAGATTAAAGCAGGCCCACAGTTTTGCAGTCCCTGTGAACCTTGTGAAGTTGTGTGGAGTAAACCGTGTTCATACCAGGTTTAATACTCCGTTAAGAGAAAAATATTTTTTAGAGGTATTTTGGAATTAGGGTTATCCATGACAAAATGAAGAGGAACACTCTGGGAAACCGTCAAGTTATCAACAAAAATTCGGCTTTGATGCATCAGTGTTCACAGTGCTTGATAAATGTATCATATATTTTCCTCCAAGTTTTCTTGACTGTACATGTGTACTCAAAAATGAGGGAATGTCCACACAAGGAAGTGAATATAACAGGTTCACTCTAGTTGTCCGTTTATCTGCCGCCCACCTAGGTTACTCATGCACCAAGCACAGAAGAAACAGACAAGTTTGCCCAAAGTTTTGCTTGAACAAATTTAGGATATGTATCCCCCTATAAAAAAAAAAGATCATTTGCGCAGTACTGTGTAAGAAAACGCTTGGCAAGTGCTGAGTCAGCATGAATTGGCATTATTTTAAGAGAGCACCCACCAAGCCCTTCTGTCATGCTAGTATTTGTTTCGGTCAGTCCTGAAGTTGCGTGGACTTTGGTCTTCTTTTATTTTTTTATCAGAAATGTTAATAATTAAAAGTGACAAACATGTAGACAGTTTCTGAGCCGTTAAAAAAGTGAACTACTCTAAGTGTGTCAGGATTGTGTTACAAAGAAAGACTAAAGGAGACAGGGTAAAATTGGGTTGGTGTGGGTACAGGCTTAGGTTGTGGTGGGGGGGCACGAGGGCTCAGAGGTCAGGGGTCAGAGGATGACCCCTGAGGAAAGCTTTTGATGAATATTAAAGTTTGCAGAGCAGGTTTGTTTCCTGAGTGTGAATGCATGTACTGCTCTTAAACTGTAATTTTGGAGGAGGCAAAGTTCAGTGACATACTGTGTTCATAATTGTAAGTGTAGGTTTTGTTCCCAGTTGGAGTGACATTTATGTATATTGTAAAGTAATCAAAAAGAAGGGTGTTCCACAAGGGCTTTCGCAAATCAGCCCACTTTGCTAAAATTGTATGCCATACTGCTAAAATTTGTACATTACGTGCTTCCAATAACAACTTCCCAGCTGTTTGCTCAAGATAGATCGTATGGGTAAAGAAATCTATNATGTACTTAATGTAAAATGTACATTTTGTACATAGAAATAATAGTCCTCTTTGAAATTGTGTGATTTGAAGGTTCCTTGTGATGTAAAAAGTGCAAAGATTTTACACAAAAAGAACAATGTTGACTTGACAGGCAAACTCAACTTTGATTCCAAACTGAGTTGAATGTTTTGTGCGTGTCATTGCAGCTGGGATTATTTCCCCCATGACCACGCACGTTCCCGTGCCTACCGTTGGGGGGAGGACGGGCTCCTCGGCATCGCTGATCGCCAGTGCCGTCTCTGCTTTGGGCTGGCTCTCTGGAATGGCAAAGATCCCATCTTGAAAGAGCGACTCTACGGCCTGACAGGTGATGATAACAACGTCGGACCATTCTTACGGTTCACTTTCCACACAAAGTCTCATAACATGGAAGTCAGTATTGTCCCAGCTCACAGACCCCGTGAACATCTTGGAAACATCTCAAGCCCATCTCAACCTCCTTGGGAGTATACAGCTCAATGCTGCCATCTTAGATACAAGTGGCTAATCAAACGCAACAACCATCTCTCCCCTCATAGGCACCCATTCATACTCCTGGGTGGAGAGAGGCAAGTGGATGTAAAGTGACTCACCCAAGGTCAAAACTTGCAACCAGCAGCTGGATTTGAACCCCCAACCCCTATGATCGGAAGTTACAAGCCCCTAATCACTAGGCCACACACCCTTGGAAAGCTCAGTGGTACGAGTTATGGAGGACACTGTGCTTGAATCGCCACTCATATTAGCCAAGGATGGAGGCCCCACTTGTGCATGCAGCTGACGTAGACTTCGTGCAACGGGTTGACATGTGTACCCAAAGGGTGCGACCAGTTTTTAACAGGCTATCCAGACCATTTGCGATTCTGGCAAGATCCTTTTTCAAATCCAGTCTGGTCTTTGAGGTCATGATTAATGTGGCCAAATCCGTGATCATATCTCCATGCATGAGAAAACGGGTCAGATAAATTTATGGAAACATTGTGGAAGTTGAGATTGTTTGAAGAAAATCTTGGAATGGTGGAAGACCTATCTTTGTTTAATACAAAATTTTTAAGTTGTCTTTCTTGTATTCAGGGCCACAAGGTAACCATGGCGAGGACTGCAAGGAAAACTATTACTATCTAGATTCCTCACCAACCCATTCCTACATGAAGGCCTTGTACAAGTACCCCCAGGCGGAGTACCCCTATGCCACATTGGAAAAAGAAGGGAGAGAACGGAGTGTCACCGATCCCGAGTTTGAACTGGAAGACTCAGGTAATTTGTCAGAAACTGTTGGCTCCGTACACACTCAGTGGCACTGTGGGACACGTAGAGAAGCCTGTGCATGCACTAGATTACACGTATGTGTGTGCCATGCAGTGTACCAGTATGCATGTCGGATTTTCATCTGAATGTGCACAAAGGTATATAGAAATGCATGTGAGTCTGACTTTGCATTAGAATGTACTCAAATGAGAAAGACCTTTGCAGAGATGCTGAATTCATGGCAGCGATGTTATTTAAGTGTCTGTCACTTTTCTCTCATCAAGTTTGAGGGAAATCTTGTATGTGGAGTCCATTCCAGGGTTGATCCAGAGCTAAATTTGGGGGGCGAACTAGTAATTTTTTGAGGGGCAATATATTGAGAAAAGTTTTTACATAGTTTTTTGTGACCTTTCTGAGGGGCGAGGCTACATTAACTGGGGGAGGGGGTTACACACTTTTGAAATGGACTTGCTTGACAAACAAGAGATCTATTCGGTATTCTTGCCCATGCTTACCTGGGTTGTGTGGTGTCAGCAGGGTTTGTGAGTGATTTCATAAGATACAGTTCTCAAGAGAAATGCATGTAAATTGATATCAGTCTCCCTTTGAAATGACTGGAATCGAGTTTACGTTTGCAAAGTTTGTTGCTTCTCTGAGATGTTGGTGTGGTAGCCAGTTGAGAAAATCCAGGGAGCAGTCGTTTGCTGATAATTGGGTGGGGGTTAGCAACAAATAAGTTCACATGTTTAGTTTGTCTGAATGTGTGGCAGGCGTTTTTGCTGAGAGTCGGTACTGGGATGTCTTTGCCGAGTACGCCAAGAACACCCCAAATGACGTCCTGTGCCGCATCACAGTAGCCAATCGTGGCCCCGAGCCAGCCACCATCCATGTCCTGCCGCAGTTCTGGTACCGCAACACCTGGATCTGGGGCTGTGACCACGAAGGATGCGGAATGAAACCCAGGCTGTCCCTGGGCAAGGACGGCAAGATAGCACTGACCCACGAGACTTTAGGTAAGCACCTGTACTTTGCAGTGCCACGGTCAAGTCCTTCAAGAACACCTTTCCAGTCCTGTGATTAGTTGCTTCACAAGAAGTCACAATTCTACACCAGAAGTCACAATTAATATCCCCGAAGTCTGAACCTGAGGCCATGAATACTTGAAATGCTACAATTTAGATATTCCTATTCAGTTGTTCACTCATTGTACGTAGTGTAAGCATTTATGATAGTATTTGTTATGACTTGGTATAGATGTTTTTGAAGTATTTGACTAAACGCTGGTAAGACTGTGTATAGTTGTGTTACTTGGGAGATAAGGGCCTTCCCTTTATGGTGAGAACTATCCAATGTAAGAATAATATAACAGCATTTATAAGGTGTATCTAATCTGCCCCAAGCTGAAGCGCACCCCCAATCGGCGAAAGAAAGACAGGTGGCTACAAGCATTTTCTTGCATGCGTTCTGCGTGTACGCAAAGACCATATGTACCATAATAAATCAGTTACGCATACTCGGCGTGCTCCGTGTCAAACGCGCATATACTTGCGCGTCTCATGGCAAAAAACAGCACGCCCTCTGTTGTTCCACTTTGAGCAGATAGCATCTGTGTTTCAAAGGTGCTTAATTGTATTCATTGTCCCTGCTCGTTGGGCTCACAACATCTGATAATTCATGAGACGGTCTCAGCTCCTTGGGGAGTCTAGAGCTCCATGCTGCCGGCCATTTCAGGTGCAGGTAGCTGCATGTTGTAACCACCTCTACTCATTTACTTCTGGGTAGAGAGGGGCAAGCAGGGGTGAAGTGACTTGCCCAAGGTGATAACATGTTACCTGCTAGGCTCAGACTCCTGACCCTACGATCAGGAGCTACAAACCTTAACCACTGGGCCGTATTTCCCTTTTAATTCAGTACAGACGCAGAAAGTTTCATAGTTGAGATATCAATAACGGCCAAATCTTTTTCCTGTAATCTGTGCCTCCCCGCAGACAAAATGACCATTGTTTATGACGCTGCCCCATACGGTAGCAAGGCACCCCTTCTCTTCACCGAGAACGAGACCAACATGCGCCGCCTCTACGGCCTAGACAACTACACCAAGTTTGTCCGGGATGCTTTCCACCGTTACATCATCAACGGTAAAGCAGAGTTATTTCTTTAAAAATGCATTTTGCTGTTTATTGCGAGACTGAACTGCCTTTGAAAGTTTAACAGTGTTTTTGCCATAAACGTTGCTGAATGCAGCAGCATACAACAGTGTTCTGACCGAGTCCACACTCAGCTGTGTCTAAATGTAACATGGTTTGATGGTGAATAGCCAATATTAGCTCCCTGAGGTGTTAGAAATTGAGGGACTACTTCCTAAGGCAAAGCTGATGGAGCGTCGGAGAAAATTGATAGCTTGTGACCTCAACCATGCTTCACCATGAAAGGCGACCTGCAGCAAGAGCATATACCTCAGACAGGGAACGACCTGTTAGATCTCCGATGCCATGGTTCAATCTTGTCTTTGGTCTTCCTCTCCTCAATCGTCATATCTTACTCTGCTCTATCATCTTTTCCAAGCAGTCACCTTCACCAGCTTCAAACATCACTGCGTATCAAACCCTAACCTTCCCCAACCACACAGAATTAAACAGTAGTAAAGTGTTTCATTCTGTGGGGATAGGTCTGGTAGGCCCAGACAGCTGGCTTTTGCATTAGGTTTGGCAGTCCACACTTAGTGCACAAAGTCCCATATGGGTGTTTAACTTTGTGTGAAAGGGGAAGGTTAGGTCCAGCAACCCTTAGGCAGCTAGGGTTAAAAAGTTTGGATTGGATTTCAAATTTTTTCTTCCAGGGGAGATGGATGCGATCGATGGGCGAGGCCGAGGCACAAAATGCGCCGCCCACTACATCTTGGAAGTGCCCCCAGGGGAGGAGGCTGTCGTCAGAGTCCGCTTCTTCTACAACAACGAGGACCCGGGGACGTACTTTGGGCAGGAGGCATTTGATGACGTCTTCACGACCAGGAAGTTAGAGACGGATGAATTTTATTCCGCAGTGAGTGCTCTTCTTGAAACCCTCGATGAATTTGAGATGTTCTGAGTCAGTGCAGGCAAATCACAAAACAGTGCACCACCAAGAAGTTGCATTGTAAAGGCCATTTTTACAATGCATGTTGGGTAAAGGTGGACATATTCTATTCACCAGCTGTGCACAGGGAACTTCTTATTATTTATTTATTGATTTATTATTAATTATTCACGATGTTTGTTTTTCCAGGGAAGACAATCATAAGTGTACTTCAAGTTGTGGTTTTAATTAATTCTTACTTCATTCTATTGCATGGAATGTCCCAATCTATCAATAATTTTCCCCAAGTTGTCTACTGACATACATTCAAATGTAAATCATGGCAAGGCAGCCATGCTTTTGTCGACCAAAAACTTAAAAAAAGCCCTCCCCTTGGCAAGGTGTTGGTGGAACGCTGTATTGCGAATTGCCCCTACTTGGGGTCATTGACAATGAGGGTAAAACGTTAACCATGTCTGAAAGCTGTGGCCGTGTGTTGAAATAATGCACTCCTATGGAATTCGCTGGCTTGTGGATGGGGCTTCTTCCCGTAGACAAGTGTGCTGTTACTAGCCATAGCCTGTAGACTTGGACATATCCTATGATTATGGTGCAAAGCCCTGGTGTTGTTTGAATAAAAGTAAAATTAAAGCTGTTAAGCAAAAGTAGCTGCTAGTTTATTTCATTTTTTTCTTTAGACGCTTAAAGTTCTCACACATGGCATAATTATGAAGGGCAGCAGTAACATAGCTACAGTTTTTGAAATATGGAGGGCCTGATGTTTCGATCCTAGCAGAATCTTTCTCAAAGGCCTTTGTATTTTAGGTCATTATAGTCAGCAAGCAGTTTGCAGCAGTTTTGCATTACATATCTTTGGAATTAGTCTCAATTTTGATGTGAAAATCAAAACCAGAGTTTTCAGTGGGCATTCATGGCAGAGAGTTCTTAATTTCCTTAATCCTGCCCCCCCCCACCTGCAGATTATCCCAGCTGCCGCTGACTCGGAAGAGTTCAAAGTGGCTCGGCAGGCCTACGCCAGCCTACTCTGGAGTAAGCAGTTCTACCATTACATCGTCAAGGCCTGGTTAGAGGGAGATCGGGAGACCCCCAGGCCCCCCCAGAGCCGTGACAAGGGTCGGAACACGGAATGGAGGCACCTCTATAACATGGACATCATCTCCATGCCCGACAAGTGGGAATACCCCTGGGTATGTCAGGGCCCTTCCCTCGTCATAAAGTTACCACAGTCTCTTAGAAAATTTGAAAGAGGAGTGATCTGTCGCAACTGATGGAGCATGGAGAAACACGTAATCTCTTATTCCTTCATGGAGTGGACGACTGCGGCAGTCTGCCATGAAACATTTCATTTAGCAGCTAACTTAAAAGTAAAAGTTGAGAGCTACCTGGTAATTGTTTTTATTATTATTATTATTTATTTCTGGTAAGGACACCAAAGATTCTAATTTCTAACACTGATGGCTGTACCTAGTAATGGCCCCTCTTATTTTTTATGCATGCTTGGTATGGACGACCACAGTTTCCAAAATATTACTCTTCGTCGGTGTCACATTTTATCTGAAAATGCTTGTATGCCCCATTAAGTTTAAAAAGGGTCCTATGTTCATTGAGCATGTAGTAGCATGGTGTTTATTGTGCAGTGTCGTAATCACACTGCATGAGTTTTTAACATTCGGTGTAGTATTCATTTCCTTTTGTACTGATAATCGGCCATAGTTTTACCCAGGCCTTGGTAGGCAAAAGTATGACTGTGACCCAAAAGGAGCAGACCCTGTAGGGAAAGCTTTTAATTGTTCTGTTTTCCGGGCACATATAATTAAAATGATCTTTTTGGGTTGTGTGACAGTACGCGTCGTGGGACTTGGCATTCCACATGATCCCCTTCGCTAAGCTGGATCCAACCTTTGCCAAGGACCAACTCCTACTGTTCCTGCGTGAGTGGTACATGGCCCCAAATGGTCAGGTAAGCACCTTGAGCAACAGTAGCATCAAAAATGTCAGGGGGAGGGTGGATTCTGCCCCGCCCATGGCTCTTTTAAGACTAGAACAAACCTTGAAACTTTGTGGCCCAGTAGGTCTGATTCTAAATCGTTAGGGTTGTTCTACGTAGTCTTGATATAAATCCACCAGATGCAGCGTTTTTCAGTGACAGCTATATTGCCTGTTGGGAATTCAGGTGAACTTTATGGGGAAATTAACCACTCGGTGCCGGGGTTTCCGATACCGGACTTCTTTGGTTTGCACGCATCATACCGGGTTGCCCAAAAACGGATGAAGGAGCTGGGCCTTGTAACAAAAGATCGTACTCGGAACAAAAGACCGAGCTGCTGGGAATTGCCAACATTTTTTCAGTTGTCATTAGCGGAAGTAATCCGTCATTGTTTTGAAACAGTATACCACTGTTTGCGGCATTCAGCACCCGAGTATTATCAGCGGGAACAAAGTGCTCCGGCACTCCCGCAATGAGTGATTGAGTGATACAGTACCGCTGCACGCTAATCTGGCCGCATTTGAAAAGACGCCACAGCCATTCAGCAACTCACTTGGCCAATTTTGGGAACAAAGGAAATTATGCAACACTGCACAATCTGTGCTGTCTTTACTGGGTGGCAGGCCTGGCTGCAATCCTCGGGCATCAGTGGAGGTTGCCTGTCAGATTAGAGTAACCGCCAGACAGTCATTTGTGTGGGTGTAAACTTCCAGTAAATGAAGTTATGAATTCTTGAAGAATTCGAAAACAGTAAATCTTGAAAATCGCCTAGGAACTCGTCCCGCATATTCAAATTCCATCCGGTAGATAGTGGTTAATGATGTAATAGTGTGGGCGTTATTATCAGTGGATACTAATACGCACTACTTTCTTTGAGGAGAATATTTCCATCGTTAAATTAAGGAATTACATGTATCTTTGTCGTACATGTATTTGATTCTTTAATAGATTCCTGCCTATGAGTTTGCATTTGGTGACGTCAACCCGCCAGTCCACGCGTGGGCCGTGTTCAGGGTCTTCAAGGCCGTAGCTCCTCGGGGGTCCAGAGACAGGAACTTCCTGGCCAGAGCCTTCCAGAAACTCCTGCTCAACTTCACTTGGTAGGGGAGACCAGTGTTCTCAATGTGTAGCTTACTCTTTCAATAATGTTAGAGGGTAGGGGGCTAATCATCTCTCTCACAGCTAGGATGGAGCTACATCCCTGTCTAGTCAGAGGCGCTTTAGGTAACTGCCAAATGACCAATGTAGCTACAGAGCACCGACAGATCAAAACTGTTGCTTTTTCCTGAGGAATGAAAACCGGAGAACTTAGAGGAAAAAACTTTGGGTACTGGAAAGATCAGAGCAAGGCTGGGGGAAAATCAAATATGAGCCATAGCGATGAGGGGCAAGAGTTTCCAACGCTTGCCATCTTTTGGTGAGAATTCTGTGGTGGTGGAAACTTTCAGGATGCTAAGGATTGGAAGATGCTGTAAAGCAAAAGTGACCAAGAAGTGGAGACTGGATACTGTTTAGAAGCAAATGAAAAATTGATGTTATGCTAGCCAAAAGTACTTTTGCAGTTTACTGGTAACAGAGTTTATGTCAACTGCATGATCTAGAAATCAAGGATGTCATTCGCTTTGGGTCTGATTTATAAAAACCCTTTCTTTCAGTATAAGATATCCGGCTGTTCATTTGTTTATAGGTGGGTGAATCGCAAGGACCCTGATGGCAAGAATCTCTTCTCTGGTGGCTTCCTAGGTCTGGACAACATTGGGGTGTTTGACAGGTCACGACCTTTGCCCACAGGAGGTCACCTGGAACAGGTATGCAAAGAGGAAAGATTGACTAATATCAGGAGATAAATTTCGGGAAGGGATTGCCTCGCCTTTGATTCGAGATGGCTGACTTACGAACAAGGCTGGTATGGAACCATCAAGCATGATATACCTGCATTTGTGAGAGGGGCACTCGAAAGGTACATGCTCATGGTCACCCGGGAAACGCTGACTGCACTGTTCCAACTGTGCTATGCCTGAGAAGACATTTCTTTCCTGGCGCCTTTGCGATATGAAAGGTTTCTTGCGTGAGGAATATTGAAACACATATTCCTTAAACCTCAGAGTCTCCAACCCTCAACTTTCAACAAAGTATTGCCCCACAATTTAAATGGGGGTTTGGATGACCGTCCCTGTTTGCTCTGGTCATTTCAGGCCGACGGCACAGCCTGGATGGCCTTCTTCTGCATCGTCATGCTAGACATTGCCCTGGAGTTGGCCAGGAGCGACGAGAGCTACGAGGACATGGCCAGCAAGTTCTTTGAGCATTTTGTTTCCATCATCGACGCCATGAACTCGGTTGGTGGAGGTGAGTTCGTCGAAAGGGAAGGGGCCCATGTGTCCCTCAGTGGGGCATACAGGTTTTGAGTCCACAGGGGACAGATAGGGAAGTTTCTCTGGAATGATTGTCCACATTTTTTTATCCCTCGAGGAAGGTGCTATTACCTGTCCCTTAAATGCTAGAAAAGATTCGTGCAGTTTCTAAAAAGTCAGTTAATTTGTGTAAAATGTATTACAGAGTTTGCCAATATGTACCGAGTGATGATTTGCATCTGAAGTGCTTCTAAGCAGTTGTTGCTGCGAAAGCTTACGCAAAGGTTTTTAATAGTTAGTCGTGATAATGCTCAATAGTTTTTCCGTTTATAATTGCGCGATCAACATGGCTCCTCGCCGTTAAGTTTACAATTGTATATGTCACATGTGTCTTCAAATGTGTTAATCATTTCCCACGTCCAAAATGTCTTGTTTCAGGTCATAGAGAACAAACTGGTTAAATCTCTTCCAAATTTGTCTCGGCTGCTCTAATTTTTCCCAGAATTAGTGGATTTTGTATCGGAAATGAGGGTAAGAGTTGGCCGATCTTCAGTCGTTTGTGAGAAAACAGCAATGATGTTATTTTTTGTGCATCTTCAGGCCTTTGGGATGAGGAGGACGGCTTCTACTATGATGTTCTCAAGACAGACACCTGCACCATCCCCTTGCGCATCCGTTCCATGGTGGGCCTGGTCCCGCTCTTTGCCTCCCTGACCTTGGAGGAAGAGGTTATCCAGAAGCTGCCGGGGTTCAAGAAGCGGCTGGACTGGTTCATGAAGCACCGCTCCGAGCTGTCGGATCACGTAAGTCAACTTGGTTGGAAATGAGTTTCTTCAACTTCAGCTTGGTTGGGTGTTGGGTCATGGGGCGTGATTTTGGGTGACCACGTAAGTTGACTCCGTTGAAATGTATTTCCGACTTGACCCTGTTTGGGGGCATAGTGCAGGACACCTGGTGGGCAAAACTAGACCTACGTCTTGTGGATGTTATGTCTTTAATGTTACCTTTTTAAACATTTCAACAAATTTTAAAACCATTTACCTTTCTTATAAATAATTGAATAGCTAACCTAATTTTAACATTTGGACCTTGGCATTTGCCTTTTAGATTACTTTACACAGAAGTAACGCCTGTCAAACCATGAACTTTACAAAATACCAGTGCCCCTTTAATATTTGATGGTATCTTAGGGACTTTGATTTATATATTTTTCATGATTGGTTCATGTCAAAATGCTGCCTGGCAAGGATTTTTATTTTCTGCATTTCCTACATGTTTGTGTGACTGAAGTGTAGAGCTGTTTTAATAGTTTGCAAAACAGGTGGGTCTAAAACAAAGGCACTTTTGTGTTTGTTGCTAAATTGCGCCTAACAATTCATGGAAGCTTAGTGAAGCTTCTGCCTTCTGTGAAGAGACATCAGCACAGCTGTTGGTCTCCAACCCGTACATAGAGGCTCTCAGTGCATTATGTGTCTTTGTGTTGCACACCAGATTGCGTACAAGACCATGGCGGATGGCATCCATGGGCGTCATCTCCTCGGCATCCCTCAACGCAAGCAGCTCAAGAAGGTTCTTAAGTACATGCTAGACGAGGAGGAGTTCCTCTCGCCATACGGAATCCGCTCCCTGTCCAAGGTGGGTTTGTCTGTCTGCCTGCCAGCCAGTCTGTCTCTCAGGCCATGTTGGTATCCAGCTGTCTGCTGCCTTAGGTTGAGCTATTTGTTAATCTGTCACCTTTCTCAAAGTCTGTCTGTGTGATCCCGTGTAGTGTTGAATCCCTTTCTTCCAGGCGTCGGTCACGTTTCTTACTGAGTGTTGCTTTTGGGGGCTATATCACAGAGAGAAAAAACCCTGTTTTTCTGCCTGGTACTGTATGACCCTACTACACCTGTGATTTCCCCCTTCACAGGCATGTTGTATCGCTGTGTCATTGCTGAGGTGGGTTTGTCTGAGAGCAAATCATTCAAGGGCCAAACCAAGTAAATGCTTTGCTCTGTTTTCCAGAGCTTACAGGTTAACTTCTTCAGTAGTCTTTTGGTCATTCTTAAAGACATTTTTTTTACTCAATCCCTCAACATTTGTAAGATGTAAAGCCTTTCAAATCTAATTACAAGTTTACCCTCAACTTTGCACACCTTCAAATCTTTTTGTCAAATTCAGGTGCACAAGGACCACCCGTTCGTGGTCAACGTGCAAGGAGAGGAGTACAAAGTCAACTATGTCCCCGGTGAGTCCAACACCTACCTGTTTGGGGGTAACAGCAACTGGCGTGGACCCATCTGGCTCTGTGGTAAGGATTGCTGTTTCTTATCCAGCTCATCAAAGCGTGGTTGGTAGATATCCAGACTTGATCGGAGTCTATGCGAACAGTTTCCCGGAAGAAGGCATGTGAAAGGGGTAGAGTTAATTTTCCAAATTTGAAAATGGATACTGGGGCAAAGACCTTTGATTTATAAATTCTATAAAGTTGCTGCTAGAATGTACTTGGACCTGTTGAAGTTACCCAGATTAGGATGAGTTGAGTTCAGACGGCAGGATTTGTAAGAGTCATGTAGAAATATATCATGTTTTTAAGTTTTTCCTTTTTCTGCCTCGCTTGTAGTGTGAAAGGAGTTGTGCAATGTTGATGAAAATCTGACAGCATATTTTTGAATCACAAAAGTTTTGAGTTTTCTCTAAAGATGTTAAACAGGGAGCATAGACATGGGTTTCTCAGGGGTCTAAATTTTGGGAAATTAAGAATGGTACTTCAAGTGATTTCAGTTTGAATAACACATTGTGTAAATGAGATGAAATTGATTAAACATTGATAAAGCAATAAAATGAGATGAAATTGATAAAAAACAGACCGATCATAGGAGACCTAATACTGCTTTAGCCCTACACTCAAGTACATATTCTCAAACTTGAGGCGAGCACATCTTTTGGCACACCGCAGCATCCCATTGGTCGATGAGGTGTTCAAGGCATGTGTGAAACCTAAATGAGAGCGTTGTTCAGTCCATTGTGGAAACAGCTTGTGATTCTGGTTGCAAAATTTGCCCCATACGTTGCCTCTTCCGATTGCAGTGAACTACCTGATCATCGAGGCCTTGGAGCGTTACGACTTCTTCCATGGCCCCACCTTCAAGGTGGAGTGCCCCACGGGGTCTGGCAACATGATGCGCCTCAAGGACTGCGCTAAGGAGATCTCCTCTCGCCTGGCTAAGATATTTCTGCCGGATGAGAACGGGGTGCGGCCGTGCCACGCCGACAACCCACTCTACAAGGAGGACCCGGCATTCAAGGACCTTATCTTGTTCTACGAGTATTTCCACGGCGACACGGGACGTGGCTGTGGAGCTAGGTAAAATTTTTTTAAAAATAAAAAAAGGACTGAGCTCTTCTTGAGTAGTTTGTCGAATGTATTGGAACTGAGCAAGTAAGATTGATGACAACTGGTCTGGAACCTCTCCTCCATGAGCTGTTAATTTATCTGTAAACCTCTGCTCTGCTGTTGTCAAATGTATTCATGGCAGCTTATGGTCTTAGCTCTTTGCTGCAACATGATGGTATGCGTGGCTTTGAATTACCAGTGACGCAATAAACCTTTGCAAAATGTTCTCAAATTGTTGATATGTTCTTGAGGGGGCAAGTTAGGACCAAATATATAAATGTATAATTTGACCTCTGGCCAATTGCTTTGTAATAATTAGCACGTGCAACACAGTCACACCCGAATGACCCAACGCAAACCACGATATTTTGTAGCATCTCATGGCCACTCGCAAATCTCACCGTATTCATATCTTGTAGTGTTCATGGTACCATACATTACATATTTCATTTGAACGGTTCCTGCTGTTCTGTTAAACGAAACCTGTGGTGCGTCTATGTCCCAGGGTATGGCTGCGAATGGTCCTTTGGATAGTCCATGCCATCCAGCACTCACAAGATGTTGATCCAATTATAGTGAAATAATTACAGCCTTTGCAAGAATTTGCCCAGCGTTCGTCCAACTACACTTAACTTTTGCCCTAACTCATGCTTGCACTCGGCCTACCAATCAAGTGGAGTACTATAATGGCAGAATGTTAAAAGTTGTTAAGATTTTATTCCGGTTTTTCTCGTTTCCTTTCCCAGCCACCAGACAGGTTGGACGGCCATTGTGACACTGTGCCTAGAGAGAATTGCAAACAAGTAACCAGGTTGCAGCATGCTTGACGTCACCTGCAGATCTCATTCCTTATAGTTGATATATTCCAAGTTATGACACTGAGCTTGTGAGTCCCATTCACAACTTTTCCTTGTGAACCCTTATTTCCTGGATCTGTGTAGTCACTGATGAAAATGTAAAGGTGTCTGCGTAGGTATCGTATGTCTGTTGTGCTATAAATTAACTTGCAGGATCATTTTGAAGTAACAAGAAGGGTCAAATATGTTGCGTAATTTTTGGCAATGAATGCTTCCTGTTGCAGTAACTTTGCAAAGTACATACAGGTTGTTAAAAAATACTCGTGGAAATTTTTAAATTTGAATAGGATCCCTTCAAAATCACTCTTTTGAAGAAGCTTAATACGAATCGAAACTAGAGGTGATGGCATTCATGTGAAATACACTATAAAACCTAGTTTCATTCAGCCGGTTACCCCTCTAACTAGCCACAAACAAGCAGGATACCGTTTCTGTCACCGTGCTAACTGGCCACCGTGCTGCCACAAAATAATTATGCAGTAGGTAAAATGGACGGTACCCACTTGAAATGGTTACTGTCAGTCACTAGCACCAGCACGGAGGCCAATTTCAAAATAATGTGTCTTATTTAGATAAATAACTGGGTCTTTTTGGTCGGGTTGTCGCCACACCAAATCCTATTGCTTCTTGTTTTTAGTGCCAGAATTTCATGTTGTAGAAAACTGTTTTCAAAAGTTTGTTCGACTTTAAAACAACCAAACGTATTATTAACACCCTATACATCCTCACTGTATGACTATTCCACAGTGGACCATGTACTTTAGGCTCGCATATAGCACAAACTAGCTCGTTAGAGTCGCACAAATTAGAATTGTACTTTTATTTTTATACTTTCAGTAGCAACCTGGCTTTCTGTTTTCATTAATCTGCAGCTTAATTAGTGCAACAAAGTGCATCCCTCACAAAACCTTTATTTCCTGGAGTATGCCAGACTTCAGTAATGGCTTCCAACAAATGTCATTTCTGTCGCACCCATCAAGTACATGTACTTTATTTTGAGTAGCTGCTGTGGCCTGCACTGTGCTTATATATGCATGCACTAGGCCACATTAATTTTATTCAAATTGCATGTTGTCAAGTGATGCTGAATTTTATTGCTCTTTTTTATGATGGAAATTAATCACCTGGCTACGAATTAGTTGAGAAATGTTTTGAAAGACCTGGTACAGTACTGGAGAAAACAGTATTTCATAGATGGTTGACTGTTGACACAGTCAATTAATTTTTATGTTGGGAACATGTACGTTGTATCAACATCTGTGCTAGTACAAGCCAAATCACCCGGCTTCTAGCCAGTTAAGATATGTTGATGTTGCATATTACAGTATGGGGGGAAAATAACTGTTGCCATGACAAGACGTGACATCACAGATGACCGTCCGTGCATTTTGTGTAGGGAACACATGCCACTTGACGTTTTGCTGGTACAAGCAATATTCTATATTCTACATGCACATCACTTTCCCAGTGGTCACTCATTTACTTAAAAAAGTGTGTGCAAGATTTAAGTATGTGCAACTTTGAATTAATTTTTAAATGTCTCTTGCAATCAAGATTTGAAAGATTTGTTAATATCCATTGGTCGCTAGAAATGGAAATATTTGTCTTGAAATGTTAAAAGGATTTATTTTGTACATGATAGAGCATGCAGTATGTTTAGTTTTGTTAATACTAACTGAATTTCTTTACTGACATCATGTTATCTTAAACTCTACCCAGAAAACCTTGTTTATCTATCAAGATGCTAGGACTTCAGATTTTCGTTCTGCGGGTCCCAGTGCTTCAGAAATTGTGGAATGTTTTAACTTTGATCCTGGGGAGTTTGGGTGAACGTGTGAACCATCGTTACGGTGGCTTGAGAAGCAAGCTTTCTCTCTTGAGGGTAATTGCGTTGAGACATTTCTGGGCAGCTGTTGTACAACACTGCAGATGATGCTGTGATAAATTTGTCATTTGGTCATGTGACATGACAACATTGTAGCAGTTTTGGAACATTAGTTTGTTGTAATTGTTTCATCCAGGTTGTCAATCAAAGTTGAAGAACTAGACACACTTGTTCCATAGTTGTAGGGACCACATTGTTGAACAGTGGCTAATTGGAGGAAGGAAATGTGGGGATGTTCAAAACTCACCACTACCCAGTTTAAATTTTCCTACCAGAGAAATCTTTCCCGAAACATGGCTCAGGCCAGGCCTACCTCGTCAGGTCACACAAGACTGTCCATAAAATTGTCCACACTGGCCTCCCCCCCCCAAAAGTGATCACCGACAGACAGGTTGCAAAGACAAACCGATCAGAATTTGTGGCAGCATCAGTTGTGCTGCAGTGACAAATGGACAAAAGTGACCCTCTTGTTCCCGTGCTGTAGCACCTCAGGGTAGTGCTACAAGCTAAATGTGATGTCATGGTGGTGATGTCAAGATTGGATATTCTGAAGTAGGGCCATCAACCTGCGTACGCCTTGCGCTTGGTTGGGTTAGCTTTAGCCAACTGTTTTGTTAATAGTGGCATTTTGGAGAGTGTGCTGCGGGGAAAGTGAAATTCTGAAGTAAATTTCCTTAAAAGTGCATCACTAAATGTGGGCATTCTTCTGCCAAATTTCACTCTTACTACTTTTATCATTCTGTGTTGAATATATTTTGTATTTTTATATTAAAACTTCTAGTTAAACTCAAGGCAACCCAGGATAGTTCTGTCTCTAAAAATCTCGGTATATATTCTAAAATTTTATCAGGTAAAAAAAAATTAAAATTAACTGCCTAGGTAGAATACCACTGCTCAATAGAATATTGCCGACATTAAAATAAAGGACATGCCTTCTTCCTTGAATTTACAAAACCTCTTCAGAAAGTAGTTCATGAACTGCATGAAACTGTTGTGTCTGCTTTGATTCCGCAAGATGGCCTGGTATATTTTTCATCTACAGGGTCTCATGTGTCTTGCCTGTACATAGAGGTACAGTGGCTATGTGTGAATTGGTTGGGGGGCTGTTGGGTTGGGTCTGTGAGCGGATGGGGCAAGTTGTCTGGTGGGCTGGTGTCTTACAATATCACCAGTACACGACCAAAAATATTAATAAAACAATTCTATGCAGTCTGTACTCATCAAACAACTGACTTTATTTATTGCAGTTCAGGGCATTCGACCTATTTGTAAATTTTCAAGAAATCAAAACTTCAGTGATAGAAAAAAAAGTCGTAGGACTGCTTCAAATATTGTCAGCTTGAGGACTTTTTGAAAAAAAATAATAAACAGCCTTAAACTAAAACATTACAATCTTTCAAAAAGTGCTTACCATGTTGTTGTAATAAAAATAGACATTCCATTTCAAACATTCAAACTGCATGAATGAACAGTTCTTGTCCTATGTATTCCTGAAGACTTTCAGGCAAAGGAAAGTCACCAGGGAAAACAATGTTGCAGGCACTTATAAGAAGTTACAAGTTAAAATGAACCCGGAAAAGAGCACATTGTGTAAATGTATATTTACCTATTTGATACATGTAGCATTTCTCACGCAAAGTCCAGTCAATATTTGAAGCTAATTAGAATGTAAAAGTTATCACAAGCTTTGTCTTAAATCATCACAAAGTAAGCTATGTACTACCATGCGCTTTATGCGGGCTTGCCAAGAAAACTAAGCAATAAGCCATTTGCGAGTTAAATGTGAATAAAATCTGGCACACTGAGTTATCTGACTGCACATAAACAAAACGATTTGAATACCCCAGACTGAAGACACTGTTGCTATACCTTGTGATTTGGGGCAAGCTTTCGCATAGCGACCACCATCTCTGGAATGGACTGGTTCCTTTATGCCCTTCTTATCTACTGAGAACAGTGTATTGTTGCAAGGCGTCTCTTATGTAACTAAGCAAAAGCTTGCCCCGAATCACAAGGTATAGCAACAGTGGTTTTAGTTAGGAGAATTCAAGTTGTTGTGTTCACGTGAATTAAAGAACTAGGTGTACCAGATTTGGGTCAAAGTTAACTCGCAAAAGGCTTATTTGCCTTGACCCCAACATGTGCAATGTGCACTTGCACAGATGTTTGGACCATTCAGCCATTGGGCTTGCCCATGTTGGCAAGGCTGAAAAAAGTCCAAAATTGCACTGGTTGCCACAGTCCGGTTGAGATTTTGCCGATGACGACACAACGGTTGAACTTGGCAAGCAAATCCACCTTCAAGCCACCGACAATATTTTCCACTGTTGTTCTCAAAGACAGACCCTGCAATGTTACACAGTTAGCCAACGAGTTGACTTGACTGTTGAACCCGCATGAGCTGGTCTTAACATCTGTGATAAACTCAAATCCGACAAACTACTGATCAGTGCAGCAAACTCAGTGGTAAAGTATGCATTAAGCACGAGGATAATGCATCACAAATCTTTACAATAATGCAGCACAAAGTGTTATGCAGGGACGTGTTGAATCCAACAGTCTTACATTAACGCAAGGATGGAAAAAATACAGGCATTTATAAAGTAAAGGCAGATCCACCAATATTGTCAGCCATTGCAGGCTATGGCATTACCACCCCTGCACGTTGTGCCAGTGAAGCGTTCCTACGGCAATCTCAGTTCCCTGCAATGTCCATCTCTAAACCACTGCTCAAAACCAGGGCACTGCTTGAACTTACGATCCAAAGCATCCCACACAATACCTCAACTTCAACAATTCACAGGCAACGAGGTCACAATATCATTGTATTCAGTCACACATAAACATGTATTGCCACACTGAAAGACCATAGAAAAAACTATCAAGTAAGAACTTTTCCTGATAGAAAAGATATACAATTACATTCAGCATTTGTCTGTATGAGGATATTAAGAGATATTAAGCCTCCGTTTCTGCAGATCATGTAAAAATGAGTGACAGCGATAAAATAAAAGTTGTTACATAGTTACCACACCGCAGAAAGAGTACATTGCAATGCTTGAAATTGTACACATTCAATATCAGAAACAAAAAAAATTGAAAACAAAAAAAAATGCAGGGCAAGCTATACAAATAAGAAAATAAACTATTCTACTGTTCTATAACTGCAAGGCATTTTCATTTAAAAGCATGTTGAAACTCAACTTTGGGAGGGTTGATGCTTTGAGCAATTGAAGGGTATTTTACAAAAAACTCCACTCTCTTCAAAGCGACTTCCAAATGCTGGTAAACATGGGTCCCTGTGGTAAAATACTGTGTTCTGTTATGCTATAACACATAACTGTAGGTGTGCCACTGCCAGACGGCAGAATTTCCTTTTTAAAAACTTTCTGAGGAGAAATGAAAACACGATCACGAAACCCTGACAACTTTAAACACGTCCAAAGCTAGCTAAATTCAAGTCAAAAATGTACAAGTGATTTTAGTCACAATAGTTCTTCTCTGATAAAAAAAGAATGTGCATTTAAAGATACATGATGTAAATATTTTCTGAAGCGTAAGCAGTAGTTGGTCTCATGCTGGAACGGACAGCCGATGAGCCTCATTAGCGGAGTTTTTGCTTCTCCAGCTTTCCGGACAAGTAGTTGCCAACGAGTGCCTTGAGCTCATCGGTGGTGTACTCCTTCTTGTCACAGTTCTTGTAGATGGACTGGCTGGGTATGTCGATGATGCAGAGGAAAGGAATCTGGCTGGCCTCCAGCTTACAGAACTCCATCAGCCCGTCCATGATGTCATCCTGAAGACAAGGGAAATAAGAAGAGGAAACCCCAATCCAACGGGTGCAATTCACAATACCGCCAAACTCTTGCTCGAGGGCTCAAGTCAATAAAAGCATACACCATGTGAGGGAAAAAAGTCTATGCCGTGTGACTCCACAATACACAGCAATCATTCACAGCTGGAAGACATGAAATCTTGTGGGAGCATTTGCAAGTGCATTGTAACTCCTGCCATCCCTGCTGTTTGTTAATACATGCAATGCCATTATCAATCCAACACGTCATTCACTTGCATCAATATCACTCGCTGGATGTCCACCAACTCCCAAGCTCAGTGGCCGGTCAAGCTCTGCATTGTAATCAATGCCAACTCCAGACCAGAAACGGACCCGTCATGATGTCCCCTCATCCTCCCTCCTCCCTGCTTTTTTTCCCCCGGAGCTCTCACGTGTGCTGGACTTTGCACAGCTTCTCTCTCTAGGAGCAATCGGTGCCCACGTCCAAGTGTGTTTACTTTTGAGTCCAATTCTACTGTGTCTGGTACTCAGACTGGTCTTGCGTCTGGTCTTGTGTCTCGTACTGTGTCTGGTACTCAGACTGGTCTTGTGTCTGGTCTTGTGTCTTGTACTGTGTCTAGTACTCAGATTGGTCTTGTGTCTGGTCTTATGTCTAATCCTGGGTCTGGACTGGTTTCCAGTCCGGTGAAGGTCTTGACTGCAACAAGTACAAGAAGTTGAATTTAAAAAAATGAATTTAAAAGAGAGAGCAAATCGCTGCAACCATTACGGAGAAAACTTCTTACATCATCATCATCTTCGCAGGCCACCAGGAAGTCCATGGGTGAAATCTCTCCCTTGGCTTTGGCAGCGTTGATGATCTCCTCTGCACATGGCAGCAGTAAGTCCTTGTAAGCGGCAGCCCCCTCCTTATTGGCTGTGGGATGGATGGAAGAAACCAAGAATTAAAATCAACTGGCAAATGGAGGGGCTTGTTACTGCATTCAGTAGAGGAGAACAGATTTTGTGAGGTGTTCTGGAATTTTGGCCAGGAACAACCCTGAAGATACAAAAACTCTGTGACTACTTGGGAGAAAACGTTGACCTAATCTATGCATGTACTCCCTGAGAATGACGACTCAAAGCCATCGGCCCAGATACTGCATTTTCTTTGCATGATACCTATGAACACATGGATGGAACTGGCACGGTTTCCTTTTCTTGTTGAACCAACCTGCAAACCAGATGAGCGTCGTGTTTTCATTGATAGAGCTAGCTGAGTCACCAGACAGTGTGTTGACCGCCTTAGGATAGAAGGGAAACTCCTGGAGAAAGAGAAAATGACAAAAACCTGTAGGCCCTTGACAATCTCTTCAATCTGTGCTGTCCAAACTAGACATTTCATCTAAAATGTGCACGAACAAATTCTGTTCAGAGTCACTCCGGCATTTCAAGTTAAACCAGTGATGCATATGAATCTAATATTCATGATGTAAGAAAAGGGAATTAAGCACTATAAATATGCATGAGAGGATATGCATAAGGTGTGAGGTAAAAATACAGACGGTTTAGAAACGGTTCACCGGTTGGTGTTAATTCCCCCTCATTCCGTTCCTCTTTTGGTGTTGGACAGTTCAATGGTTTGAAAAGAACTGTCTGCCCTGGACTGTATAGTTTCACGAGCAACCCTGACAACAATGGAGTTTGTGGCTTACACAGCCATAGTTATGAACAAAAGATCCTATTCAAGGAGAACTTCACTGGCCCCCAGCCTTCCTGGGCTGGTCGTAAGGATTAGTGGTTAACACCATTAGATAGACACGCAAAATCAACTGCATTCTAGGCTACAGACATTCCTCTTGCTTCAGAAACATTTTGAGTGGGTATTCCATGACAAAAAGACATCGCCACAAGATCATTGTTCGTCTTTGAGCATTTTTTAGACTAGAAAATAAATACGTTTATATGGGAGTGATGGGAAATGCCAAACGCTGTTGCCTAAATTTACTGCCTGATCTATCGTCTCTGAAAGGAAATATCCACATAGACACAATATGAATTTATTTTGAACTTCAGTCATGTGTGCCATATTCTTTGAAGGTTATAAAAAAGTCGAACTCCGCATCAAATAGTGCTGCAAGTATGTGTCAAGGTTCGGTTCGGTTCAGACAGGGCTTGGACATTTTTTGCCAAACTTCGGATCGGTTGGGGTTCGGACACGTACACACATGTACACGTACAATGCACACTGAGACATCGAAAGGCTCGCTACAATCGTGCCGCAAAGGCCTATATAGTATTTCTCTGTATAAAATTATGAATCTCCTATCTCTCCCCATCCACGGGCAACTTTGATTTGAATCCTTTTTTTCTTAACTGTTTCCCCAGAGTTCATTTATGAGTACATATTTTGACCTCACGCCTAACACACAGCTCCCTTCAGACAGCTCCTCCTTTACAATCTGTGATCTGGTTCATGAATATGCACACAGCATTATTCACAATGAATAGGCATGATCACCACAAGTATGAATAATCTGCATGAATGTCATTCTAAAGCACTCACTGCCCCATCAGGGTCCTTGGAGACGGCCCCTCTCCCGTTGGTTGTGATCAGGTTCCAACTCTCATCCAGAAACACCAAGGTTGGAATGCCTGCACAAGGAAGAGGTCAGGGGTAATATGAATATGCAACACACGTGCTTAAGCTTTGTCCAAATGTTGCATCTAGGGCTATGTCTACCAGTAGGTTTGCACTCATTGCAAATATGTAGGCACATGTTGACTACGGACGTAGCCATACCTTTTGTATAAAGCATATCTTCTGATGACTGTCAGGGACTCCCAATCTAAATGCTGAGTATTTACTGTTTTTTTTACAGAATGGTCTTCTTATCCTATAAACAACACACATGTAACTCAAATACATAGGGGGAGAGTGAACTCCATATACTGGTAGTGGTCAGGATATGTGACTTTGGACCAGAGGGTCAGGGGTTCGAATCCAACTGCCGAGTTTAGGTTGTGTCCTTGGGCAATTTACTTCACCCCTTGTCTCTCTCGACTCAGGAATGCAAACAGGTGCCGGCATTAGCTGGAGAGGACTAGAGAGGACTGGCATCTTATCAAGAAGGGACAGAAATATTCTCAGTAGTTTCTGGCCAAAGCCACATGAGACGCACACGGTAAATCACGGTACTCCTACAAACCATCCCACATCTGAGAGACTGTTATTTAAATGTTGTGATTTGCAAGCTTTCGCAGCTTCCTCTTCGCTTTGTCTCTTGCACGACGTTCTATGTAAAATGATAGTTCTATCTTTGGGTTGACTGTATGCAGTTTTATACTTCTCTACTTATACTGAGCTACTAATTCCTAAATTGGAGGGAGTGGAGGAGATGCTACGATCTGGAAAAAACTGGAGTCACTAAGTCACTAACATCGATACTGGACCCCCAGGGCTCACCTTGCACATCAAACTTCTTGGACAGTGCCATCTTGCGCTTGTCGCCAAAGGGCAGGGCCAGCCAGGGCATCTCACTGAAGTACTCCTTGAAGCTGGCTTCGTCCCGGTCGCTGGAGCAGAAGACAATCTCCAGGTTCTTGCCGTCCTCCACCATCTTGTTGTAGGACTTGGTCAGGTTGGGGGTGAAGCCCCTGCAAGGACCACACTGCAAAAAAAAAAAGGGATGCAAATAACAACAGACAATTCTTACACAGCGCCTTTCACACAAAGTCCCGCTGGGCTAATATCACTATCAGCCCTGCTCATCAAGCCTACAATCAGGAGAGGCTACCGCTTGGTGAACTGTGGGAGCAAATGGCTCATCGGCCACAATTACCATCTCTGCCCTTGGTAGCCACTTACTCCCGGGTGGAGAGAGGCTAGTTGAGGGTCACAATATGTACCCACCTGCTGGATTCGAAACTCGACCCTACAATCAAGAGTTACAAACCCTAACCAAGAGGCCACGGGCCCCAAAGACCGGGTTTCACAATGGACTTTCAACTCCGGAGGGGGCACAGCGCATGAACACAGCCTGCAGAACATCATACAGTTACAATGAAATCCACTGCCGTCCGCTATGTACACCAGCGCAAGTCTGAAAGCATGAAATCCAAGATCAAAGCTCACCCAGTGGGCTGAGAAGTACAACCCCAGGACCTTTCCCTTGATGTCGTCGGTTGTCTTTGTTTCACCCTTGTTGTTGATCAAGCTACCACTGAATATTTCTGTCCCAGGCGACAAAAGGAAAAGAGAGAAATTTCAATACACAAAGAAGTTTCTTCATTGAGTTACATACATGTACGTACCTCTCCCTACTTTCATGACTTTCATACTTTTAATGTAGTAGTGTGGACTACGTGTGCAAAGTTGTGCATGAGCTAAAATACAGAAATTGTGGAGATAAAAAATGTTATTGGGAAAAAATTTTTGGCCCTAAACTCAGTGCGACAGAGAATTTTACCAAGATAAACACACACATAAAAGCCCCACTCCTAACTGTACATGTAATTGATTGGATCTGTATGTCTTGGATTGACATGTACCTCCATGTTGGGCAACTCCCTCCCCCCCTTCGTAAATGCTGGATCCACTTTTCAGAAAAACTGTGAGAAAACGGGGAGTTCTTTGGATCGAGTTCGGAGTTCTCAATAAGAGTTTTCAGTTGGGGAATTATGTCAGGCCCTACACGCAGGATGTCAAATCAAATGTTCTTTTCTCTCAACCAGTGCCAACTGTACGTACAGTACCTTCGAATGGTTTGGGCGTCCAGGGGAAATTGGCACCTGTTGGATCCTCCATGACAGTGCCTCTTCCATCCCTCTCGTTGACCTGCCCAGTGGCCCCATCCAAAAGAATGAGGGTAGGTATGCCGGCCACTCTGAACTTCTTGCTTAGGTCATTCTGAGGGTACAGACAGAACAAATGCCGTGTTTACTATTGCTTGCCTGAGCTTGAATTCGTGAATGAAAAGCTGCTATATTGTAATGAAGAATACATTCAAGTAAAACGGTACCAGCAACTCAGAATAGCTGCGGAGAACAATTTTAAGAATCTTATCAGAAGCACCCCCTCAAGGGTTGAAAAGAGCCATGTTGGTGGGGAAAGTTCATTTTGTCGGTAGAGATGTGACCGCAACCCTTGGGTTTCACAGTCATTCGTGAACCAGTGATGCATGGTTTCTACCAAGGGAGCCTCCTGTTGCTAGGAAAACTGCGCCCTCTCTCGGTCCTGCTCAAGGGCCCATGGAGTGCATTGGGTTACTCTCCTTACACTCCTCCAAAACTGAACAACTCTTCACGGAATATCCCGCAACAATACAGGCGATCCACAATGGTGTGCCTCTAAAAATTTGTAATGCGTTGGCCAATCAAGATGCGCGAAATCTGTCGACCCAATGCGCGCTTGGAAAGGGTAAACAGATTTCGCGCATTGTGATTGGCCAACGCGTAGCAAACTCTCGGAGGCACACTATTGTGAATCGTCCCAAATTGATTGCTTGCAAATTGATGACACAGGAAAGTCATTGTACATGTAGTATGCTACAAATATTGAAACATATTAACCATGTGTTGTACTGAGTTACAGCCCACAGCACATGTACATGAACATGGATAATAGCAGAGACTAAATGGATGACCAGAAATACGTGTACATTACATGTGTAATGTACACGTTAATGACAATTTATACTTCTTGTGAATGCAAAAACAAAGCAACTTATGACATCACAAAACAATTTGTAGCAAAATTTGCTTCAGTTGAAACATACTAGTATTCAACTATTGCAAATTTGCAGTGCGAATATTTGATCTGACATCAGATCATTTGACATTTGATCTGACATCAGATCATTTGACATTTGATCTGACATCAGATCATTTGACATTTGATCTGACATCAGATCATTTGACATTTGATCTGACATTGCAGTCAGGTTGGTCTTCATGCCGAGTATGGACCGGCATTTACCCAAGTGGCACCACGGCACCGTGCTCGCACACAGTGAAGATGCGCCTTGCATGCCCATTCATCCAATAAGGCATCCCGATTTGCCGAAAAGGCAGGCGCGTACGAATGCAGTGCCACTGAAGTAACGGCGTCTCCTGAGCTCAGCTTATAAGTCCTGCAGTGGGTATCAAGTTCCGCAGGCCACCAGTTTGGTACAAACTGAGTCGCGCAAAGTTGGGTCAGCAGAGCCTGTACGTGTACATGTACGTTCACAGAACCCAGGTGCACATATGTGCATAAAAGCATTCTCACCATACAATGTACCCGCGTGCATGCACAGTCTGCCATCGATCACCTCGTTGATTGAAAAAGAGGGCTATTCAGGAATATGTATATCTAGGGTACAGGATAAGGCTAGCACTGATAGCTACATGTACATTCACAGTTTGATTAATCTGCAAATACAACACAAAATACAAGCACTACAGGGTACTCGATCACACTTGACGCTAATGTACCGGTATATCTTACCGGTATGTATGTTGCGGTCCCTTTAATCATGAAAATGCTGGTTTTTTTTCTGATGAAAATAAGCCAGCACAAGTCTGCCAGTTACTATGTGGCCTGCTCTTCACTCTGCACGCTGCCGCCGCAGGCATGCACAGCCTCAAACTGGCAGCTTGTACAATCATGTCAGAATTGAGTCAATGCAGTGTTTTGAAATAAGGTCCAACTGCATGGTATTTAGAGCAGATGCAGCACGCCCAAAATTACTAAGCAACATCGAATCACTGAACCAGCTATCTCCATTGTATAAAGCTGCCAGATCGAGGCTCTGCATGCCTATGGCAGCAGCGTGCAAAGAGCGAATAGCTGTGTGTTGTAATTGAAGATACAGGTGTATCCTACTGATGATGTGTACATTGCTCAGTTTTGGGCAGAAAAAGTCAGTGCACTTGAAACCTGCCTTTCTGCCAACATACATGTAACTGTTAAAAGACATCAACGCACAAACTACATTACAGGAAATAAAGTCCTTTCCTACAAAACATTGCAAGGAACGAACTCATCAATCACCCCTGGGCTTGGTTTTTTTTGGGGTTGGTTTGAGAGGAAGGGATTGAACGTCTTCTTTTCCAGTCCAAACCTACAGCGCTTTTTTTGAATAGCTACAAGCAAGAGACTCTAGCAAGAGACTCTGGGGTCGCTTGCTGAGTACATCATGGACCATTACCATGTTTGATAACATACATGTACATGTACCGGGATACCATACTACTATGGTTATCCTAGCATCAGGCAAATGTACCCGGGTATGATTAAGATTGAATTGAACGATCAATCACATCGCTTTTATTGAAAAGGGTCATTAATTAAACAGGAAATTGGTCATTATCACCCATATAATGACTGACGGGGCAGCTTCTCTTCACATTTATAAAACAAAATCGTCATCTTGGGAGTTCAGTTCCACCGCGAGAATACTTAGAGTAAAAATAAAAGTGCCCATGAGGATGGCAAACAAATCTAGCGATTTGATGATGTTATAATACGGCTCTCGTCCACCAGAGTTTTTTACCTTGCGACTGCAATAGGGGGCTTTATAGCATTGAAAAACAGAGAAATATGTGTAAAGTAAGTTAGAAGTCATTCTCAGCAAATGACCATGGCCATCTGCCTGAAATTCATCAGGACCTACATGTACATGTACACGTAACTCCGGTTCAAATTGGGATGCTTTAACTTTGTCATAAAATCCAGTGCTGATCAACACTGTCAGTCATGTCAGTGTAAAAGCAATCCCAAGTCGCTTTCACTGCCCAACCTCTTTTAATTCACAGTTAAGTGCAAGCAAGCACAGCGCTCGTGCACGTGGGGGCATTTGCCTTGAAACAATGAAACAGTTGATGAATTGCAGAGCTGTAGTGTGACTTCATCAAAACAGGCATCTGTTGGATGCTCCCGACAACTTTTATATTCAGTTCCCTTATATAAAGGAGGATTTCAACTCCTACTTTGACGTCAGTAGCAATCTTTATTTAGTTTTGACATAATATACCTTACACTGTACAGTAGATGATGCACATTTGAATGTGCTTAGGCCAACACAAACAAGCGCTTTTGAATGTGTGTGTATGCTAACTTGTCACAGTGCAAATTTCACCTGCTGGTCAACAATGCGTTGTTACTCATGGCATGGAGCACATGATCAAGGTGTCATTGGACAGAAGACATTCAGGCCTTTCTGGAGACATATAATGCTTAATTAAGAAATATGCAGTTTTCCCATAAATTATGGTTGAATATTGGTTTCCTTTATTTTGAAACTACCTGTATAAATTTCACAAAAATTGAAATTATGAATCAACGATGTGATTGATCTGTAAAAAACCCTTTTGGCTACAACAGACAACATGCTACTGGTACACTCCCTTCCTGGTCCAACTGAGATTGCATCTCTTGTAAAAATGAAACAAAAACAAAAATCCTGAGGCAAAAAACCAAATGTATCCATCACTATTTAGCTTGACGCAGAGCTTCCATTACATGTAATACTCCTAACCGCCTAGGCCCTTTTCAAAGGATACACCCTCAGTCCTCCAAAATCCTCAAACTGGCCCCATGAAAAAATTGGATACAGCCTCAGTCCTCCAAAATCCTCCGATATTTCTTGAATAAGTTCTGTGGAGGGGTGCTCTCTGCCTCAATCCTTCAAAATCCTCAAAAACTGCCCGGAGGATTTTGAAGAATTTAGGATGGTTAGGTTAAGAGTGGGAACAGGTCAAGGAAAAATCGTGAACAATTGATGAACAGCTTTTGTAAGGCACCATTCATGGTCTGAACTGCTTCAAGTGCATAAAAGAACTGAAATTGAGTTTGAAGAATAGCAGTGGCCACTATCAGGCAGCATAAAAGAAAAGATGACAAAGGAATCTGGTGACGACAAGAATGTGTAATGTATGTATAGAATGGGAATTTAAGTATCCTGCGGGCAAAAGACATTGACGGATAGGTCCACTACAGACATGTCATACATGTATTTCATAGTTTCAACTGTTCTTTTAGTTTTGTCTCTTCCCTGTGCATAAGTTCAAAGACCCCAGGGATGACTTGGCTCTTTCACAAGGTATTACAAACAAAACTAGGGCTGTGCTGAATATCCAAATAACTGAATATTTGACCGATTGTTGAATATTTGAATATTATTTTTCGAATTTGAATATTCACGTGCAAAATTCATGAAAAGGAAGGGAAAATTTTCTTTTTGTTTTAAATGAGAAAAATTGCACTATGGAGGTTTGTTTTAAGCAGATTCAAATGAAAAGCATCAGAAATCTTACGATCTAAAAAGGAAATCATTAATTAAACAAAAATTTAGAAATTTTCAAGAGGGCAAGAAGTCTTGTTCATATCTTAAACCTTGCCCTTGCTAAATCATGGCTGAAGATACTCCTAGATGTGAGAAGCTATTATACAGATTATAATGTACAATTGTGTGTGTGATTGCGACTGATTTTATATATGGTTCATCAACAATCTGCCGGACAGTATGACCGAATATTCGGATATTCAATCAAATTGCAGGTCGAATATTCAAATAGCAAATTATTCGAATTGACTCAGCCCTAAACGGAACCACAAGTGCTGCAAGCCCGCTTATTGTTGTTCACTGCTTGTTCGCATTCTTTCCTGCATTGTGTGCATGCAAGAAGGTTGTCAGTTCTTCTCCCCAGAGCAGCTCAAATGCATTGCCGTCAGATTATGTCTACATAATACCAGAACATTCATACAGTTTCACTATTCCTTCCTCCGTGAATTCACACCATGAAATGGTTTGGAATAGATCCTGCGCTTAGGCCCTATTATCGGATCACGCACACGTCTGGCTATGAAGAACCTTTTCATGGCAAGACCACTGGTACCTTGTTTGGGTTTCTTCGAACATGAAAACCAAAATTTCCCTACATGTCCAACCCGGCACCAGAATGCAATCTAGAAATCCCAAGCTCGGAAAAAAGCGATAACTACATGAAATATACATTGCTTACAACGCACATGTACGTGTACATGTACCGGTACATGTGTGTCAACATGTGAACTTGCACAACATGTACATGTACAAACATTTGCCCCAAAATACATGTACTGCAGGAGTATGTATGCAGGACCTTAAGATGTATCTTTGAAATGGGTGAGGCAAAATGTGACGGTTTCATTGGAGGGGCCGCCCAGCTCCTGTGCCAGGAACCCCTGAAATTGGCTTTTGCTGCAAACATGCGCACATCCCCCACATCGCGCACATGTCTCAGGAAGTTTGCATGTGAGGCAGATTACATGAGTAATCTGGAAGTCATTCCAGCCCTCATTCTGTTGAAAGATTGGCCAAACAGGCACTTTGCAAAGTCATCATCACATGGGCGACCTCTTAGTTTTTTCGCAGTTGTGTGGGAACGGGATTTTGTGGCAAAAGGAAGCAAGCAAAGACAAACACATTTATACAAATACTGAAGACGGTTAACGATCAGTAAAACATTGTAACTGTGTTGACACATACATGTACATGTATCTTGTTCACAAAATAATTCTTTGCAATGAAACAAACTCAGCATATTTAACAAATTTCAGGACAACACCCACTGGCTTTTAAAAAAATTCTTGTGATATGACGGAAGTTAACCCTGTCCTAAAATCCCAGCACAGCTATGAAGAACACACCTACATGGACATGTACCGCTACGCTCAGCTGACAATAAAATGTCCTTGTAAAACAGGAAATAAACAGGCTTTTTCTTTTAGCCCAGAGGATGCCGAACCCAAGGTGTTTGTGTGCAGAGGCAAAAAGGCTCTTCCATGGCTGCACAGGACCGGTCAAACTGTTTCCCAAGTTGGAAAAGTGCGTGCTCACAGAGCTGTGTTCAAGGAAAAAAGAAGTGACGGATGATTGAATTATAAATCAGGGTACAGTGTACACAGGATGTGGTACAGCTGATCGATTGGCTCAAAATGTACAAAACAGGAGAACCTGATTATTATCCACTGAAAAGCCAAAATTGGCAGGGTAAATGGAGTTACATGCACATGTTTAAGAATAGGAAACAACCTCACAGTCTGAGCACAGTACGGAAGGCATCAAGATCATGTACACCATTCCTGAGCAGTTGGTGTTGACAGCCTGGCTTTACAAGTACGGCAACTACTAGAAGTTGCATAAGCACTGAACGAAATGTCCATGTACATTTCTTCCTGTGGCAAATTAAGTGGGGGGAGGGATGCAAACACAGTCTCTAGCAACTATTGCAAAATTTGGTCCAGGGCTAAACTTTCAAACTTTTCCCAACTCTCAAGCAGTGGACGTTGCAAGCTAATATCATAGTTTTAACATGTCAAACTTAGACACAGTCTAGTAATTTGACTTCTTTTTAAAAATTGAACACTATCCACTCTTTTCACAATGGTGTCTTTCACCTGAAATTATACTAAAAATTAAAAAAAAAAGGCAGCCAAATTTCATCCAATCTTAAATTATTTCTATTGACATTGATGTGCCCATTCCATTCTAAAATGAATCCAGGGTAGGGTTACACTGACCTGGTTTTCTCAAACGCATGTAAAAACTACACAAGAGTCGCAGAAGTGTGTCAAAAAATATTGCTGTGACTGACAGTAACATGTAGATCTATGGAAGCTGTTAATTAGCCATTGGAGCCATCTCCCACGGACTAGTTACAAGAGCCAGACATGACCACGACTTTTAAGTCACCTCCACGGGGTGCCTGGGTTTCATTTAGGACTGCTCTATACTGCTTGTCTCTTGCCAGCCAAGCCTGTCCTCTCTCACGAAAATTTTTGAAACTGAACACCCTTGTGCTCTATCTGAGGACATATTTCCACTGCATCCAATACTTGGAGGGAAATGTGGAAACTCGTTTGTCGGTGTTGAAGATTTAACTGTAGAACAAAATATGTGGGCTTGTAAATCTTGCAAAACTGCCTGTGCAAACTTGTTAGTGCCTGTCCTCAGAACAGGTGGACGGGTGACTGAATTAGGCACTACCGGATATTGACTTCACCCAAGTTCAGGTACATGTAGTTACTTTGTAGCATTTACAATGTAAGTGCAGTTTGTAGTCAACTGCCAATGATCTCGCAATTTTTAAGATTCGAAATAAAACCAATCATTAAGGAATTACTGCCAACAACAGTCACTGTAAATTAAAAAAAACACAAAAACCACCACATAAAATGGGATGAATTTAGCTGATACATTCATACCACGGTATCAAGTGAACATAAATTATAATAAATGCTTGCCACATACAAATAATTGATAAGTCGGCCATACATGTAAGCATTACACTTGTGTCAATGTAATATCGTTTTACACATACAGTGCGAATATGTGCGTGTAAGGTCACAATACTGGCCAACTTTCATGATGCAAAAAATGAACTTTAATTTATCAGATGAAGTAACCATTTTCAAGCAATGTTTGCTTGAGATTATAGTTGTACATGTATTTGAGAGATAATGTACAATGTTGCTATCATCCCCATGGACATTGTGCATATTGCAAAGTCCACAGACCAAAAGAAAATTGAATGATTAATTTCAGTTTTTCAAAGGCCATGAAAACACCACGCGTGTAGCTTTATGACATGTACGTGTCCACAAAGATTGATGCTGAAGGTACTGATACCAACAACTTGTTTGCAAGCATACATGTGTACATTTTCAACGGAACATTAAAAAAGATAAAACTTTGAACAACGCAGACACGTAAACGTCCCCCCATAAATAACAAAAGTTGGAAACATGAGACAAATGGTAAGTAGGAAAGTAAGATGATCATGGTGGTAATTTTTGCCCTCGACGAAGACTAGCAAGCGGGATTCACATTTTTCTGCTTCAAAGTGCTTGACCAAGTCTTTTTATTGGGCTTCTGACGAATAAGTCAGTCGTGGAAATACTTCTCGTTACAAATTTATTTTGATCCATCATTCAGCACAGAGGGTTGCCATCTGCATGAATGGTAATTCTAGGAGGATGGCGAATGCTTTATCTTTTCAGGCCCAATTGAGCACTGTTGCCATCTTGTAGGCTGAAATGCGACAGCATCTTCACCATTTTGCTGATTTTGTTAGGACCACGACTTCACGCTTACAGAAGCTCCACGTATTTCATGGAGACTGTAAGCAGTAAGCACTGCCAAAGCACGGCATGCTAGCCTTGGAGGAAAGATTTGCTTAAACTTTGTGACCTAACGATAGAAATCTCTATGTGGGTTTGCCAAGCACCACCATAACATAGTGCTTAAGGTTACAAAATTTTTCTGCTTAAGTTAGGACAACTGTCATCACACTAATCACTTAGCGTGTCAAGCTAGCAATGGACAGAACTTACCTTCTTGTCTCGGTTGGAGTATTCCACGGCCAGCCAGGGCATGTCGTTGAAGTACTCTTTGAAGGAATCCTCATCTTTGTCGGAGCTGACAAAGACGATCTCCAGATTGGCACCGTTGGCCGACTCCTTGAACTTACTGTACCACTCCGCCAGCTTGGGTGTGAAGGCACGACAGGGCGGGCACCAGTGGGCAGAGAAGTACAACCCCACCACCTTACCCTCCCCGGTGAAGGAGCTGACGGCCACTGTCGTCTTGTCCTTCTTCGCCACCGTCTCTCCAAGGAGGTCTACTAAAGCCATGGTTTGAGGATTCACAATGTGGCAGCTGGTTGGAAATCAAGAAACTGCAAGGGACAAACGTTTATGATGAAACTTGGTGAGTTGAATTACCAGACCAGAGAAAAAGATGGACAGATTTTGTTAAAAACCAGTAAAGTGGGATCTAAGCATTGTCTGAAAAACTGGACTCTACAAATCGCTTTTTAACATTTGGACATTTGTGGAGTCCTACACGTCGTTAGTGGGACAAGTAAGTGCATGTTATTCTGTACATGTCCCAATTAAACCAGCTGAAACTTTCAGCTGACGAAACATAGTCACAAGGTCCCTTGTTTCGCCACTTCAACCAACCAGACTTCACAGCAGTCAGCCAAAGATAGGAACCCGGCGCAGGCGATCATGGGTGTTATTGTGAACACCAGGCCTGTCATCAACATGTGATGACACACCCTCGCATTCAATATCACACTGACACTGCTATTATTGCTGAACATAACTTATTATTGATATGGGTACCAGCATTTACGAGTGATTTTGCAACACAGCAACTTTCATCAAGTGAAATAATTACAGCAAATTTATGAACAGTACATCCAAGCCCAGGCTGCACACTGCACGACACACAATGTGCACAGGCCGTAGTAGGATATCGTAAGTGTGGCCAGGAGACTGGGTTGCAGGGATACGCCTTCAGCAAAGCAAGGCCAAGGCGACCATCATGGCATGGCGAGTCTCTCTGGGCCGTATCAGACGTGGGGCTACACGATCGCGTGATCTGGTGATCTCCAACTTCATTTCCCTTTTGGAAACAATATCCCACAACAGCGAATTTGAGAGAAAATGCAGGTAAGTGACAGTAACATTACCAACCGATCAGGTGACAAGATTGTTTCCATACCTGGCTAGATGACTTTGCTAATTCCACGTTGAAACGATGAACACCCAAAGGCCAGCCGACTATATTTCACACACCTCAGCTCCTCAGGTGAGGTGCGCTCTGCATCTGGTGCATGGAATGTAACGCGGTGAATGACAATGAAACACGTACACCCCACACGTTCCCGGAAACCGGAATGCATCCTCGTTCGAACGAGTAGAGTGTGCCATCAACGGTGCGATCCCAATGCATATAAATATTACGACGTCAACTACACGTTAAGTTTAAAACCATTAACCTTTCGTTTACACGTCCATCAAGGCACATCTCATCAGATAGCACTCATGGCGCAAGTCGCTTATTAAGGTGTCATTTCTATCTATAGAAATGATGCCAATAACACTGTCGTGTGTCGACTTGATTATGGAACAATCAGGGGGCAACCAAGGTGTGGCATAACCGCCAGAAAGTGCACTAGGCCTATATTATGGCCTTGATCAAGACGTCACTCGGGATGTGGTCAATCATCAAAGGCCCCGGTTCGGTCTTAATTAAGCTTCATGCCCGACGCCTCCTCGATAATTAGGAGGAAATGGTCCATATGAAAAATTGGTAATTTTTTTTTGAAAAGCTTGTGTGGACTGGTTACTAGGCGCTCTGAAACAAAAATAAGTAAATAACACTGGGGAAAAAATGAAAAGTTAAGAATTACTAAAGTAAGCGCACCAATACCATTGTAAAAATGTATGTCATGTAATATATCATCATCTTTTCAGCTTGCCTGCCAAAAATGAGACACTAAAAATAATCTCCAGCCTGACCCCCGCAAAAATTCCTGGAGCCGATCCTGTGTTTAATTCAACCGTTTTATATATATACAGCTATCTTTAATCATTTCAAGATTTCAAACAGGGGGTATAGGCTGGGGGTACATACCGTTGCCCCCCGCAAGGTAGTTACACCACTGGTCATGTATCATGAAGCGTCTTAACCCCCCCCCCAAAAGGGGGGGTATGAAAACGTGGAAAAGAGTCCTCAGGGGTGGCCATGGCCATCTTCTCAACGGTGTTTTTACTGGGAGTATATACCAGGGAGAGGATATTTCAACCCCTCCCCTTCATAAGATGGATCCATTTTTGCAGCAACGCATTACCGACACTGGCTGCTTGCGGGGGTGGATGAATGTGGCCGCAAAGGGCGACATCCATCTTAATATACCGATATGTTGCTGGCATGTACTACTAGATAATCTTGAGAGGCCGGAACAAATTTGGTTTCGAACCTAGGGGTGGGTTGACCGGGGGGACAGTAGAGCTGTGTGACATCTAAAGTTGACCCAGGGCCTCAACCCTTATAACTTAAATAACTTCCTCGAAAAAAGGGCAATTTTCATCACCTTTCCTCTTTTTTTTATTTCCTTTTTCCCTTATTGTTCTCGTTTTCCTTTTCAAGGACTACCCCCATTGTTTTTTTTTCTCCTAAAAATGCGCCCCCCCGCATCGATTACGTCACATCTAGGTAGCCTTGATAAAGGCGTCGGGCGATGATTTTGACAACCCCGGCCGTCAGGCCTGCTGTACGTGCGTGGCGGAAACACTGCATGTGTGTTGCGCAAAACCCCCGCTGCAGCAGGTTTGCTTTTGTACCATATATTGCAAAGTACGTCGGGCCGTTATGCTTATGCGAATGACATCCGATTCTCAGTGAAGCCGTTGCCATGCCCGCCCCACTCTCAGCTTGCTCACGTGCGTGCCTTCTCCCGGTCCTCATGATACGGACAGCTGACGTACGTGCGTACGTGGGGTTATGTACATGCACAATGTACATGTATACGCAAATAAGTCTGAGGTGGTTCGGTTTCTATTACAGCAGTGGCAAAGCCTTCTTTAGTTGGTGTACAGGGATCTGTTGTGGTTCGCCGTTGTACCGTACATGTACATACAGCGGGGGCAGCTCGTTTGCCGTGGTTTGCGTGCGTACGGCCTGGATCTCTGCCGGAGTTTAACGGCTGCGTAAACCGCCTTGGACAAGGCTACATCTGTGCCACTTATCAAATTTCTGATGCCAACCGGTAGATTTGTTCGAGTCTTCGGAAGGCTCTTTGTTGCCAGATCTAAAACAACGAAGATTAAAGTCAATTCGATGACACATCCTTGCTTTAGTTTCTTCGAAAATGAAGTGTACATTATTTTACAATTGTTCTTAATTTACTGTTGTCATATCCCTGTCTTGAATACTGTTTTTCATTGGTCCAGAACGATCACATGGCAGGGCGACACAACCAAATGTCACATTCACATCAGCCGGCTATGTATGACATCATGCGCACGCACACACCCGCACCCCAGTGGTGTTATGCAGGGACCGCCAATCGCCAAGTGAAAGATTCCTTTATCACCCTCAATTTCCCTCGGAGAAAAATAAACGTGAAAAACATCATCAAGATAGAGATATGACAAAACGGTTGTTAACTATTGTAATGTGGGATATAACGTTTTTGCACACCCTTGGGCACGCTAGCGCCCGAGTCCTTCCTCACTTGCTCCTCCATTTGAAAGGTGGATATGTGCAAGACCTATAATTCATACAAGCTGCTGCGATTCGTGTAAGTTTAGTGCCCCCTTGAACAAAACTACCTCATTACCTGGTGTCCTCTCAGAATTTTCACCCAAGCTGAAATGGCTGCTTCTCACTTTGGCTGTTAGACTCCAATATCAAATCGATTTACATTACTGGCAAGATTATGAGGAAATGTTACTCAAACTACTCTTTTGGATTTCAATCTCTGCGAAAAGCAACATTTCGTAACGTTTTGCTTTATGAATTGAACGATAAAGAGACTGCCAGCATTACCTTACCAACAGTCTGGGATACATCCTGTGATTTTCCGAGGGAAGATGGCTTCGTTGACAGTCATGGGAGGAGACCAGTCTTCAGGCCTTGTGTGTAAACTACCCCTATTAAAAATGTCGGGCATTAATTTCCTTTGAAAAACCAACAACGAAAGATCATCTGATTCCGGCTTTTATTCAAACCTGGTTACCCCGGGGCGTTGTGTGAAACAATTTCGCACGCGCAGTGTAGCAATTTTCTTACACAGGGGTCTAGATTTTAAAGGATACTTAACATGACAAACGTATTTTGTGCAACCCTCCATCCGGTATGGTTCGTATTTGACTTTGTCACAAAGGCGGACGCGCTACGATTTGAAAGCTGTCATAGAGTACCGAAGTGAATACGTCATGCGCACAATTAGTGTGTAAAAGGCATTAGTGCGAGAATAATCAGTGCGTGAACCAACACGCACGCGTACTCCATTCGTTTGCACTGCACTTTCTGGTTCACATTGACGTCACACTTCGTTACTCTATTGGACAATCGCTGAAGTTGCCCGTTTAACTTCAGGTTCCATGCATGATTCCATGTAAACGGCGATCAATGCATGTAACCCTATGTGCAGTGCACTTGTGCAGTGGGCGTGGTTTAAACTGGTGTGACGTCACACTTACAAACCGGATTCCTCTTCAGTTTAAGAAAACCCACCTGGCATCTATGTGTTGTTACCCTCATTATGTTACGAGTACACTCTTTTATGAGTAGTTCCAATTTACGTATACCTTTACTGACCAATGAGGGCGCTGTTGCTGTGATGCCATAAGGCATTGTTCACTTTGGGAAGTTTCTGCTCAAATTGTGAAATCAGTCAAAATGTTTCTGAGAAAACTCAGTTCAATGGTCCACTTCCGTGAACTAAAATAGCAAGGGTATCAGATTAAATGGGACACATTTAAAAGAACTGCGTTAAATCATTACAATAATTCAGCCGCCATTTAAGGGATATTCTGAAGTCGCTCGGCAATGATGAAACAAAACATACATATGGTGTGGAGTAATTTTTTAAAAACCGGGCGGAATAATCTGAGATGAAACTTAAACCTTAAACCCGAGTTGCACGCCGAGGTCACCCACTGTGGAGACTTAAACCATTCTGTCAGATGAGCCGAAATGGTTTACAGTCACATTCCTCAAACAGTCGTAAACAGCCCACCAGTATGGTCAGGGGAGTTGAAAACGAAATCTGTTTTATTTAATAAAAAAATCGTTCGACAGTCCCGAATTAGTACAAACAATCCATTGGCAACATTCATGGTCACTGGGCCATCAAGCCAACTTCAGACGCAAAAAGGCAGAAAATGTTGAATGAGTGACTCAGCAGCATCCACGCCGATCAAATTGAATGAGCGCGCATTGGCTGAATTGGGGCCTTGGATGTACGCGTAGAGTGGACTGCGCGATTTAACCGCACATAGGCCTACGAACATTTCCCAATTCCATGATTCCGTGCACGGCTGGAATTAATGCCCAAATCATCTCTTTGCACACAGGGTAAACAATGGGAATGAAGCACAAAATACATGAACTATGGGCTGCTTCATTTTCACTGTAATTTTTTTTTTTTTTACAGTACTTTACTATGGCAGCACGGGCGCCAGTAGTATACTGTTAATGATTTATAGTAATTTTTTACGGTAAATCGCCGTCATTTATTAGACAGTAATATACCGTAAAAACTACAGTAACTTATCTCAATTTCATGTAGAACATTAGATACAGCAAGTTATCATTTTCACTAATTACGGGTTCAGTCTACATGTGTATTTAGTATAAATTTTGTTGATTGTCTAGAGCTAGGTCTAGGTCTTTGCTCCATTGGAAATGCGTGGAGACGCGTAGACAATAGACCTAGCCGTAGCTGTGAATGCCCGTTTCGGACACGGCCTTGACGTGCACTGACTTGGTATATATATGTGCATTTGGCTCCCAAGTGTAATCGTGGTTGGAACATGAAAAAGTAAGATTTTTCATTGTCCACGTTCGATTTATGTTTTGGGCAATTGTTCTCATTTATGTGTAAAACTACATCCAAAAAGCACAAACAGTTTGTCAGACTAATGTCAAATTGAGGTCAAAGCTTATACCCGTAAAACATTACTGTTAAATGATACAGCATTGTACATGGACTGCATTCACAAAAGCACAGTAAATACGTGTAACAATTACATGTTCGTTTGTTTACAGTAAACTTTGTTCACAGTCGATAAATGTTGCAAAAATACAGTACAAAACTGCTCATTTATCTGCATTATTTTACAGTGTTGGCAGTATCCAGGTACAAAGATTCTTCTCTTTGGATGGAGCCAGATTAACGTTTGGGGTTCATCGTGTTTAAGAAAGGATTTGGACAGACAATTTGTCTGACCGAGAAAGAAGTCACTTTGCGCTGTTAACGGCGTCTTGCTTCATAAGGTTTCCCAGCTCTTTATTTGTCGCTCATTTTTTTCATGGAAGTAGCCCAGATCTAATTTTAAGTGTGACCAAACATTCGGATCACCTTGAGCACTTGACGTCATCATAATCATTATAGACTGCGGCTGCGCACGAATATAGGCAGCGGCGTAGCCACGGGGAGGGGCTTGGGGGCATGTGCCCCGGTGCCCCTCTGGTCCTCCCGCCACTAAGAAAAATAGATGAATGGATATTGAACAAGGCTAGCAAAAGCTAGCCCCCAAAAAACCACACCACTGAAAGCTGGTTCCCCCCAAAAGATGCCGGTGCCCCCTTGTGCCCCCTAGTAAAACCCTAGCTACGCCACTGCGAATAGGTCATAATTTATCAACAACTAGCTCTTCATTCTCTCGTAGAACCGAAGGCACAGAGCTACAACGTACGAGATTCAGACACGGCGAACCTGTCATCTAGTGAGCTTACCACTGCACTTTGGGCGTAAAATCCGTGCCAGATAAAAGTGTAATTTCTGCTTTTTGGAGCTCACCCCGGTCCAAGGGTATATTGGGATATGCATGGATCTCTGCAGTGACTGCAGCTGTATTCGTTTGCAAATACCGTCCTTAAGCCCCCCCCCCGACTTGATGTGAGACCAGGCATAGCCTAGGACCAGCCCAGTAGGAATGTAGCAAAACACGCCTGCACCTTTCATTGCTTTAACCGTAAAATGAAAGCAACGAGACAAAACAGGCAATAAAGGAATCCAAACAATAAAAAACTTTCCTCCATTTTAAAGATTCCCAAGACAGGCTTCGAAGGCGGATTAAAAGACTTAGATGTATTCAGATCGTAAGCGGGTTATCTAGTGCAGATGGTCAACATTGAAACTACACCACATTGTGGCTAGATGGAAGGATACTTCACTGAACGAGGATTAAAGCTCAGCTAGATCTCCAAAGTGATTCATTTGCAGGAAAAGAATACCATTTATTTTCTATTTTCCCATTTATGCTTTCGGCATCCAGAATCCATTCTGTATTAACCTGCAATCAGACAGGTCACTTTGGTGTTTTGTTATTTGGCCAACAAGGTGAACTTTTTATTGAAGGGCAGCCATTGGATTTGCGCGTCATTTTCCAGCTGGGGACCCTATTATCACCCCCTTAGAAAGGCCTTGAAAGATTATATATTAAAAATTGCAACTTTCTGCCACCCCAAAAATGTTTTTAACTCACCGACAATTGATATTGAATCTGCCCAGCTAATTTGGTCGTACTTAGTAATTTATTTTGTTATTTTTAATCAATTTTTTGACTTAATGACAAACACTGACCGTAACGCGCTGAGTCCGTGATTTGGGAGCCACGGTCGATTAAGCGTCCCTTAAAGCTGAACCGAACTGTGGTAGCTAAAATCGATGCGTGTGCATCACTCGTGGCTAAACACGGAGGCTCGAAACAAAGCAGTTAATTAATAGATTTTTTTAGTTACAGGCTTGAAGCAAACATATGAGTCACATGAATTAATGAGCACGACGGTACAGCAGACAACTTGAGACGTGAGGAATTGAGCAATTTCAGCGCTAAAGGGAGAGGCAGGTGATGCAAAATATAGGGGCAGTGTTGGAACATGAGAGCGGAATTCTTAAATGACGGATGGTGTTTTAATCGATATCAGAAGGTCTGTCGCACTTTTATTTCTAATTTCCAAGAGGCACTCATAAAATCGAGAACCAAGGCAGGGAACATGATTTTAAATGATTGGATCAGGCTGGGGAAGAAAATTGCTTCGGATTTTTCGGACAAAGTGCGGTTCGAAGCCTAAGATTAAGTGAAACTTATGCGCTAATATAATATGTAAATTCCTTAAAACAGAAAGGAACGACACTGCATTGTGATAGGACGTAGGGTTCAGAGGCGCAGGAAGACCCAATAGACGCTAGCGGACCGGGTGGTGATCCAGTTGCGTATCCCCCTCGGGGGAAATTTCAGAGGGGGCCGGCCCGGGAACAGAAATTATTATTTCAAAGATGGATTTGCGCCGGAGAAATGTAAATTTTAACACTGTATTCTCAGTGTATGCTCCGACGGGGCATGAAAAAACCACAAGCGTACTCGGGTGGGACTCGAACCCACGATTTCCTGCTTATTGACGTCTTAACCACTCGACTACCGAGCTTGCCGGCGACAGCGGGCTGGTCGAATCAGACGTGGCAGCTGGTACCGCGAACTGAGAATACAGTGTTAAAATACACGTTGGACAGGGCAAAATCCAAAATGAACACACATGATATCACAATCATTTCAAGGGAGCAACAAAAGCAAATGAAGTGCGCCTTGCACATAGGTTGCACGCTCCGGGATTTTAAATGGGGGGGGTGCACCCAGAGACCACCGACTGCCTCAAGAAGAGGCAGGTGCCCCCGGCCTCCCCACGCTACGCCATGAGTGCAGCCGCCCCTATCGTTCTCTCTCTATCTCATCTTTTTTTGGTTGTTTCTGTTGACATTTAGGCCTACTTTTCCGGTTCTAATTAATTTCATGATAGAAATCACCCCGATGAACTCTTGAGTTGGGAAAATTTGTCTACCTCTCTTAATGAACAAACGATGCCGGTTTATTGAGGACGCTGGAAAGCCATTACGTTTCTTCGAACGTTCAACTCATGTACTGCTTCGTGATCATGTACTCGCTACAACCACATTCAGTGTTTGTTGCTACCCACTGGTCGATTACGCGACGCGTGCTACCATTGGAGGATGATAAGAGCACACCATCACAGCCCTCAAGGAGCCCGACTAAGGTTTTCCTTGTGGAGTCCAATGGCCCAAGCCTCTCTGCCCACATCTTTTGTTGTTCCTCACTTAGCGATTCGGGGCGATAGTAAACAAAGTTCACTCCTTTTAGAGGTGCAGGCCGAGTCGCTGTGGCCGTTACAGCACAGCTCATGAATAATTCATGTAGAATGGGCAAATCAACTGCGGGTTTACCGTTAGATGAGTTGGGTAAACGAGAAGATGAATAACAACAGGCATCTTTCGATATGAGCAACTGCCTTTCATGTAACGGTATGCCGTGCCAACCATACCGGACGTTCGCGAACACTACTGAATGTGCATACACTTACACTACATCCCGCCATAATCTCACTTTGGAAGAAAAAAAATTGACACCAAGACCGTTTCTTGACGTTTCTCCGGAGTAAGCGAAGGCAGTCGAAGTTGGCTCTACCGGGAAGCGGTGTCCCGCGGCATGGCCGGCCGGGCTACAGTCCGGGCACTTAGTGCGCTGGTTGTGCTGATGACATTGATAGCTGTCGAGTGGATAATAGGTGGGTAGAAGAACCAGAATGTTTATCCTTCTTGACTGGAGATCGGCCCAAGTGGACATCTAATTGCTGTATTTGGAGGAATATTCTTGAAAAGTGTCATATTAACTGCTTAGGAGCTGAACAGCAGTGAGGATTTTTCTTTGGGGTGTCCCAAGGTGTAAAGAAAATGTTTAAAGTATTTTCGCATGCAGATGTCTTTTTAGTTCACAACACTAAAATAATCTATAGGGTGCTCTTTAAACAAGTGTATTGTGACGCTGACTTTCTGTGACTTAAGAGATCAGCATGTCACTGCAGTTGTACGTCTATTTTTGTAGAGACTTTTGAGGCTGATTGTACTTGAGTCCAATGCAACTTATGTCTGTGTTTTAGTTTAAAAATTACGTTTATTCAGAATGGGGGATTCATTTATCTCCATAATCTTTTCTCATATTGACCAGTCCGCTCAACGATCGACCAGTCAATTCCAACTATCGATTTTGGGCGCATTGATATGGCATTATGGATTTGCATAAAGGGGAAATGGTTACTTGGGACATATTACGCATCAAAGGGAAAACCAGAGGGAATTCTAAACAAAATGATAACTTTTAAGATTATTTTTCAGTCAAACCTGATCTTGCAATTTAAATCTTCCTTTTTAAAGGGAATTGAAATATTTACAATCGCTACGTCTGTCGTTTTGTATCAAAATGGAGTTCGCAAAGTAGATTTTATCACGTAGACATCACAGACGAAGAAAAATTAAGATTCCAGAATGCAACAGACCATTCCCAGGCCTTTCGCTATGTTCTTCAAAAGATTTTGGGCCCACTTTCTCGAGATACTTGGGATGAAGTCAGATTCTGGCAAAAAGTGAACTTTATGAAAGGTTTTAGTCTTCGGGCTTTTTGGGTTTTCCTGTCAGGTTGTGAGGGTTCGAATTCCGCTCAGCAGCTTTTCGAGGACAAGATGAGGGGCTATGACCCCTTGATACGACCCGTGGACAACAACTCCGATGTTGTCAACGTCTCTATCTCACTCGCCCTCTCTCAGCTTATCGACATAGTGAGTTTTTGCAGCCGTACAGTCTAACGGGAGAAAAATCCTAACTTTATTTCCTTTCAGATGTGCATATCATTGGCATATCATTTGCGACAGATCCAAACAGTAAATAGCTCTTATCAAATGTCTGAAGTTACCGAAAAGGTTGAGCGACTTTAAAGTAATTGAAAGTAATTTTTTGTTCAGGCGTAGCATAAAAAGTAGTCGTTCCTGCTCGTCAAAATTCCACATGGTAGCTGCGACCTATCGGCCTGATCTTGACCCACCAAACAAAAGTTCAGTTTTTCATTCTTGCTCTGTCCTATCTAGGACGAGAAGAACCAGGTCATGATTACAAGTCTGTGGCTGAAGCAACAGTGGAAGGATAGCAAGCTCGACTGGGACCCAGCCGACTACGATGGCCTGGAACAACTGCAAGTCCCCATCGAGCGGCTTTGGAGCCCAGACATTTTGCTCTACAACACGTAAGTGGTCTTGCTGTCAATCACTGACACTACAGAGACCACTGAAGCAAGTTGAAAATTGGTTCCTGAGGCAGTGACGACACAAAAAGCCACATTTAAATAGCGGTGTCATTTTAAATGTTGGAAAATCTGAAGGACTACTCGTGTTCTGAAACATGGTTTGATGACTTTTAAGGTATATCCATTATCTGTGACCATATTCAAAGTTTGTTTTACGTCCCCATTCTGTTGATGTTGCCAACATGTACTTTGTATCACGCAGAGCTAACGGAGACTTTGCTGCCGGATTAGGCAACTGGGCGACGGTCAAGTACGACGGTACCGTCTACTGGAACCCTCCCGTCATCTTCAGGAGTTCTTGCCTGATCGACATCTCCTACTTCCCCTTCGACGAACAACGCTGCAAGATGAAGTTCGGCACCTGGACTTACGATGGCTCCGTGGTGGATCTCAACCCACTGACCCAGCGGGTGGAGCGGGAAAACTACCGGGCCAACGGGGAGTGGGACATCGTGGAATCTCCAGTGGCAAAACATGCCATCAAGTACCCGTGCTGCGAGGAGATCTTCATCGACGTGACTTACACCTTCGTCCTGCACCGCAATCCACTCTTCTACATCATCACCCTGGTGCTGCCGTGTATCCTCATCGCTCTGCTGACGGTTCTTGTGTTCTACCTGCCCTCGGCCGCCCAGGAGAAAGTTACGCTGTCCATTTCGGTCCTCATCGCTCTGATCGTGTTCCTCCTCCTCATCCCGTCCATCGTCCCGCCCACCTCCACCACGGTGCCTCTCATCGCCCGCTACATGCTCTTCACCATGGCCATTGTGTCCATCTCGATCTTCGCTACGGTCTGGACCATCAACCTCCACTTCCGGAACTCCAACACCCATACCATGGGCAAGTGGACCAAGAAGGTCTTCCTGAATGTCCTGCCGAGGCTGCTGTTGATTGAGCGGCCGGGTGCGTCCCATGCGCGCAAGGAGCGGGCGAGGCAGAAGCAGATGGAGCGCGCTCTCATCCGCAGCAACGTGACTTCGTCCTTTGTCTACTCACCGGTAGACGCCGCTGCCGCGGGCGGGCGTGGCCGAAAGGAACCCGGGGGCTACTCCAAGATGGTCATGTCTGGGTCCACCTTGTCTCCCTCCCTTCGAGAGGAGATCGAGTACCGTGAGAGGAGTGGCACACTGAGAAGATACGAAGAATACGAGCCAGTGAAAAGGGAATGGGACGATCTTCTAGAAAATCTGCAATACATTCAAGAAAACCTGAAGCACGCTGACGAAGTGGAGGATGTGAGTTGAAACCAGTTACACCTTAATATAATATTACAGAGACTTATCTCTCATTTACGGTTTTTAGAAAAATCAACCTTTTTGTTTTGATACCTCTCGATATCACTCTTAATATTAAGGTCACAACAAAAGCATCATGATGCTCAAGCCTTTCCATAGGTGCTTAACCATTCCTACCCTGAGGGTAAGAACCCCATACAAAGGACGAGTATCTCTTTCACGGGAGGTAATTCCCTCCAAGGGAGTCAGCCCGATTGAGAACCAATTCCCTGTACGGAGCATTGAGTGCCCAAATGGTTCGAGGAAGGATGTGACCCTCCCCCAAAAAAGCTTACAAAATGAGAACCCTTTCCTAGGGTGTAGGTCCTTTTGGCCGTGAATCCCGTGAGATACAGTATTCATCCTAAGGATCTAAGGATCAAGCCTTGTCATAGCCTTCTGTGTATACCGTACGTGCTTTAATTAACCCTGTTCCCTCTCTCTCACACAAATATCCATCTCTCAACAGTCCGAGGAGGACTGGAAGTACGTGGGCCTCGTGGTAGACCGGCTCCTCCTGTGGATCTTCCTCATCGTCGTGGTGGTAGGGACGGCCGTCTTCTTCGTTCAAGCCCCGATCCTATGGGAGTCGCCCGATGAGCACAAACGAGAGGTGTACGATGACCCCGAGGTGCTACTCACCGCTGGATACTACGATCTCTTTCCCACGGACCCTCCCATCCCGCAGGCGGTCTCGCAAGCCATATAGTCGCCGTTTTTTCAGAACATCACTTTCCTTCTTCCAACGTTCGTCTTAATACCAAACGGTACGATAATATTATGTGTGGCAGAGACTGAAATTACTCTGTGCTGGAAAGTATTTTCTTGCATGGACGACTGAATGTATGAAAATAAAGCCTGAAGATGGAGACAGAGACGACTAAAATGTCCCAAGACTATTTGGTCCTAAATGCTTTGCTATGGTCAGTGGTAATGCATGCGTGTCCATGGGAAACAGATTTCAACGCTTCCTAAGAGGTACATTGCACCATCAGCTATAAAGCGAAGGTATTTTAATGCATATTTTGTCACGTCACTCCCGTAATATTCGTCGGTGTTCCCAGTCTTAGCGCAAGAACAAATATTGTTCTGTAAATGGATCTGTTTTGTGGCTGCCTTTCAGCAAGTTATTATCTGGTGTAATGGGAGCGTCTTGTACCACAGTAGCACCTGTATGTATAGAAGTGAACGACAACGGAATGTTATCATTCTGCGCAACGGCAGATATTACAGGCCGATGCTTTTAGATGATTCTGTGAAGGGAGGCATGTCAAAGCAAATATTTAATTGACTAAAATTCTCTTTCTCTTTAAAAGGTGTTTCAATGGTGGATGTAGCGAGGCATGGGTAAAAATAAAACCATTATGCTTCTCGGCAAGAGCTCATTCATCTAGCTTCTTTCTGAATGTTAAATTAATTATCTCTTTTTAATCGTCAGTATAAGGAAAACAATTACAAAGTGGTGCATCCAATGACGTTTCAAGACTTTTTTTAATTAATGAAGTGAAACTTAATTGACCGGTGTGCCTTCCGTTGCTCAGACCTGGACCACACCGTTTAAATTTACCTTAACTGCGAGAAGTGGCCAATATTGGGTACCCGGTACATAACTTCGTGGTGTTATTGACCACCTCTGTGATTGGTCATTTCGTACGCTGGTGAACGCAGTGGCGTACAAGTTCTTTTTAAGTTCATTCGCTTAACGATATTCGCTTGTATCTGTAAAATAGGATCTTTTCAAAGTGCATACGTAAGTTGAAGATTTGGTTCCAGTGTGGATGCTATGCAATAAAGATGATCTGCAAGTTTTATTTTGCATTCTAAGAGATTTGCACAGGAAATATGTTCTCGTCATAACACTTCTGAGGTTTTGTGAGCATCGCAATTATTTCGATAGCCATTCTCAAAATAGAAAGAACTTAAAAAGCATTTGGTAAATTTAGTTTGAAAATATTGTGCTTTTAACAAGGGTAGTTGTACGTTTGATCATGGTCAGATTGTAAACATTCCAGTGCTTGTAGTTGATGGCATATTTATTTAATCGCTTGAAGCTGAATGGTTTGATAATCGAGAATTGTTTTCCCAAGCCTTATATAAATGAACAAAACAGGATGTACTTTGTAGGTGACAAATAACGAAATAAATCTGCAAAATAACAACCCAGTGCCTGTTTGTATCATTTAAACCATGCGGAATACTATCTTTAATTATGTTGGTTGGGTGAAGAGTGACGGAATGACTTGGGCAGGAGATTATAAAAAAAATTCTGTACGCTTGTGGAAGCCTAATTGGGACGGCTAAAATATAAGATCGGAACAGCAGAAAAATAAAGAAGTGAATAATTTGTTGCAAAAGTGTTCCCTGCCATCCGTAGTTTTGGTACATGAACCAGTGTTTTCATCGTTTAAGTTGGAAAGTGAGCCGAATAAGGTGGACAAAAATTCCACCTTGTGATGGGCACATGGAACTCTTGCTTCGTCCCTGTTTTAATACTCAAATTTCTATTCACATTAAATATAGGCCTATGTGATTTGTGTCGTACAATTCCTTCCTTGTGTCAGCTTCGACCAGAGAGGTAAGAGAGCTTATTGTATGATGACAAACGCCTGGGACTCAGTGATCGATACAACGACTTTTGCAGCATCATGCAGCGGGTTGAATATAAACAGAAAGAGAAAACAGAAAGAAAAAAAATGCTCATATACATCAGTTTTGTTTATCCAGTTTCTAATTAAATTGCATCCACGGGGTCTCACCGTGCCAAGTTTCTGGCAACATTCGGTCGACCTCACCACGTGGATTGTTCAGTAAGTGGCAAACTGGAAGCACGAACAACATGAAACGAAATCAATACTGAAACATGTAGGCCTACCAGGGCATCGCGTGGTTATGACTAATTAGCATTTATGGATTTCGGCTGCAGGTGGGCTGAAACGAAAATCGTGAGACGGCTGAAATAATGGGTTCCAATTTAAATACGAAAGAAAATATACAAGCATTTGCTGCTCTCACAACGTTCGTTATTACAACCTTGGGTCATCACAATGAGCAGTGTGTGGAGCATACCATGCTAAACAGGGTTTTCTTGGGGGAGGGATTGTAAATGGACTAATGTACAGTTTACCTCTAACCCTTCCCGATGGTTATAAAAACATTCCCAACGGCACTATACCACCGAGGTTCTAATTCCCCATAACACGGAGACGAAAACACTCCCAAGGTTTCCCCTGTCTCTTATTGTTGGTGATCCTCTTTTCCTCACCATTGTCCGATCCCGGCTTAGTGGAAGAGAGATGAGCGAGCAGCACCACGAGTCCCTACGCGGATCGCGGAACATTACAACGGGAACTGTTTTGTGAACGTCATGAATAATTCATTACAAGCCGGCCACTACCAACGCCAATGAAAAGCAACAGAACAGCACAACGAACAATGCCGGGCCCAGCCGCTCATCAACTTCCGAACAGCGTAACGGCGTTATACGAAACATGTTCATTTGCCCGTATGTACGCCCCATACATTACTTTTAATCAACCGAAACCAATATTTGATTAGAAAAAAAAGGTGTACTTCGAAGCTCAGGAAAAGGAAAGACGGACTGGAATTCGATTCAGGTGGGACGGTACCTAGCTATGCTCGTCAGGATGGCCGACCGAGTGATATCTCTGGTAGCAGGTGTGCTGTTGCTGATTTTGACATGGACGGGCGCAGGCTGGATCGCAGGTAGGTGCCAAAGGGAGCTAAGTGGTACCCGTCTTGGAGTTTCTGATGGAGTCGCCTTTCTATTTGAGAAAGCTGGTGGTGTGAATGTGCAGTCGCCACGTTCGTCATGTTGTCAAAATGGGTTGCCGCTTCGGAATGCACAAACGATGGCGAACACAATCATCCAGCTCATTCGTGTCTGTCTAAAACGGCAAGTTGGGAGATCAGATGTTATCGAATGTGTGCGCTGAAATTTTCAAGTGTTTTCTATTTATTACAACTGAACAACGACTGTCCCCTATTTCGATTCTTGAAATTATGTGAAGTTAAATTTCAAAAGGACGGTAACTTTCCAAATCAGTGTCTTTCCAAATCAGTTTCCAAATTTCTAAATCAGTGTCTAACACAACGGATCGACCAGAAATTTCGAAGTGGTTCATAACGAAAGTAGGAAGCTCAGCTTACCTCTTTGGAAGTACGAGACTCTTGCTTTATTTTTAAAGAGCCTGAAGAAATCAGTTGTGATTAAGTCCTTGAAGTCACCTTCATGTCCCTTTGAACGATATTTGAATTTTTGTTTTCAGTTTAACATGATTTGGTGCCTTTTACTAACACAAGCAAACCTGCTGTGCTATTTTGGGAGGGAACCTCAATGTTTCAGCAAGCTTGAGCGCAAAAATTGAGAATTGTGGATGATTTACATTCGGAAATTCTTTTCTGATAGACTCATTGCCGTACGATTTTATTTCACTAGGCCAAGAGCAACCCTTTCTCGTGGATGGTTTCATTGAGCACTTGTCGGGTTCACAGTGCATTCACAGCGAAAGTTTATCATGTTGACGTGTTTGCCCGAGTGTGTAACAAGACGTCACTTCTCAGAGACACAAGTTTTCATCTTACCAAACATATCTTTCGTTTTGCCTTGTATCAAAGTGCAAGAGCTCTTGAATATATTTTATGTCTGCTCAGGCGGGACTCGAACCGGTATTCCTTGCTTACTAATACAGACGTCTCCTCACTCGACCATTATGGGTTAGGGACACCAAACAGTCTTCACACATTTTTTAAAAGAAGTATGAAATTGCACAAAATGTGTATCCAGAAGAAAATCACCACATGGGCCCTTGAAGTCCAGTTAGAAAAACGTCCGGATAATGGTTGGATCTCGCCGATCTTTGGCTGTAAGTCGCATTTATCTGTATAATTGCAACGATTCCGGGCAATTTTGGGCTGTAATCGAGTTATTCCGGGCCGACAGCGGACGTGGCTTCGCAAGCAAACGCGCCCGGTTGCGAGAACATCGAAGCGGTTGGCGAGTGAGTCAGCAGTCCGACTGAACATTAATTTTCATTATTAAAACGCTGGGATGTCGGCATCCCTCTAATGAACGGAGAATGCCCTGCATGTGCGGAGTAAAAAGTGTTCTATCCTCTTAAACAGTAACCGGATTTTCCTGAGCTCCAGGCTCGAGTTTTGGAAAGCAAAACATTTTAAGCAACTTCACCGTCCCATGTTGAAGGACACGTATAAATATGGATATGAAATATGTCTCTCACTGTTCCCCAACGCATTCCCACGAAAAAAATCCAAACATCACCGGTAGCAATGAATTGAAAGTATAAACACTCATACATACTGCACTTGCTTACATCCCTAAGCGAGTATTACAGTGATCTCGTTTCTCTGGAACACCATTTAGGACCAGAGACTTTGGGCAGAAATCGATACCCGAGCGTTTGCAGAGCAGAGTAGACGCTACTCAAAAGCACGGTAAAGACTTCCAAAATCAATATCGACTATTGACTCAGAAATAGTTTTGGAAAATCCATTCGAAACTCAAATATCCAGAGAAATAACAAAGGCGCAATAAGGCAGTGTTTAATTTAAAAGGGTTGCCTCAAAACGGCTGTACCTGTGTCACATGGCGCAATAAATACTTTTTGCGAGCATCGTTATCAGTTTTATAATGTCGGCATCAGAATGTTCCTTTAAGATTGAGACCCGTTCCTTCCTTTAAGAACGAGACACCGTCTCCCCAAAAGACTTTGCTTGTAACAGTGAACTAACAATACATGCATTTGCAAGCTGTTCATTTATTAAAGGAAAGTGTCTCACATTTGCCTTTATTTGAAGTCAGTTCTAAGTGCAAGTGACCTGCAACGTTATTATTTTCGCCCATTAGCTTCATCCTTGTTTCTGTAAGTAATTAGAGTCCTCGAATTGATATTTTGTTTTTAAATCACGTGGATATTTTTGAATAAAAATGAAATATAAAAAACCCACCTCTGACAAAATACGGGATGTGATTAATCTATTGAGATTACATTATTTCTTCACAAGTCGTTTCATCTATTCTAACTCATAGTGCAAATCTTCTGATATTATCTAACCATTGGTGTGACCCTTGACCTTTCCCTGATTTGTTGTTGCTATTCATTTGAAAATGTTCAGAAAATGTCTTCACCTTGACGCGAAATTCTTGACGCGAAACAGCTAAACACAGATAACTGTAAACCTTGATTTTGTCCTAGAGAATGCACGTTTTGTGATTTAACAAGAAATTTCAATAAAATCAGTGCTAAATTCACTTTCTCACATGATCGCGGTAAATGCCACTTGGTACAAAAGGCAGATCCCTTATTTTTGGAGGGAGGGGGATACCAGTCTTTCGAGCCCATTTCTCAAGTAATCCCAACAGCTAATCACTCTCACTCGTAAACTTATTTCCAAAAACACTTCTTCATAGATATCAACGCAGCTGTTCAATATATTAGTTGCTGAATCTTAATATTCCTGAAAAATATATTGATTTTTACACACTCTTCACTCGATCTGTATCTACAACCGTTATGACTGATTGTACAGCCTGGACAAACACGAAAACAAGAAGGTAATCTTTAATACGGGTGACACCATTCAAGGATGTAATATCCTCTTCCCCGTTGGAATTTAAGAGATGTTTGGAATTAATTTTCGATGCCAGCATTAAGAACGAATGAATTATTCAGTGCGATAAAAATATGTTTTTATTATGTGTCTTATATCAGGGACTGCATGGGCATGGTTGCTGTCAGTGGCGTTTATTTTTGTGTCGGGAACTGGGAGTGGGGGACAGTTGGGTGGGGGATGACTTGCCCGGCCATGAAAAATTGGAAAAGCGGGGTGGAGGTGCTGACACCAGACGACACTAGGGGGCGATGTTTATGATACAGATGTGCATCTGTAATATGTAGTACACTCCGGTAGAACCTTACATAAAAACGGTGTGTTTATGGCTGTTTGAAATTTATTTCCCCTTTTTGAGAGCTACTGAACACATTTTGGTTGTTTGGAAGTCTGAAATTTTTTTTATACTCCGCCTTAATTTTCCTCTCACCAACAAAAAGTGTATGGGAGATGATTATTCAATAGCCCCCCTCAAAAACAAACCAACCAAACCAAACCAAACCAAACAAACCCCCAAAAAAACCCCAAAACAAAAACAAACAAACAAAAACAAACAAAGAAAAAACAAAAACACGTGTAGAGGAACTTGATATACCCTTATCCTCCCGGATTTACGCCCACGTTAAGCTCATTAATTGTATGAAAAATTTCCAGGTTGTGAGGGCTCCGACTCGGCTTATCAACTCTACGAAGACAAGATGCAGAATTACAACGCACTCATTATTCCGGTCGAAAACAGCTCCAGGACCATGGACGTCTACGTTGGCTTGGCACTCTCTCAGATCGTCGACATCGTAAGTTGCAGATTCTTCTTGATATCGACACTTTAACGCAAACAAAGTTTCGATGCTGTTGTCTGCGCTAGCACTGTCGACAATTGTGTGAAAGGTTTTGGATGAAATTGTTATTTTGTTGATTCGTCATCCTCGAAGTTGGCAATACCTCAAAAGCAATTGAAGTCGTTATCTCTTGTATACCTCTCAAAATGGTGACGACATCTTGCTAACTTTGATGCAACCAGAGACCCTGTGGAACTATCGACATTGTTATGACAAATACACCGCATGGCAGTTCTGTTGATCACAAACATACAAACAAGTGGTTTAAGGCGTTTTTTTCTCGTTTACATTTTTTGTCTTTTCGTTTATCAGGACGAACAGAATCAGATAATGATCACCAGTATTTGGCTGAAACAGGTGAGTCACTCAAGAGAGAAAAAAATCTCTATTATTTTGGCCTGGCGCCATTTTGCTTCTAAAATGTTTGGCTGTTGTGCTGGGGGTAACACTATTCGACTAGTAATGGTACGAAAGAAAAATCAAAGTTGAACAGTTAATTATTGTTGGGACGTACTGCGCACCCCAAATTCCCATGAGATCTGTGCTTCCGCAGCATATGTTTAAACTAACCTGGCCTCTAAAATGAAGATAGTGCAACTCTACGTAACCGAGTCGGCATTGCTCGACTGCGCACGAACTACCACTGCCCACGTAACCTCAGTCAAATAATTTGGGTTCGCCTATGACTGCAGGAATTTTGCCACACCACCCTCTGTTGGCGTTTTGCAAAGACCAGAGAAGGTATAAAGAAGGACAATTCAGATTTCAATACATGTCAGGCAGTACCTGTCATTTTCAGTGAGCTGATAACTGATGCTACTGCTTGATTCGACAGAAATGGCATGATTACAACTTCGTCTGGAACCCAGACGACTACGATGGTCTACGACAGATGGAGGTTCCTATCGATCAAATATGGAATCCGGATATCGTCCTCTATAATACGTAAGTCAGGGGGCTTTATTTATTAAAAAAAAAATACAATGATGGTGGTACCGAACGGTAGTCTTACAGATGCATTGAAACAGTATTCAGATATCCTTGTCCTTATTGTATTTTCCATCCAAAATTGAATGGCGTCATTCCTTTGGCTTGATTCGAATGGAATAAGAAGAAAGGATATGCTGTGAGGCCTACAGCTCCTCTTCAGACCTTTTCCCTTAGATAACCTCGAAGATGATATCAACAAGCATAATCAAGAAGAGTACTGCGCGCATCTGTAATGGCTAATTATTCAAAAACGAGATTGTTTTTAATTTGGCTTTTCGAATCTAGGGCCGACGGCAACTATGCAGTGGATGTTGTCAATAGAGCCACGATAAAACACGACGGTACCGTCTACTGGAACCCTCCCGTCATCTTCAGGAGTTCTTGCCTGATCGACATCTCCTACTTCCCCTTCGACGAGCAACGCTGCAAGATGAAGTTCGGCTCCTGGACCTACGACAGCTCCCAGCTTGACATCAAGCCGCTCAGCCCGCGGCTTGAGCGGGAAAACTACCGGGACAACGGCGAGTGGGACATTGTGGAGTCGCCGATCGAGAAGCACGCCATCAGGTACGCTTGCTGCGAGGATGTCTACGTGGACCTGACCTACACGTTCGTGCTCCACCGAAACCCGCTGTTCTACATCATCACCCTGGTGCTGCCGTGTATTCTCATCGCCCTGCTGACGGTCTTGATCTTCTACCTCCCGTCGGAGGCTCAGGAGAAGATCACCCTGTGCATCTCTGTCCTCCTCGCCCTGATCGTGTTCCTCCTCCTCATCCCTTCCATCATCCCGCCCACCTCCACCACGGTGCCTCTCATCGCCCGCTACATGCTCTTCACCATGGCCATCGTGTCCATTTCCATTGTGGCCACCGTCTGGACCATCAACCTCCACTTCCGCAATGTCGGCACCCACGAGATGAGCAGGTGGATGCGGCGCATTTTCCTGGAGATCCTCCCCAGGATCCTGCTGATGAAGCGCCCGGGGGAGGAGGAGCAGCGCAAGGAGAAGGAGAAGCAGAAGGAGATGGAGCGGGCTGTCATCCGCAGCAACGCGGCCTCCCCCTTCATTTGCCTCCCGGTGGAGAACGGCCGCGGGAGGCGGGAGTCGGGAGGCCTCCCTGCCCTCGCCTCCACCACTATCCCGCCGTCTCTGCGCGAGGAGGTTGAACACAGGGAGCGGGGGAGCCCCCTCAGGAGATTCGGGGAGTACAAACCCGTCAGGAAAGAGTGGCAAGAAGTCCTTGGTTATCTTCACTACATTCAGAACAACTTAGAAGAGGGTGATAAGGTGGAAGATGTAAGTCTAAGGAGACTCACTCTTAAATGCATAAGTGATTGAGTAAGACCGTGTACGTATTACATGGCTGCGGCTAGGAATAACACTCGTGTCTATAGAAGCCGCTAGCCTGTGGCTTAATGCAGTTGTCATATACGTATGCATTATTTCTAGCCGCAGCCATAAAATTTCGGACGTGGCCTAATTCTCTATTATAGCTGGGCATTACCAGTTTCTTCCAACACAATGCCTTTCAATGGCCGCTCAGTGTGAAGACTTCAAGAATACAAATATATAGGAAGAAGTCGTGGACAGTAGAAAAGGAGAGCATGTCATGTGTCTTTTTTTCCCTTTCCATCTGTCTACAGTCGGAGGACGAGTGGGCGTTCATCGGGCTGGTGATCGACCGCTTTCTCTTGGTGGTCTTCACGGTCACCGTATTAATCGGCACCGTCGTCTTCTTCCTGCAGTGCCCCATCTTCTGGGAGAGCCCTAACACCCACTACCAGGAAGTGTACGAGGAGCCCGAGGTCCTGCTCAGTGCCAGCTACTACGATCTGTTCCCGACGTCGCCCCCTGCCCAACCCTCAGTCTCGGTATCGCAGTAGGCTGTGGTGCGCCTCCAGCAAGAGGAGTTTCATTTCTACGCTCTGAGTTTGATAAAGTCAAAGAAACGTCACCCTGTGATACTTCTACGCTCTACTTGCGCTGGGAGACAACTTAACTTGTCTCAAAAAGCGAACTAAAATCACCGTGTTGTACATCATCCGCTGAGAAAAAAACAAACCATTCGTATGATCAACAGTCTACTCCCTTCAGCAGTTGCCAGGCTTTTCTCAGGAAACTGCCTGCACTTAGTTCAAAAAGCATTTTGAAGGGGTCGGTGTTTGTGTCTAGTGTGCCATATACGTAATGAGCATAAACTCGTTCGTGCAAAGCGATACTTTTTTTCCCAGGCAGAGCAGATGTAAATTTTGCTCTATATGATGGATTCTACTGAATTGTTTTTACCTGGGTATTAAAATGAAGTCGCCATCGATGGAAAATGAGACGAGTACTGTGCCTTTTACGAAAACAAAGCGCTTTCCTTTGGTAACTTTGGTAACAGAGTAAAAGGCAGGTCACATTAAAATCCCTGCATAAGCTGGCTTTTGAAAGCTTTGGATCAGCAAGCAAATTTTACGCAAAATCAGTTAGTACTTGTTACATTTAGTTTAAGCGTGTTTGACTTCACACTAAGTCTTGTGATATGAAAGACCGTGTTCATGTATCAGCCATATTGAAATGAAGGTGGGGTGAACTTTTCATTTTAGGAACCTGAGAGTGAATCAACAGCAACGAAATAAAAGTTCATTACAAATTTATGCCAGTTATGATAAGAATAATTCACAATTTGTAATAAAGCATTTCTAAATGCCTCATTTACATAAAAGATTGGAAGTAGGACTTGGAGCCCAAACTAGTCTGGCACCACTCCATTTATCCTTACATTGATTATGATAGATTCAGGGAACAAGACCAAAAACTGGCTTCCGCGTGAATAAAGTCTATCGCTTCTTCGATATCTTTATGTTCTTACTGACATTCGGAAAGAATAACTGTATATAGTAAACCATTTCTTTAAGATACAAAGGTAATACTTTTGGAGTTCCAAAAACAAACAAGAGTTTGGTTTTCTCTCTGAATATTTATTACATTTTCTTAAGTGACCCCTCCTACATGCATAGAATAGTAACTGTTAATTTAATTGTCATCATGCTTTTTATTCTTCTTAAAATCCAAAACTTTTATTCAGTATTTAGTTGTCTACTTGATTTTTACAATCAGTAGGAAAGAAAATTTAATTTTCTTGTCGCTTGAAATATTTTGTTAAGCTAAGTCTAGAGTGAGTTTAAAATGTGCTCCCCCACAAAACCCTCCTTGAATCCTACGTTAATTACGCCTGTGCAGTTGGTTACCACTGATTTCACAAATCATTTCTTAGATTACCTGAAACCTTTATTGCTTCTAAACACGTTGCTTAGTGGACATCCAATAGGATGCTCCAGTTAAGACATGCAATCAAGAAATTAGTCTAAAAATCATAGAAATCTTTCCTACAGTTTCTTTCAGTTTCTCCGTATTAAAGAGATCAAAACTTTCAAGTCGTTCGAGGCAATTACTCGGTCTTGCAAAACATTCAAATCTGTATGAAACCTAAAAGATAATCATTATCGATGTGTCATTTCTGGATCACCATTTACATTGTGTGTCTAACTTTAATTCCCAGTGCTTCCTATTTTGAACTCAAGTTGTCAAATTCACGATCTTTTGATTCTAGCTCTTTTCATGTTTTCATCTGTTCGTTCAAATATAAAAACTATCAACCGCTTGTGTGCCTTAAACAGCTGTTACAATGCTTCATCAAATGTGTACGTGAATCAACAAAATTTTCACAGACAGCAATTTGGTAGCGTGAAGTGTGAACTAAAACGCCCCCCCCCAAAAAAAAAAAAAAAACACAATCAAAAAGGACTCCATAAGACAGGGGACACTTGAACGCGCAGTACAGAAGAAAGGAGCCCAGGCTTCATTATTAGAGAAATTTTTGTCAGACATCGCTTTAAATCCTGGCAAATAAGTTGACGTCATCTGTTTTAGTACGGTAAGCACTTTTTATCCGTTCATTTTCGCTTTACAAAGAATATACCAGAACTCATTGCTAAACTCATTGTCTCTTCTTAGCTGGCCATAACACACAATGAACTCTCTCTTCGAATTTGATCATAAAACGTGCGGAGTGTTTTCCTTTTTGTATCTGCTCCTAATCGTGCCCTTGATTTTGGTGTATACAAAAACGATGTTAATGTTTAGTTTTTATTTAGTCGTTTACGCCACAAACACCACATTACATCATTTATTTCCATTATTTTACCTTTAAATTAGCTTCAAAATGAAATACTCTTAAAGTAAAGATTTACGGCAACTATCCTGCTTCCATTAGACTCTCAAGTTTTCTTTCTAATAATAACACATACTGCCCCTTTATATACTTGTACCAGAACTACTGCTACAAAGTTGGCTATATTGAGTTCATTCTCGAATTCAGCAGTTAGGCTTGTTCCAACATATGCTGGATATCATGCGTGCTCGTATTCCTTCAATAAGCTAGTCCTTCAGATTGTTCAATCTTGAATTTACGAACAACTGGGTCCAATTCTCTGCACGCGTGTCTCGTCGAGGTCAATACCAGCACGGGGGCCTAAGTGAGCACACCCGAGACTCGTGCTGGCGGAAGTCCCGCGGGCAGATTATTACGAGATGGAGGCCGGCCTCCTTCGCTGCTTCATCTAGCAGGTGTAGATCTGGCTCTTGACTGTAGTGTGGTTGGAGTTTGGGAGAAGGTCCTCTAAGTAGGTGCAGCGGATCTCCGGCTTGTCCCGCTCCGACTGCTGGCTGAATTTGTTAACGTTCTCCCAGAGAACCGGGGAGGACAGCATGATGACCAAAGTGCCTATTACGACGGTCAGCAGGTAGATCCACAGGAAGATGCGATCTATCACCATAGCGACGAACTCCCAGTCATTTCGGGTCTGTGGAAATGATGAATGAAACGTTTATCAAGAGGAGGGGCTATATGTACTCTTCGTATCATGCCAAAAATGTGGTATTTAGGTCATGTGGATCAGAGGCCGTTGTCGCACGGACACGATGTGTTACTTCTCGGAAACTGGTCCTACTTTGCGGTGGGTAATCACGCATTTGGGTTGCATCAAATCAACACTAAAACACTAAAAAACCTCTGAAAACCTAACCCAACCCAGGCCACCCCACCCAGCCCAGCCCAACCCAACCCAACCTAACCCAACCTAACCTCACCCAAATCTAACCAAAACTAAATCAACACAAACCTAAGAATTAAACAAAAGTCAAGTTACGCCAGGCCAACACAATTTAAACCCCATTTTAATACCCACTTCAACCCAACCAGCCAAACAGAAGATATCCAAATCAGCTGCCTTTTGCAGTTTTCTTTTCTTCTTAGGAGCTGATGTTGTCACTGCATTGTGGTGCAATCTTACCCTTTTGGCTTTATCTTCGTCCTTTGTCCTCTCAACGATGTAACTGAGATAATCCAGCCCCTCCTTGAGTCTTGCCGGTAGTTTCTCCTTCTTGATCTCAGTCTGCCGGTTGTGGTCCACATTGGTCTCCTTCTCTTCGTCTGAGTCCCTCCACTCCATCTCCTCCTCCAGCGAACAGTTCAGCGCCATCATCTTCGGGGCGTTGTTGTTGGCCGCCCGTTGCAACAGGTGGTAGTTGCTGGACGAGCGGCCCACATTGAAACTCCGCTTCTTGTTGTGGAAGCAGGAGCGGTCGGTGGCTGGGGAATCGCTGGAGTTGACGTAGACCTTACGCTTGGGCTGCGGGGTGGGCGGGGCGCTGCAAATGTAGTCCCGGTAGTTGGCGGGCCGCTGGATATGCAGGAACGGCGGCAGGGTCTCGGTGAAGAACGTCTTGACCCAGGGGGACATGGTGTGCGTCTCGGACGACCGGTGGAACAGGTTGATGATGATGATGGTGGTCACTATGGAGACGCTGACGATGCCCATGGTGAAGAGCAGGTAGCAGCCAATCAGCGGCACGGTGTCGGAGGTGGTGGGGATCATCTCAGCTATCAGGAGCAGGAACACGATGACAGCCAGGAGGATGGAGATGCACAACGTGGTCCGCTCCCCGCAGTTGGAAGGCAAGTAGAAGACGAGGATAGTGATCATGGTGATCAAGACGCACGGCACCACGAAGGTAACCACGTAGAAAAGGGACTTCCGGTGGAGCTTGAAGTGGAAGGTGATGTCCACGTAGGTCTGCTCGCAGCACGGGTACTTGATGGTGTGCTTGACCACGGGCGTGTCCACGATCTCCCACTCGGCGTTCTCCCAGTAATCCTGCCGATCCACCGTGCTGCCCAGCGACTCTAGGTCGATCTTGCTCTCGTCGTAGGTCCAAGAGCCGAATTTGAGCTTGCAGTCCTGCTTGTCAAAGGGAAAGTAGTGGACGTCGATGGCGCAGGCGCTGTAGAAGACGGCGGGGGGACTCCAGGAGACGGTTCCGTTGGCATAAACCTGAGCCTTGGTCACAAGGTCAATCTTGTAGCCATCATGGACGCTGAGGCAATAAAAATAAACCCCCAAACGAACGAGTCACGATGAGAAGTTTCTGTTTCACACAATTTTGTATATATCTATTAGTCACATGTCTAAATGTTTAGACAGTAGAATGGAAACTATAAGTCCCTCCACACTCTGAATAACAAACTCTCATTCGAAGAACTGTGGATAATGCACTGAAAGGACGATGCATGACGGGGGGACTTGAAAAAAATATTGAAGATACATGTGGCTCATTATGAAACCATTTCATTGTAGTTCATAGAATGCTAATGCTAATAAGAGATTTGTTCTGGGGAGAGTGAGAACATGTAAGTGCAACACTGGTTATTCCTGACGCCAGATAATCGTAATGCTTTCAGACAGTCGAATCTATTCGATTAATCCACAATGTTCTCGTAATCGAAAACAGCATGCCCCCAAAGCCAGATGTCAATGCTAACCCTAACAGTCCAGAATCCTCCAATTTTAATATGATTTTGCACACACCCTAGGGAGTTAGGGTTAATGCGTCAGCCACTCAATTCTGGAGCTTGTTTCGAAAGGTCCCTTTTGGTAATCGCGCACTACTCACTTGTTATAGAGAAGTAAGTCGGGACTCCAGAGCATCATGATAGGTATATGGATCACGGAGACATTGCTGTAGTTAGCTGGTTTCCACTGAAGTCGGTAATCGTGCCATCTCTACGAAATCAAGCCAAAAATATTCTGGTTGAAACGTTAACGATAGGCCTACAATTTTCTGCCACAATTTAATTTAGCGTTGCGGGAAACAATCGTTTGATAGGCCCTAGCAATCCCTAGTAATGCATCGTGGTTTGTATATAGGTCTAGAGTATTCAGCAAACAAGTAAAGTTCAGGGAGCCCTCCACTGAGTTCTAGTAAACTGGCAGTTAAATTTCAGCACGTGTGCTTAACATCTCCGACTTCCACTGTATGGTGGTTTATAAATGTGACGTCACCAGTTTAAACCACGCCCACTGGAACCAGTCAATACGGTGCGTGCATGGATATGACGAAGTCGTAAAGAGGATACGGCCGGCAGTGTAGACGCACAGAGCCGTCTATAGAGAGTAACGCCAACTCTCAACAATTTTAGGGAACAAAAGGCTGCTTATTATTTGTCCAGAACAGCATGTGGCTTTTGTATAACAATTGCCAGTTTGTTTCCCGGTTATGGCGACAGTCATGCCTCAGCTCTATCTATACACAGATACATGACCCAGCCGGTAAATAATCAGTAGCGCCCTCACTGCTTTTATATTCACCAACAAGTGCGTTTCTTTTAAATGCAGAGGGGGCCAATCTTTGAGGATTGAAAAGTGAGTACAGCGCCCTCAACCGACCCTTGCTTACAGAACCAAAGTAGTTTATTAAAGACCAACTCCAACGGTTTTATTAAAAGTTTTGAAAATAAACTATTATTGTGTTTAGTGTGTAATAAATCATATATTCATATCCAAATCATGTCTGTATGGCGTCTGTAGTTTTTGAAATTTTGCCAAAACTTTCGAACGGCGTCTTCGAGTTTTATGAAAAATTTCCACAACCTAACCGCTGGCGGCGCTGTTGAAAAACAAAATTTGTATGACGGGTGCACCCACGCAAGTAGGCCAGACATGTGTCCATTAATAAAAGTTATACACTCAAAATATTCCAAATTAGAGAATTCTGAGAGCCATGGAATTGGGTAATGGAAGAAATATGGCACTGAACCTCTTGGCCGGACTCGGGGCTTCCAGATCTGAGCATTTTGGAGTAATGGAAGAAATATGGCACTGAACCTCTTGGCCGGACTCGGGGCTTCCAGATCTGAGCATTTTGGTCCAAAGTGGTACTATTTTGACCGTTTTGCAGAGGACTGCGCATGTATTTTAAAAATGGCTACTTTTCCTGGTAGTGAAATTTCCTTCATTTTAGGGGTGGTCTACTTTGGGTGAGAATTTCTCAAAACTTCATCGGTCAACCCACTGAAAATTGAAAGGAAAATGAAAGAGGGCATGTCGAACATCATTTTGCTGTCCAGCTTGGACACCTGTGAAAGTTGTGAGTATTTCTAAAACGATTTTGAAATAAAAGGATTTATCATTGGTGTATATGGGAATTTATTTACATGGGTGCACCCTATAGTAATACCGAAGAATACACTGAAACTGGTATCCGTGGCGCGACCGGTTCCGCTACAAACGTAAAAGTACATGTAAATGAACATGGAGCTACACGTGCCTGCACCTCGTATCGGGGATCGATCTGTGTGCCGGGTCTACTGTGCTGCACTATCTCTTTGCCTTCTAGAATTAGTGCTCCTTTCTTCATGATTTACAATAATGTTCGTGCTGTCGTCCGCGGCTACACTTTCAAAGCATGCCTAAAGCGCACGCACAGTGGTATTACCTCTCCACGGCAATACATCACAAAATCAATATTCATAAGATACTAATGAGTCGTGACGACACGTCCATTTTTGCAATACCGGACTGGACTCGCAGGAAGAACGCGCACAAAAAGTGTGTTTCATTAACACAAAACGCGTATTGCAAGGGAGATATTGTTATGGGCCACTTTTATTAGACTTGGCTCTTCTGAATAGGATTCAACATGAGAAGAGTTAGCATCATTGGAGTTGGTCTTTAATGGGCGAATTATCAACCGACAGCTCTTCTGGAAACTTCCGTTGAGCTTGATTAAATTAATACTAAGAGATCTTACCTGTTTGACCCATAGACCGGTTTTCATAACTTGATTTCTTTCGTCCTGAAAATAAGATTGAATATAAATTAATGAGTAACCTCGGCTGGTAGTGATCCCCCTCCCCAACAGATCCTAACTTTCGAAATTCGCCAGTGAGATGGAAGCTTCGCGCCCATAAGTATCAAACGAGCCACGTGTTTCTCTGTGCTCTTTTACAAAGGTGCTAGCAGCCACACCATAATTTCAATGCAATATTTGTAAATATCTCTAATAAAACACATCCATTTTGAACGTCGAGAAACGAGAACGAGGTTGGAATGCATGTTGTGACGGGCCTGCATGTCTGAAGTTTGACGCAACCTGCAAAGCAGAATTATTACAGCAATACAATTACTGTTTGTATTACCGCTGAATTACGAATCACTTTGTGATTTGTGGCAGCAGAAATACAGTTTCATTTGCTTCACACCCCGGCACGACCACCTACAAGAAAAATAAACAGGCCTGTACCCATTTGTAGCTGCGGTTTATTGCACTGACAAATTGTCTCGGCTTGGACGAATAGACAATAAACAAAGACAGGGATCTTACCCCACTGTAAATATTCAAAGTGGTGACAAGCTAGGGATTAATCCTTGTAGACTTTGATGAAAAGTGGGTGACCGCGCTCCCGGCCCACACCGAAAAGAAATTTATATTAAACAAGACAGTGACGCTTTGAAAAGAGGTAAAAAAAACAGTGAACAAAATGATTCTCACTGCAACAACTCTGCTACTTCATATTTTGTAAACATTATTTTGCTATCAGTTTGTACGCACTTAAAAATTCTTAACATGTTCAGAGTACAGTCGGATAGTGTTTGACACTACGGGCGATTCACAATAGTGCGCCTCCAAGAGTTTGCAACGCGTTAACTAATCACAGAGCGCAAAATCTGTCGACCCATTCAAAAGGCGCATTGGGTTGACAGATTTCGCACGCTGTGTTTGGTCAATGCGTTACAAACTCTTGGAAAACTATTAATTAACGCGAGTATGGAACACTGCTGCTCAGAAACTGAACATACTAGCTCCTGGGTATATTTTTAGTGAGATACTGAAATCGCTTTTTAATTGCTGAACAAAGGTTTTAGAAAAAAACCTAGTTCATGAAAGTACAAAAAATATACAAGGGAAAAGGGTTTACGAGAACGGAAGAAAGGAGGCGTAGAAATTTTGTTTTTAAATCAAAGCCTGATAATTTCGCCGGCACATGCAGGTAAACAAGCACAGGCATCGGAGAAGAAATTAAGAGGCATGGGGTGAAGAAACTGAAGGAGTATAGTGTAAACATCCATTCGCACCCTGCCTAATTTCAAGGCGAGAATCACTCTTCCAAATCAACCCTGACTTGCTGGATTAGCGTCCGTCTCCCCGGCCGACTCTCGCCCTTCGCCCGGCGGCTGAGACGCCGCGTTGTCGCTGCCGCCAATTCGGGCCGGCCCGTCTCGGCTTACCGAGTGTCCACGCCTGCATCTTGAAAGACAAACGGGAAACAGTGTGGAACTCTGGACGTGGCGAAACACTGTCTGAAAACGGCGCGATCGAGCACCGTGGATCCTCGGGGTGAAATTTAAGTTTTCAGGTAGTTGGCCGTGATTTCATGAAATGACGTTAGAGAAAGAAAATCCGATGTCAAGGGTTCCCGGAAACAATGACGTCATATTTGGCTCAACGGCTGGATGGAATTCCCTTTAAAAGTGCGTTGCATGCGAAAGGGTGTGTCCATTGGCACCACAATACGCCGTGTCGTGCCAGGTTGCTCAGAGCATGGACGCAATTTATTATCTCAAACTAATCAAGACTATTGTTAGCAGTAACAGTAATTTCAGAAGAAGAAAGAATTGGAATATAATGAAGGGGCTAAGGGCAAAAGATTAAATGATGATTTCCAATTTCAACCAAGCACATCGCCGAAGAGAAAGATCATAGGAATTCCCTCGACTCATCTACACTGTAGGAGATTTCGGCTTAATCAGACGTATTTTTCGTATCACCACCACTCCTTATTTGTTCCTTTCCCTCTCTTTCCTCGCTTAGTACGTACTTTGTGGATAGTTATTTATTAATTTTTTTTCAATAAAAGTTTACCACCACAAAAATCCTACCATACAAAGCAGAAGGTCAACATTAAAAATTCGCCTAGGTATCTGAAGAATAGATCGATACTCGACCCGCGATACCGGCTATGAATGGTTTCCCGGACTTGTGATTCTAAAATGTCGAGCGTGGAAAACCAACCAAGCGACTCGCTATGCGCATGCATCCCAACGACAGACTAAAGGTTAAAGCGAGGAAAACTGACCAGAATCTCTGGCAGCAGATGTAGCGAGTAGATGGTGCCAATGAACAGGGTGGATTAGCCAATAATGAAGCAAGCACTGAATGATGACAGAATTGCCAGGCCACCGCACTTCGGACTATCGAAAAAGTGCCAAAGAGGTCAATTACCGTAAATGCGCAGAAGGCAACAGAGTGACGTAACAACATAGCCTGCCCCCACGTTTGGTCCATTTTTGGTAGTGTGTAAGATTCGTGCGTAGCTCGTGAGCACGCGCGAGTCGCCAGTAGCGCACGAGCCGGACGCTGCGGAGTGGGTGTTGAGATATCACTTTCACTTTGGTTTGGCCCATGTGTTTGCTCATCAAAGAGACGAGTGTGTTCGGCAAACACCGACAGATGACTTAGCGTCACCTGACGACCGAGTCAGATTGACATGGGGCATCTGTAAGGTGTCTGCGGGGAATGACAGAATGCAACATGATAACAGATATCCGTGATTGGGCTTGAAGGAGTCCGGTTGATCAGGATACAAAAAACAAAAAATTACAAAAATTTTATCAAGGATTAAGCCCACTAATAACGAAGGCTTTGATACCTTGAGAAACTTCAAACGTTTTATAAAGCCATAAATATGTTTTCTTAGGCATACCAAATACTGTTTGGTTATGCTTGAAAATGTGAATTAAACTGATAAAAACGGAATTTACCAGTAGTGCTTTCGAGCTATACGTTGCAAGCAAATACGTTAGAAGCATATTAAAATGCAAATATAATGATATTTAAACTTTCTGTACATAAGCACAAAGGGCACCTCTAACGTAGGCAACGCAGAGAATGGTATCCAAGCTAAGATACAGTTATTAATTAGTCGTTCATGGTTAGGTAATGTAGCCTCATTCACAATCGTTAAGTTTCCTAAAGATTCTCTCGTGGCCAACACATATCTCGCTATTATATGTATCGGTGGACATGAACCAATGTCCCTTGGTGGATCTAAGGACACGTTGTAAGGAAGTGTATGTTTAGTAATGTTGAATAACCGCGGCTGCAGCCGTAACTGACGTGTACGTGTGCTTGAAAGCAGTGTTCGTGCGGTAGCCCATACTCATAGTAAGACGCATAAATGGACGCAGCAGTTGTTATGTATGTCCTACATGACAGAAACTTCATTATCACACAAGAGGGTAACATCTTTCGGACGATGAAACACGGAACTAAGTAGGCCCCATGTATAATCAGATCATGTGTGAAATTTGCAAATATAATTACCAATTAAAAATATAAAGTTTAGGATATGTAATTTTTCATTTGCAAATCAGGATCCGAAACTGTTCAAATGGTTACAAAGACCGAGTTGGGACATTGTTTGCATCGACAAATGTGAGAGGTCACGCTCAGAACATCATAAACACGCACGGCTGATCATGTCTGCTTTGTGTGACCACGCCCCGGTCACCCGATCAGATTGTCTCGTTAAACCGCATGAGCGCCGCAGTTGGCTGCATTTCCCACAAAGGTCAGGCATCTCGGCTGCGTATCAGCCGTCATGCCGGGTGTTGTGGCCTGTCTACCATGCTGTACAGTATGTTTTTATGACTTGTACAACACATATTAAAAAGTGAATATAAATACTCGGCACACCGGGGGTTCTCAATTGGCTCGGCGTGAGAAACGAGACCGCACGCTGGCACGCTAGGACACGTCGCATCCCGAGTGATCCCGCGTAGCTCCCTGATACGCATGGGTTCTGTCAAAAAAACAGCTCGATTCAAAACTCAAACGTCGCAATCATGACAGCATTTGGAAATGATAAAGCATGGAAACAGAGGACTCGTGCCTCGTTAAAAATGTCCAGACTTCAGGCTCTCGCGTTGTTTATTAACTAAGGTTTCCATTCGATCGTCTCAAAGCAAACTTTGTTTCATTGTCAATCGCTGACTGGAGTAACTAGGAGTCGTTTTTTTTATAGAACAGGTAAATCGGTTTCTGTAAACTATGACTTTCAACTTGTTCAACCCTTTTGAGCTGTGCGCAAAGCAGTGTACACAAATACCATGACCTGGCCCACCGTTTTTTCCATCGTGGCTGCTTATGGAAACCTCTCAAGAGCACATGTGGACGTCTTGACCCAAACCCCACTGGGTGACACCTAGCACATAAAGTGGCCCGACACGAGGAGAGTAGTGTGTGCCAATAATTATCAGAAGAAACACGGTTTGGAAACGAAACAATCTTACACAACTTTTCTTGTCTCGCAGATCAGCAAACGCATTAAGTCGAAGAGTCGCCCCAAGACACTGATATTATTACCAACCGTTTTGGGCCCTCGAAAAGCCATCGGGATGTGCTAAACTAGTTTTGTTTTACTCCACAGAGCACGGTTTGGGTTGCACGCAGGGCGAAGTGTGGAGTGAACCAGGAGAGCCATCATACGAAGCGCTTGTCGGGTGTTTGCTCCTGTCGGCTCGAGGCGACTGACCAATTCTCAGGATACAGTATTCAACTTTTAAAGGTTAAGTGGTACTGGGAACGGGAGGTTTGAGGACGCAAACAGGGCTATTAGGGCAAGCTTTACTCACAAGATAACAAGGCCTGTCATCACCATACCAATTCGCTGGTTGCCTTGAAGACTGCTGTGTGTTTCGATGGTGAGGTTATGAGAACCTTTCCAAACAAGCATTTTCTTTTCTCAAGTCGTTTTACTTTCGAATGTCTCCTCTTTATAAATGAATCCTTATCCCTAATTTCATTATGAAATTGCACGTGTCATTAAGAAATGCATGTGATTGCTTTCTGACAGCTGGCTCTTAATTCAATAAATCAGTTTTTTTTCAGCCAAGGTCCCTCAGGAAATAACTAAGCTGCCACTGTATTGTGAAAAAGTTACACATTATGCAATTTGAGGATTATGCTAAGCTGAAAACAAACTTTCGTTGATTAAGACTCATACACGAGGATTGCTCACGGGTATTTTTCAGTGAAAACCGTCAACACTGGAATGCTTGAAAACACCAAGCGGCATCCGTTGAGGAAATAAAACTGCCGCGTGTAAATTAATCTGGCTAGCAAACGCCGAACTGCATGCAGTACCGCCATTGCCAGTTCTCTTAATAAGAAAGAAAAGATAGAAAAAACTGCGGGCCGCTGCTACGGGCCGAAAAGGGCAGGCAAAAATCAATTCACGCCACATGAGCAGCCCCCATACAGGCGTCAGACGGTGAAAGACGGCAACATTTTTCTACCCGTCCTCTCTTGATCCATTCTGGTCCTTCTCCTCATCCTTCGGTTCATCCCGACCTCCTCCCCCTCGTCCCTCGTCCCTCGTCCCTCGTCTGCATTCTTGTGTCCCTCCGTGTTAATTCCTTGCATGTGTCTTCAACATGGTAACCAAGTGATGTTCGATTTTGCCCAGTATCGACTTGATGTCTGGAGGGCGTTTTTTTGCTCTTCCGGTTGCCACGGCGTTTCCCGCCAACACCAGCACGGACACGTAAGTTTGGTAAGTGGTGCCGTCGATCGCGATGAGTGTGTTTTTGCTTCGTGCACTCGTAATATGAATGTGAATATCGAAGTATATTCGGTCTATCGGTCTATAGACCGATGCCCCGAGGGCACAAACGCGTACATAGATTGCTCTCTGGAATATGAATCCAGTTTCTCTGGCACACCCCCTGGTTCTCATTCGAAAATAATGAAAGATTTCTTCCACATCATATCACGCTGAAAAGGACAGAGGACTACGATGTCAAATCTCTTTCTGATTTGAAAATCTATCAACAGCTCTCAAAAATCAGGGCTTTCGGAGACAGATATTAAGAAAAGGAGCTACGAGAAAGAGTGCGTTCGGTATACGCGTACCTTTAAAATTCTTGAAAACGTTGGAATTTCTGGAATAGTCGGCAGAAAATGGAGCAAATGGGTGCATGCGAGTACGACAGCCGCCCTGAGTGTCCAATCAATCATACCTAACCCGGACCATTCGAACCGCCTGACACCGTTCTCCCATGAAACGGGCCGCCCAACTGTCATGTTACACTTTCTTTCTGATTGGATTAGAGGACACGGCTATTCGGTTGCGGCACAGGCCGCCAATTGCCTGCTCGTCGTGGCCGATGAGGTTTAATACAGGGATTTACGATAATAAGTGGTAATTCGGTTAGACAGTTGGACCGGTTTTCCCGATGAGCCAATAACGGGGAGCGAAGCAGCCTTCCACGGTAACTTGAGCGTCACTGAAGAAGATGGTTGTCCCCCCCCACCCCCGAAGCGACGATGGTTCTCAAAAACAGTTCTATATTTTGCGGCGACCCGGAAACATAATTGTATCATGTAGGTCACAAAGGATTACAGAAACTACTTGAGTCAGTCACTGCGAGGTTTAGTGTTCGCATATACACTGATCAGAGGAGAAATGTGGAAGAGTGGTCGCACACTATAGACAAATAAATCTTTGCAAGGACGTCTAGAAAGGGATGTAAGAAATGTGAAATGCCAAAACTAACTTAAGCGCCCCGAAATATTAAACAAATAAAAGTTAGGTCTGACGTTTCCATCCAAGAGGAATCATTTTCGAAGGCAAGAGGAAAATAGACAAGGATGTGCACGGCTTCCCGCGGGCTTTAATCTTCCCCTCCCGGTTGTTGATCGAAAAACCATGGCCATAAACCAGTTCATAACCGAAAGACAAGCACTTGTTTACTGACTGGGGTCAGCTAGCAAACTCGTCTTTGTAGAAAAGAGGCACGACAATTTGCAGCATGTTGGAAACATTGAAAGTGATGGGAAAGAAGACTAAGGAAGATGGGAAAAAGATAGGTATCAGTTCTCCTTGTTCTCTCTGAGGTCTCGGTGAGATCTTGATTGTAACCATGGCGGTGTAATGCCTCCCCATTATGGCAGCAGCAAAGCCAAAGATGGCTCAACGATTGAAGATATAGCGAGACAATGGTAAACTCAGACTCAGAGTAAAAAGGGAGACAGAATGTCCTTAGGTCAAAATCAATGCCAAGAATTTACCAACGGTTGGCTTGATCCTGCCTCCTCGATGCGAGCGGACCCCTTGCAGTTTAAGGAGCAACCCGCATGAAATATTGCGCGCCAAAGATGAACGGCAGCTGAAACAGTGTTTTCAGTTCCAATACAAGAATGGCTGTTTAACAGCTCCAGGGAGATAATGGGAAAAGGAGTAATTAAGCACAGCGCGTTCACGGGCCGCCAGGGAGGAAGGCTAGGGTGGGCACAAGAGCTCTGTATAAGAGTGCTATCCATTCTCTACTAGAACATTTTCTATGATCCAAGAGAAAGATGATGAGTGGCAGAGGTCAAAATGGGGAGGGGGATTAGAGGATAACGGAACAGGTTGACAGGCAGACAAATAGGCAGAGAAAGACCCTCGGGAACATCGAACCCCGGGGTTACTAGCGCGAGCTCCTTCAGTATACTGCTCATGCATCATCCCGCGGAAATGTCACGCAGCTTTTATCCGGGAATTCATTCACATTAGAGACTATTACTAGCAGCTCATGAACTACGTAAGAGAGAAGGTTTATTGGGTTTACTCCCTCGCCGGTTCTTTTCAGAGTCATCAGTCTTGTGTACCCGCAAAAAGTCTAGCCTCCACCATGCAATGGCGAACTATTTTATGGTGAAAAATCTACCGCTATGTAATTCTCCTCGGTAAAAAAAAGAAGAAAGAATAAAGAAAGACATTTCGAACTTTACAATTTATCTGGTAGAGCAAGCATTGATATCTCAGGTAATTCATCTTAATGACATAATATATCCTACACAAGAAGCAACTTGGACAAGAGCTTTTTCAAATTATGTATTAAGAGACAGTGATATAGCCACTTGAAATAAACAAACGGGAATATTCACATCGGATGAATATTAAATCCTTGGTGATGTTAGTTAGCTCTTGCTATCTTTGCTGTCTTTCACAATTTGTAAGAGCTCTACGGCAAAACTACTGTTAGCAACGCAGCACTCCCGTGTGACAACGTTTGCATACCAGCTCGCCCAAACCAGATGGGCATACAGAAACCCGTAGTAGATCAGGAGGTCGTTCTCCCGTCGATATCGGTTTTATTCAGGAGTGGGTTGTAGATTTAATGTCCCTGGTGGACAATGCCACCACGGCTCCACACAGGAAACCATCTCTCTCTCTCTGAATGAACGTCGACGGAATCGAAGCATTTGAATAATTAACTGTACCAACACCTGCGGTAAAGACGAAGCTAACCTTTTACACGGGCAGAAGTGTAAGAAACCGTGATTCGAACATCCAGTTACATACGTCAGCGGACTACGTTTAAGGAGGATAACCGTCAAAACACACCTTTTAATAGTAAACCGAATGGTACGTTTTTGCTCAGGGTCGATTCCAATAGCGTACGAATCATCAAAAGGGTGACATCTAATTAATTATAACATTGGTCTGTCCGCCCTGAGGAAAATAAAATATCAATTTAAACGAATTTAAATTGGGCCAAGTTTCCATGGAATACTCTATTGTCCCTTGATATTGACCCCAAGCGAGATCATGAGATGGCGCAATTTTCCAAGCAACAGAGGTTTAACAAAGGTTGGAAAATGCACTTCGCTGGTTCACGAACGACTGTGAAATGCACGTGTTGTGCCGGGTCGCGTCGCTTCCAACAGAATGAACACTCCCAACGAACATGATTCTTTTCAACCGTTGAGGGGGTGCTTCTGCTTGAGACGGATAGGGATGAATTAAAAATTATCTCCCCACTTACCACATCAATAATCTGCGAAATGGATAATCCCATGTACACCTTGAGAGGGAGAGAATCATTCCGTACTGGGCGTACAGAATAGTTGTAGTTCAGAGTCAGGTCAGTCAGCAGCTTGCTCTCCTCCAAGGATCCATCACACACTGTTTAAACGGAAGAATACAGGAAACCAGACTTTCATCAATGGACAGTGAAATGCAAAGACTTGAAAGTGTGAGGTCTCTCCATATACAGCTCTGATCTCTGGCAGAGCTGTATAAAGAGAGAGAAGCGCCAGCTGTAGACTTTGGAACCAAAATGGCTGTTATGTATGGCCATTATTAATGCAGTATATAGCGTGCTGCTATCGTGTACTAATTGTCCATGTGAACTGACGCATAATCCATTATTTTGGTTCCAACAATTGAGACACTCATGTTGCAACTCCCACTATAACGGTTCTGATCGCCAGACCTGGGCGCGCCCTCTTCTGGTATTAATGAGTGAGCGTCAGGCGCTTACATCGTCAACCAAAGTAATGTGCGTGTCGAGTTGAAAACTTAAGGTCTTTTTATTGAGGCAGATGTACAAGCATTACTTTTTGTATACCTAAATCAGTAAGTATGGAAAATTGTATATGACAACAGAAAAAGCATTATTGTAACAGTCACCCAGACCGCGAACCAGGTGATTACATGAGATAGTAAGATACGGTAGAACGTGGGTGACAAGTGAAACGGAGAAATCCTGCGAAAGATACAAGCCTTGGTCGTCAGGCACTCGGGCTATGTGAAGTCTAGCATCACCTGATTTGGCAGGTAGATAGGACTTCAATTGAAGACGACAATTACGGGTTGGAATCAAGCGTGCTGAGCTGAGATCATAGGATTATTTGCGTACAAAGTCACCAGCGGTCACTCTTGAATGGGACAGGTTAATACGCGGTCTGCTGTGTGGAGTAATTCATTTAAATGGAATGGCTCTCCGTTTGCGAAGGAATTTCCATAAGACATGTACCCGTCTTTCATTATCGAGAGAAATCCATGCAAATAGAAGCATTAGGAAGGCGGAATTTGCACTCAGCACACATTCAGCATATACAAAAATCTAACAGGATTAATCTGCATTATTGCATTAAGCAATTTCTCGATCTTGCATCTCTAAGTTTGGGACAATGACATTTTCGTCAAGGTTTTAAAGGAGGAAATCGTGAATGGAAATTTTTCAGTTGAACGAACTTAAGTCCACACAACCAATCTGTTTGTCGGATTAAGCCATTCTTTAGTCTGCCCCAGTCGGCGGTTCCCATTTAATAGTGAAACTTAATCAGACGAAAGAAGTACCTTTCACCCTCAGATGCAATTAGACAAAACAAAGATACTTTTTAGGTATACGATCCGGCCAGGTGATGAGGCAAGGATTACTGACAGTTCTCGTAGTAGTGCAGCCATGCAAGATGATCATAGTCGGTACTTTTAGATGCTCGGACTTGAATGAAAACAATTACAGAATGTTAACTCCTGAACTAATCAACAACAGGGGTGCTCCGTGGCCACAGAGCATGGTTCAAAACGGGGATACTACACGAGAACTAACAAGTGAGGAAACGTCAACCGAATTAGGCCTAAAAACGCCCCTCTAAATTGGAAACTAGTCGGTTGGTATATGGAGATAAGGAATCGTTTTTATCGAAGTTGAAAAAAACCCTGTCTGGTCTACTGGTGTGAAAAAGATTTTGGATCACTTTGTCTGCAGGAAATACATTAAAGAGTGAAACCACGCGCTTTAGCTCTCAAATCCAATGTGCATTATGCCGCATTAAAACGCCTCGCTGTCAAATTTACAGATGAGATTGTGGTGCTCAAAATTTCCATTGAAATCAACCTCGACATTGACGAGGCCAAGTTCTTCGCACTATAGTACAAAGTACTTCTGTCAGTCAGCCGGTAATGGTATAGAGATCGTGCGATCGGATTTTGTCAGATCAACGGGGGTGCGGTTCTGCGACTAGCTATGCATTGCTTATGCAAGCCTAATGCAGCATCGCCCGTGTTAGGTCAAGCCACTAATGATGTTATTTGGACGTGAAAAGCGAGGCCACCTCACTCACAAAAACGCCTCATTATTGCATTACGGAGCCCCACAAACGACACCAGTTTGGTTCGGAGAAGCCCCTAAGGATGCCGCTACGACGTCACGCATTAGCTTAATCCACCTCGGTATGCTACTTACCAGCTGGATGTAGAACCATTCCATACCAGGAAAAGTTCGCACACACCGAATCTGTGATATGGTGACCATACATCCCCATACCAATTGAGTCTGAAGGACACCTTTAGTCTAGTCAGCGTTCAGCGTGTATTACACGTAAGAACTTGAATAATTGATCATTTCATCCCAAGTATGACAAGTCTAAGGACGCCTACTTGCTCCTCCAGGTGTATCTTTCCCGTTTTTATTGCCTCCTGTCAGGTGGTTTTATTCTGCTGAGGTGTTCGAGTTATGACAATCAGCGTCTACAGTTTTGTTTCTTTGTTTTTTTCTCTCTTCCGTTGCAGGCCCTTATCTCATTTGGCTTGGCTTGAAATGCCACCCCAATCACATGATGAAAAGTGGTTGTTGTTTTTGGAATCTTGACAGGTGAGACCACTATGAAGGCGAAGAGGACTACGCATTAAATCGATTTTCACCCCCGTGAGCTATTGGCAGCGGAACCCAGCTTCAGACTTATTGCGACACTTTCTTTTGTTGGAATGCGCCACTCCTGTATCGCATTTTAAGATTTTTATCTTGCTGCGCGGGTGTCTTGTGGTGCTCCTGTCAAGCTGGCTCAACATCATGGCCGGCCAACCGAAAGGCTGAACGTGAGGTACTAGGTCCATTGGTCTGTCATTCGTACGGCTAACTGACATATTGTCATTTGATTGGCTGTCTCTTCAAATAGATTAATTAATGATAAACCTGTACCGGGTGGCCAATACTAGACCCATAATGCTCTTACAATATTTTATTGAACAGAGCGATGCACAACGTTCCTTTTCTATACAGAAATAAGTATATCTTTACTCGAATTTGTCCTTCACGCTAAAATTCGTATACTTCAGCCTATTACTGTATGATATATTTCAAGCTCAGCCTCTGATTTCTCAATCAAAGTTGACAGATAGTAGGAATATTTTTTTAAAAATGACAATTTAACAAATTGAAATAAAAAGATGTCCGATGTTAAAGAGGTGCACACAGCCTATTTTACACCTTTAACAAATGCGATTCTAAATTTAATCGAGTCCACGGGTACCCAAACATTTATTAAAAACAAATTTGTCCTCCAACTATCCAGTCTGAGGACATCAAGCGCACTCGAAATATGAAACGCTACACTCTGCGCCTGAGTAGTACATGGGTGCATTGAGAACAATGACCTGCGTTTGAAAGAGTCTGTTTGTTCGAGTCCGGTGGAAAACTAATGAAAATTTGACGTCAATTGCCTAAGGGCCTCGTGCCAACTCGCAATTTCCCCGTCTAATAAATTTCGTAACTTGATTACTTCTGTCCTTGAACCTCGCTTTATTTTGATCGAGACAAAAATACATACCTGATTAAGTTTTGGCAAAATGGTTTTGGTTGGAGAGCGTGTATTGCGCTATATTTACGAATATAGGTCTTGCCCTATATCTCCACTCAATTGCATTTTGTAGCGCGGCGTAATATGTGTATTCAGGACGCTTTACTCAAGTAATGAGGTCACGAGGTCAACCTAGCAGGATGTGCCCCGGGGGCTGGTGGGATTGGCCTGCTGGTATTTAGAATTGGGCCCAGGCTGCAAATACGTAAGCACGGGCTGACTTTGTAGACTGACGGAGGCGCTGGCCCGTTTAGACTCAACCTTCGTCCCTTTCCAGCAGCTACCATTGACAGTTTGTTGTCGTTAAGTCGTGTTTTCATAACTCAAGAAAAGGCAAAAAAGATAAAGAAAAATACACCGAAAACAACGTTACCCAAGAGACTCTTTGGCGCAAGATGAACTCTGCTATTATTAAGGCCATATCATTCTACCCATCTCAAAAGGAAGCGACAGACAAGATGTAAGTTTGTGCTGGCGAGTGAAAAGGTAAGCATGGCACTTCCCGCAGGGAATTCTTGTCCACGGATTCTGCTGCATGGGCGTCAATCGGTGGGGGACGGGGGGGTACTGTATCAATTTTCCCCCTCCCCACTTTTTTCCAAACCCTAAATGAAAATGTACACCTATTAGATCCTGTATTTCAGACAAGCCCAATAAATGGCCACTAACATAATATATATATATGTATACACATATTTAAGAATAAAATGCTTGAAAAATTTAAACAAATGTTGCAGTAGCATAAAAAATGGCTACAGATCACACCACATGGAGCATCTATACTCCAAAGTTTTCCGGGGCCCTTGAGCGGGCCCCGGAACCAACACCGCTGAGGGCTTCGCACTTCGCGCTCGCATTTTGTTCTGATCAGAGCTATGTCCCCCACGTTTCAAAACGGAGTGACGCCCTTGATTCTGCATGTGCTGTCAAAATGCAGCTTTCAAACCGAGCTTCAATTTTATACACGTAGGCCTAGGTGAAATTTAAAGCACAGACTTCAACCGATGACAGACCGGAGACCACTTAATTGACCCCATTCACCTGAAGCCATTTTAGATCTCGTACCTTGAATCTGTTTTATTAATTGTGAACTGTCGATCAGGATGGCACCAGACTGTTCCATAATTGTCATGCGTTCCAAGCCTCCCTTTCAATATTTTTCAAATTTTACTTAAAACACAATTGTACATTTTTGTATGCTTAATCACAATTTCAAATTAGTCATCAGAGTGGAAGTTACTCATTTGTCACTAAATTTGATTTTTTGTAACTTTCATCATGTCTCTCCACATCCAAAGATAAAATGTAAACCTCGCTATCAATTTCAGCAAGGTCGACCCATGAATAAAGTCTACACACAATCTCTTGCTCAGTAAGTAATGCGTATCTGCTTGGTTAGTCAACACTACGATTTTAAGGACATGTCCCAGCAGAAAATTGGCAAAAGTGGGTTAATCTTTTCATGCCCAGCACGTTCTATTCTCAATAATGAAGCGGGCGCCATTTTCTTCGAGTTTTATAAGCTCCGAAATGTGCCAA